AAAATCGTTAAAAATCAATAAATCGATATCAATCGATAAAATCAATAATTTATTTTTCAAAAATTTTATTTTTCCAAAAAATCGATAAAAAATCAATAAATCGATATCAATCGATAAAATCAATAAATCGATATCAATCGATAAAATTTATTTTTCAAAAATTTTATTTTTCCAAAAAATCGATAAAAAATCAATAAATCGATATCAATCGATATATCGATTTTTAAAAACATAAATTGCAAACCGTCAAGTCAATGAAAATTTATCATTATGTAGGAAATTATTTTTGTGTTTAAATACAAAATATACAAATATAAATACAATAAAAATTTTGCACAAATTAAGATCTTTATTTTGAATTTAAAACAAATTATATTTAGCTAAAAAAAATACTTTAATATTTTTAAAAAATCATAGAAAATTGTGTATGTTAATAAAAAATGACAGATTTATTCGGGTAAAAATATTCCCCCCTGTGCTTATATTTTTTATTATAAATTGAAGAGAAGTCTGTATTTAAAGAAAATAGGTAAAGTTAGGGGGTCGTGGGTTCGAACCCGTTGGGGGCCGGAATTTTTTAAAAAGTCCGAACTTGCTCAAAAAGAATTTTAGTGCACTTATATTTTATTTTAGACATCAGGGAAATTTATATTTACGTTTCAGTGTCAAGAAATTGAAGGAATCTGAAATTTGGGGGTCGTGGGTTCGAACCCGTTCGAGGGACAGAATTTTTAAAAAGACCAAACTATATGAATTTTATTTAAAAAATTCTTCGAACCAAAATAATAACTTCTCTGCTTAAAAATTAAAACCTTCAAAACCCATTCATTAGTCTGTTGGCTGCGAAGATATATTTAGGAATACCTTCTTTAGGACAACATCTATACGAGTCGAAGGAGCATTTCCTAGCCTTTTTCTTAAAAAATAAAAATAAATTTAATAAAAATACAAAAAAGGAATACCCATAATACTGCAACATAAATTGTTTTGCATGTTCATGCTTCTCAAAAATTATGTGACAATCATCTCCACCCACTCGCCAAATTTTCTTGAAAGAAAATTTTTTTTAATTTTATTGTTACTTTTAAAATATTTAAAAATTAATTTAAATTATCTTACAATTTTTCCATTATTTTAGAATATTTTTCCGAAATTTTCCCACCCAAAATCGGCAAAATAGACAAAAATTGTTTCTCTGGTTAAGTGGACATTTCACATGTTTCACGTTAAAAAATAATTAAAAAGGGTGCGGGTTCGAACCCGTTCAAGGGGAAATAATTTATTTAGCTCCAAAAACAAATTTTTCTTCAAAATTTAAAAAATTCTAATTGAAAAATAAATTAAAAATTTTTTTAAAAACCTTAGTCTTTCCAATAGTCGCCGCCAATGCCCCAATTTTCTTTTCCACACTTGTAATTCCTCGCAAATTTGTACAAACAACAGCCAAATAAGGTCTCAATTTATTTATTTCTTCCTTTTCTTTTATTTGTTCACTTGTTTTACTAGTTTTATTAGTTGTTGATTTTCTTGTCGAATTACTTGTTAAATGCCTTTTTTGTTGTTGTTGTCTAGATTCTTCTTGTTGTTGTTTTAAGTCAGATTCATTGGCACCTGGTTTTTAAAAGATTAGTTAAATTGTAGTCAAATCTCGTTTATATTTACACGCACTACTAGATATCAAAGGAGTAACCGGAGGAGGGGGGGGGGTCAGGGGAAATAAAGAGATCGGAAAACGGGAAATAGTAGGTCAGGAGTCCGGAAACAGGAGTCGGATCGGGAAATGACAACGGGAGTCGGGAGACCAAAAACTAAAAAAAATTTACTGATTAGGGAGTCGGGATACCCAAGCATCACTTCCAAGACGTATCCCAAAAAGTCAATTACAACAAAAAAAATTCCTGTAGAGAAAATAATTCTGAAAACTCAAATCATAACCCCAAACCCCCAATAAATATAAAATTTTTAACAATTGACAAAAACCCTTTAAACAAACCTTCCATTTTTGAATTTTTTTTATTCAAAATTTCCATTCCTTTAATTGCAGCTTCCTTTTCTTTACGTTTTTGTGTCTTTTTTCGCAATATTTCATCCCTCAAGCGTTGCTGTTCTTCAACTTTTTTCAAATAATCTTCATCCAAACCAATAGCACGAGCACATTCAATTGCTTGGTTATGTGCTATTTCCTTTAGAAAAATTTTTAAAATTTAAAAAAATTTTTCTTAAAAAACCTCATCATCTTCTCGAGCATCCTTATAATATCGTCTACTTCTCCTCTGTCCATTATCAATACTTTTACGTCTACGAGAATGATAAACTTCCCCTTCAGCTGGTTCTAAACGTCGACGTTTTGAATAATCTTGAAAAGAAAAATTAAAATAAGAAAACTTTTTTGGTCAATTAGTCCATTATTGTCACTCAAAAATTATTTTTGAAATTTTAAGTACCGAAAACTTTCTAATTAAAAATTAAAAAAAACATTTTTTTCAAGGAAAAAAACCGAAAAGATCCAAAGGGAGTCGAACCCTCGAAATTGTAATCACAAACCAGGAACACTAACCATTACACTACCGGTCAATTAAATAACAATTTAATTAAACACAATTAAATGTTCGATAAACCCTCACATATTTTTTTCACTACAAGCCTACCCACCTAAAAGATGTCCCAAAAAATTTAAAAATCCGAAAAAATTGAAAAAAAATCCAAACCATTATTTGCACTATCGTCAGTAACAGAACAGCTTCTATTCCTCGAAATTACAGAAGATGCACTGCTGCAACTATTACTTCGTCTACTTGTGTTGCTGCTGCTTGAACGACTTCGACTTTGTTTTAAATAAGAAATATAATGACGAGGGCGAATGTCTAAAAAAAATTTTTTCAAAATTTTTTTAAATTTAAAAGAAACCTGAAGTCACATTTTTCCTAACAAATTCATCAACCATAGCATTCCAACTATTTGTTGTTTGCAAAACTGAACGATTTATGTAAATATTATTTCCAGTTGTAGGTGGTAGAAATGAAGTTGTTGAAGAAGTCGAAACTGCTGTCAAATGAGGATTTGTAGGCAAAAAAGTAGGTAGAGCAAGGGTTTGTGGACCTGAAAAATATTTGGAGAATTAAAAAGCTTGTTAAAATCGTGCCCAAAAATCCGCAAAAATTGTCCGCAAATGTCCGAATACAAAAGGATAGGGATTTTGTAAGGATGAGGATATAGAAAAAATCACACCCCAACACACACCTAGGTTTGTAAATTAATTCTAGTGAAGCTAGCATTCTTGGTAGGATTCGATATGTTCAACCAACTCGAGCCATAAAGGCTCGGCTACAAAAATAAATCATTAGGGTATTCGGGCTGACGGACAGACTCAGGGAACCCGAACTTCTTAGACCCAAACCAGACGAAAATCAAGTTGATCCGGTCTACCCGCACAATTAGATCGCCCAGCGACTCCCAGCTTTCTCAAAAAAAAATAAATAAAGACAAACCTTGTATATGAGGAACATGCAAATTTTGGTTGTTTATCGGCACAGTTCCTCCACTCAATTGAACTGTACTTCCTCCAATTCGAGATGTCTAAAAAACAATTTTTATACAAATTAAAAATAATCACAAAAAAAAACCAAATTATTGGCTTTATTCCACGGCAGCGAAGGAAACGCATTGCTATTAACAATTGTTGGCGGAGCAAATTTTTTATAGAAAGTTTTGCTTCTCTTATAAAAATTTTTGTGGTTGTTAAATTTTGGATTTACATAATATTTGCCCACAAAATTTTGTTGTTGTTGGAGAGATGGACGTGGAATATTTGAAGTTATTGGTGGTGGAATTGAGGATAAAATTATTGGAACTGAAGAAACGCCTGGAGGCGGTGGGTTATCAAGAGAGTAAGAAAATGAAGACGTTGAAATGCTAAAAGGTTCTGTCCCTGGAGGGAAGGTAGAAGAAGATTGATGATTTTGAGAAGTCACAGCCAAAGACTTAAGAAAAGGGTAATCTTTAGTTTACTGGTCATTGGAAAGATGAGCAAGATATGCTCTTAATGTTTTTACAGGTTGCCTGTGTGAGATTAGAATACTGCCTGGTCGAGTTTGGATGCAGGATACGAAATAAAAAATGAACTCAGATTCAAATCTAAGACGCGTAAATACCTCATGGAAACCTTCAAAAATATTGAAAGAGCACTTCTTACTCATTTTGCCTAGGAACCAGTAAACTAGATCTCCGAGAGTTAAAATAGGGTTGTCCACTACCATGTTATTAACCTGTACCCATAGTTTTCGGTTATGGCCTTGTATTGAACTTAGTTTCGATTCCATTTAATTCGTTAAAACCACCGATTTAAATTTCCGATTCCGGTTAATCGATCGTGAACAACCCCGATTAAAATAAAATAAAAATTAAAATTTGAAGAAACCTCTTTCTGTTGTTGAATAGTCTTCGTTCCTGGCCCCAACACCTCTTGATTATCATCATTTTTTGAAGTACTAGAAGCTTCTTCAGCATGTAAAGCGTCAACTACAATTGCTTTTTGAAGCTCCTTACATTTCTTTCTTGCAATCTCCAAATCATCCAATTCATCATAATCTAGTTGTTCGTTCTCTTCTTCCATTAAATTTTACTTTAGATTACTGAAATAAAAGGATTAAAGAAGTAAAAACAAGAAAAAAAACAGGAAAAAACACCCGAAGAAATACGAAAAAAAAACAAAAAAATTTCTCTGCAACCCTATCCTTTGTTGTCTCTCTCAATTTAGTGTACTATTTCCTTAATTTTTACTCTGCTCCCAAAGAAAATAAAAAGACATACACAAAATTAAACAGAATGCCAAAATAATTAATTTCCCTTAAATTTTAAAAAGGAAAGAAAAAGGCATGTTAAATTCTTGGCCACAACTTTGTTAATTCTTAACCGATTAGAATAATTTTTATATCAATCGAAAGCTCTAAATGTGAGGATTATTTTAGCTAACAGGATTGATCTGATCGGCCCATTTCACGGAAAGTTACAGCCTGATAAAGAACGAAAGTCGTGATGTGCGCTTATGTGGGATAACTCGTTTTTATGATTGGCTGACCAAATCAGACCCTTAAAAGAAATAATAATACGCACATAAAAGACGCACATACAAGAATTCCTCCAGTCTAGAAAATAATCAAGCACACAATACGTAAAAATAAACAGGTCAATAACCCAAAACAAAAAATAAAATAAAAAATTAAAGCGCCTTTTAAATTTATAATCAATTAAATTTTTAAATTAAAGTGAATACAATTAAAAGAATGCCCAATAAAATCCAGAAAAGGCAGCAAAATTATCAATTAAAAAAAATTTTTATATCAAAAAATGTTTTCTTTTTGTACTCTCAAACCTCCTTTTCTTCCTTAAACTTAAATTTTTTCATACTTTCGAACAGCTTCAACATTTCCACTCTTACAAGTAATCACCAATTTTCCATCAGCATCAATATAACGCTGAAAAATAAGAAATTGAATCCCCTTCGAAAATTATTTAAAAATTAAAAACCTCAAAATGGCTTTCCTTGTCATCATCTTTAATCTTCTTCTGTTCTTCGATAAGTTTTCCGTCAACAAAAGTGAAGGTGCACTTAAATAGAAATTGTTAAACGATCAAAAAAAATTTTTTCTAGTCGTTAGAATAATTAAAAACGCGAGGAAAGGCAATTAAAAGTAATTAGACGTCAGACGGCATCGAACCCCTAACCCATCAAACCACAAGTTGGGAACACTAACCATTCTGCCACGGACGACTACAACACAAAATAAAAAAATATGCTCTAAGTAAAAGTCAGAAATATTGAAAAATACGGTACTTATGAAGATGGAGGTGCCCTTTCTGCGGACTTTTTTTTTGCGGACTTTTCTTCCTTTCCTTTACATATTTTACTTGTAGCAACTAACTGTCAAAGACCCTCCCCCTATTATTTTTCTTACCTAAGTTTGTACATAAAGGTCAGATTTTCTGCTTCCTTTCCTTCCTCTATTTGCCCTGTGGCATATTCAAACAAGAGACATTGATAAAGAGAAGATTATTTTTTTGCCTTCGAAAACAATTTAAACAAAAAAAGAATTAAATAAAATTGATTTGGTGTATAACATTATGAATGTGTGTGTAAAAACATTACATTCTTACTTATATTTAAAAATATTGAACAACTGAAAAAATAAATCGTACTCAATATTGAACAACTCAATTAATTTTAATCTTCTCTTTATCAACTATGTCTCTTGTTTGAATATGCCAAGCTCAAATAGAGGAAGGAGAGGAAGAAGAAAATCTGACCATTTTGTACAATCATAGGTAATAAAAATAATGGGGGGGGGGGGTGGGACAAGGATTGAAATTACCCGAATTTCTGTTCCAAAATCACAAGTTCTCATTCTATGAAGCATTCCGAGATCAGTAAGCCATTGTTGAAATTCAGTTTCGGGCAATTTAATTTAATCATGTAATTTAGTTAAAAGTAAAATTTTTTATTGATTGTAACATTTTTAGCGTCTATAACGTTTAAATTAATTGTGAACATATATTTTTCAAATGGCATACAAAATAATCCTTTGATAGTTAATTGCTACTAGCAAAACTTGCTGAAAGCAAAACAACAAAACATTTAAAAAGAAAGGAAGAAAAGTCCGCAAAAAAGTCGCAGAAAGGGCACCTCCATCTTCATAAGTACCAAAAATACTTCTACAGCCCAGAATTAACCCCCAGCCTACCCAACGTCCAGAGAAAATTTAAAAAATTATTTCAAATAAAAAATTCAAAAAAAACCTTCAATTTACGCCCATCAGCAGTTGCCTGCTCCTTTTCTTCACCCAACAAAAATTCACACACCCACGTGGTAAAAGTTGAAGTTGACGTCATCTTCCACTTGTCTCCATCAACCACAAATTCCAATTCCGCTAAATTCAAAAAAAAATTTTTTTTCGAAATTTAAACAAAAAATAAACGTTTGATAGCCTTAGCAGCAGTACGGGTCACAAAGCCAACTCCAACTTGCTTCAAATATTCGTCAAAGTTGGTAGAATCACAAAGCTTCCACTTTCCAACAAATTTATCGGCCATTTTCGATTTTTAAAAAATCCTATATTAAATTTTAGAATTGTTGTCTGTTTGTTTGTCCGCAGCTTTAAATTTTGCTGTGTTTGGCGTTGTGTTTTATTTTTAATTAAAAATGACAAAATATCCCAAAAAAGAAAATAGTGTGTATTTAGAGAAGAAAAGAAAAAATGTGAATTTTTTAGAAGTTGTTTTGTTTTTTTGCTGTAATTTTTTTATTTTTTTTTATTTTTTTGGCAATTTTTTGTTTTTTTTTGTTTGTCAAATGTATTTGAGATGTGTTTTGTTTTTTTATTTGTTAAAATTTGTTTTATTTAAAAATTGTTTTTAGATTCAAAATAAAACAATCTATTATTTAAACAAATTGAGTGTCAAATTGTTGGTTTTCAGTGCTGATATTTTATTTAAGCAATGAGAGTGTCCAACCGGTGGTTAATTTTTGTGAGGTTTGTCTCTTAACTTAAAGTTAGGATTTTGTGTTAGACAATGCGATACTAAATAGTTAATGGTCCTAGATAGTTTGACACAGAGATACTAAGTAGTTGATTGTCCCTGATAGTTTGATACAGTGAGATACTAAGTAGTTGATAGTCCTAGATAGTTTGATACAGTGAGATACTATGTAGTTGATAGTCCTAGATTGTTTGATATTATGTGATACTGAATAGCTGAAAGTACTAGAGTTTGACATTGTGTGATACTAGATAGTTGATTGTGTGATTGATACTAGATAGTTTAGCATTGTGAGATTGATAGTACTAGCAAGGTTGACATAGTGTGATGCTAAATATTTGAGAGTACTAGAGTGACTAACAGTTGTAGTATAACAGTTGTAGTATATATAGTAAAAAAGTTCTTTTTCTATTAACTATTAACTAACAGTTGTAGTATATATAGTAAAAAAGTTCTTTTACTATTAACTATTAAAGTAGAGTAGTACTAAAGTAGAGTACTGAAGTAGAGTACTATAGTTTGACATTGTGTGATACTAAATAGCTTATAATTGATAGTACTAGCAAGGTTGACATAGTGTGATGCTAAATATTTGAGAGTACTAGAGTGACTAACAGTTGTAGTATAACAGTTGTAGTATATATAGTAAAAAAGTTCTTTTTCTATTAACTATTAACTAACAGTTGTAGTATATATAGTAAAAAAGTTCTTTTACTATTAACTATTAAAGTAGAGTAGTACTAAAGTAGAGTACTGAAGTAGAGTACTATAGTTTGACATTGTGTGATACTAAATAGCTTATAATTGATAGTACTAGCAAGGTTGACATAGTGTATGCTAAATAGTTGATAGTCCTAGAGTTTGACATTGTGTGACACTAAATAGTTACTAGAGTGACTAACAGTTGTAGTATAACAGTTGTAGTATATATAGTAAAAAAGTTCTTTTACTATTAACTATCGGTTGTAGTGTATATAGTAAAAAGTTCTTTTACTATTAACTAACAGTTGTAGTATATATAGTAAAAAAGTTCTTTTACTATTAACTATTAACTAAAAGTTGTAGTATATGTAGTAAAAAAGTTCTTTTACTATTAATTATTAACTAACAGTAATATATATAGTAAAAAAGTTATATTATATAGTAAAGAAATATATAAAAAGTATATAGTAAAATAGTTAATAGTTAAAAATTAATAGTTGATGATTATAGTTAATAGCTGAAATTCAAAGTTGAAAATCTTGGTTATCAGTTGATGAGATAATAGTTCATAGTTAATAATTAATAGTTAATCAATATTTCTAAAATTTCAGTCCTATTAATTAAAAATAATTTTAGAATTAATGTCTGTTTGTCTGTCTGTCCTCAGCTTTGAATTTTGCTGTGTTTGGCGTTGTGTTTATTTTTTTATTAAAAATGGTTGAAATTATGGTGAGCAAAAAGGGTCCCGTAAATGGGTGAAAAGGTCTGGCAAAGGTTGGAATAATGGTGAGCGAAAAGGGTCCCGTAACTGGGTGAAATAGGTCTGGCAAAGGTTGGAATAATGGTAAGCGAAAATGATCCAGTAAACTGGTGAAAAGGTTCAGGCAACGGTGGAAAGAAAAGATTTCGAGCAATAAGCAAGAGAAAAGTGACCGTCACATAGCTTGAGAAAGGGATTCGCAAATGAACAAGATAAAAGTGTCCGTCAATAGGAAAGAGAAAATAGTCGTTAATAGGCATGAGAAAACGGTTCCACAATGGGTTAGAAAAAAGCGGTGGTGACTGAGTTAGAAGTCTGACAACGGTTAATTGACAAGGGTTGTTAATAGTTGATATTTAATGTTGTTAATATTTAATAGTTAAAAATTAATATTCTAAGGTTGGTTAATAGTTGTAAATTAATATTTGAAAGTTGGTTAATAGTTAATAGTTGAAATAGATATTAATAGATGAAAATTGAAAGTGTTAGTTAATAGATCAATCATTGTTAATAGTTAATAGTGAAAATTGATAGTTAATAGTAGACATAGATATTAATAATTAATAGTTGAAAATTGAAAGTCTTAGTTAATAGTGGAATCATTGTTAATAGTGAACATTGATAGTTAATAGATGGCATGGATATTAATAGTTAATAGTTGAAAATTGTTAGGTAATAGTTAATAGTACATAGATATTAATAGAGAATAGTTGAAAATGGGAAGTCTTAGTGAATAGTTGAATCATTGTTAATAGTTGGAAGTTGAAAGTTTTAGTTAATAGTTGACGACTGAGTATGAGGTGTTTTAATTTAAGTTTATGTAATGTTTAGAATTTGGCTAGCGGAAGGGGCTCGCCCGAAGGGCGACCCCCTCCGCTAGTTTTTAAAAAATTTTCAGAAATTTTCTAAAAATAAAAATTAAAAAAAAAACAAAAATATAGTCAATTTACTGTTCAAAAAATATTATTAAAAATAAAGGAAAAAATACTCCCTTCCCTTTCCCGGGACACACCCAATTAGGCGCGATTCCATTACGGCGCAAAGCCATAACTTGCTGGAAAATTTCTGGCCCTTTTTAATTTTGGTACCAATCTCTCCAGCTCGATGAGAGGAATTGCTTAATACTAAATTTGGTAAGATTCGAAAATCTTGAAGCAAGTTATGGCTCTGCGCCGTTATGGCCGCGCCTAAAAAGGCAGTACTCTCCTCTTCCCTTTCAATTATTTGTAAACAAACACACGGGGAGAGGGGAATGACTAAACAACAAATTATTGGACTGATGAAATATAGAGAAGAGGAAAAAAGTAAAAAATAAAAATATATCAACTTTTATATAGATAAAAAGCAATCGAAGGGGAAAGCACGCCTATGTAAAAAAAGATCATAATGAATAAAGAGAGAGAGATAAGCATTTGAAAAAAAAAATATATTTTTTTTCTGTTATCAATAAATGATAAATGAAAGTAAATAAAAGAACACACATTCATTCATTTAAAAAATTCCCCCCTTTTTGTTGTTGTTATCAAAAAAAAATTGAAGAGTGCAAAAAAATAAAGGAGTGCAAAAAATAAAGAGAGAGATTGATCAATCAAAGTTTGAACATTTTTTCTAATTTTTAAAATGAATTTAGAAGAGATTAACTAATTAAAGGGAACACAGAGCATGTAAAATGGAACATTCTCTTTTGCAAAAAAACATTTTTTTAAAAATTCTGTAACGACGGCAACCAAAAAAAGAAAACAACAATAACACGCAACGAAACAACAAAACACACGCCCAAATACATAAAAGAAAGAAAAAAAACAAATCTAAAAATAACTTTCAAAAACAAAAAAAATATAATCTTTGCTCAAACAAAAAATTTTTTCCTTTTGTTTTTAAAAAATCGCCAATTCTAAACATAATGCCAAACTCAAAATCTTTCACAACGAAAATTAAAAAATAAATTGGACAGTTGAGTCTCAGACAAAAACTTAAGCAGAACTCGGACTTCGATCCCTTTACACGGCTTTTAAAAGTGCCCGGATTAAATCAGGATTCTCTTATTTTCCGGTTAGAGCTCCAGCCGGTTAATTTTCCCAATTAACGTTTCGCCCTCTCCCCGCAAATTTTTTTAATTTAATTTTTTTTAATCCAAGCTGATTATGAGATCATTAAAAATTGCCCGAATCAAAGACAAAAAAAATTTTTCCTGGTAAAGGAAATAATTCCACGGGTTTTCCAAGGATTGCAAATTGCAAAAAATGGAAAGAAAATAATGTGGATGAAGGAGGCCTTTTCGCCTCCACAAGACAAAGGCCAGCCCCGGTCTTATTCCCCTCTTAACTGTCCTCTGGCTTACAATTATCACCTGGCCTCTAACCTCGTTCAGATCCTGCCAAAAAAATTTAAAAATTTATTTAAATAAAACTTATAAAAAATTTTTTTCTGTCACATATAAAAATATTTAGAAAAATTTAATAAAATAATTACATAAAATTAAAAAATTTCAAAACCTAATTTTATATAAAATAAATTTTTTTAGAAATTATATTTAATTTACAAAAGAAATTTTTGTTTTTTCATTTTTTAATTTTTAAGGATTTGGTGCAGCTGCTGCTTGGCCTGCTGCACCCCCACCAGCCCCACCACCACCACCACCAACATCATTACCTGTTTCACTCTCTGTAGGTTGTGCAGAATCATAGACTGTGTCTATAAAAAATGATTTGAAATTTTCTTAAAGAATTTCTAGACTCAGGCAACTAAAAAATTATGGAGGGGAGGGGAGGGTGGGGATCCTAACAATTCTCCCGTCTACTTTCATCGTTGTGACGGCCCCGTCTTATTCCCCTCCTGAATGTCCTCTAGCCTCACAAGTATCGCTTGTGCCCGCTAACATAATCCATCACCAATATACTCCTATAAGACTCCCATCGTCGCGACGGCCCCGTTTTATCTGGCCTTACAATTATCGCCTGGCCCCTAGCCTCGTTCACTCGTTCATCACCAATACATTTTCCTATAAGGAACCGCAATTCAATCAAAGCTGGAATCGCTTGGAAAATCTATAGGACCCTCTAGAACCGCTCTAAACCTCTCGACGTTCGCGAAAGTCAAAAAGTTGGAACCGAAGAACCTTTCGAATTTTTTGGAACCTAGAAATCACTGGCCTATCCATTAAAACACTCTCTTCCCCACTCCTAAAAAATGAAACAAAAAATATAATTAAATACCATTATCCTTCATCTCATTCTGTAGACAACAAGTTTGTTGTTCCAATGTTCCAGCACCACAATCACAGAAGAATCTTTAAAAAAAATTTTTTGAAAAACACTTTAGAAAAATTTTAAAAAAAAAACCTGTCATGTCTAACAAATTCTACTTGATGACCACGATGACATACATTTATACAACTTACACAAATTGCATTTCTTTCTGTTGTGTTACATGTTATACATCTTTAGAATAAAAAAAATTATTTACAAATTTCCAAGAAAATTTGTAAAGGGGTAGGCACCTCTATGAATCTCAGCTCACATCTACTCCCATCTGTTGTCGTCGTGGTAGTCCCGTTCTACACCCCCTGAATGTCCTTTGGCCTCTCATATACAGCCGACATTCTGACAATGTCCTTTGGCATTCGATGTTCTAAACTCCGCGCTTGGTCTCCTGGGTGCTGCAAGCCCCTAAGTCTCATTTCACACTTCAATGAATGTCATTTGGCCTCCATATCCCGCTGGCTTTCTAACACTGTCCTTTGGCATCCCATGACTGTTCTAAACTCCCCGCTTGGTCTCCTAAGAACTCCAAAGATTTCTTTGGTCTCCTAACTGTCCTTCACTCCAACTTAACTATCCTTTGGTCTTTTTAAAGCTGGCTTATCTCCATTTCCTCACAGGTCCCGGGTCGGAAGAATACGACTTAATCCCCTTCATCAGGAGTTCACTGTCACAACTCCCTTCAATAAATCCTACAACTCCAGCTCTATAAAGGAAAGGCACCTCTAGGGATCCGGCAAATATTCTACCTACTCCTCTTATTGTGTTGATCACTAAACTTCTCTTACCGTCCCTATGGCTTCCCAAACTCCAATAAAAATGAAAATTTAAAAAACCTGTAAAAATCATGCATTGGAAAAGATGTACAAGAACTTATTCTAAACAAACAAAATCCTTTATTTATCGCTCTTTCAACAGCATTATAATTATCATAAACACGATTATCACGAAGAATTGGACGTACATCAGTTGCCAAACAAAGACCTTATAAATTAAAAAAAATTTAAAAGAAAAAATAAAAATTTCAAAAATAAACCTCCAAAACGATTATTATAAAGCAAATTATATTCTAATGTTGCACTTGCTCCTAGAAAAAAAATATTATTAATTTTTAATAGCTATGGATTAGCTATTGATTCCTTTTTGGATTTTTCCATGTTTTCCAGTCTAAAACTTGGAAAAATGAAAACTCACATCAGATTTTATCAAAATACCCGGAATCCCCTTGTCCTATCAGAATCCCCTAGATTTATCCAAAATGGCTGGAAACCCCTTGTTCTTGACCCGGCGTCGAATTCGAGTAATAACTCCAGTCTTCAGAATTTTGAAGCTAACTAAGACACCTAACGTCACACATCTTCCCCCAAACTTCCTCTTCCAAACAATCCCAATTAAATTTTAAATTTAAAATAACCATTAGTAATTTCAATCCCAGCAGCTCTTCCTTCAAAAATTCTATTTCTTCTTAACACAGGATTTGATTCTGTTGAGATTAACACACCAGATTGTGCATTTCTATAAATATCATTGTCTTCCAAAAGGCCTCTCCCTCTATTAAAAATACAGACACCTCCATCTCTCCCATCATAAATCTTTAAGGAAAATTTTTCCTTTAAAAAACTTCAAAAAAAAAACCTTATTTCTCCTAAGTGTTGGATTACTATCTGTTTTGATCCATACACCCGCCATTGCATTATCGAATATTTCATTATCCTAAAATTAAAAAAAATTTTCTAGACATAATCCAAATCCTATGGCTAGGGTTGGGGGCCCGATCCGAAAGATCGTTTCGGGTATTGAATTTTGGCCCGAAAAAGACTCTGTCGGGCCGGCCTGATAAAAATGGGCCCGAAAAAAATAACTCGAAAGTCGGTCCGACTTGAAAACCCCAACCCTATATGGCCCAAAAAACGCAAATTAATAATTTTGCGGACATCCGCAACTTTTATGCGGACAATCCGCAAATTTTTTGCGGACAAAATTTTTATAAAAATTTTTCCGATTTTTCCCTTTCGCAAACTCTTCATATTAAACCCCACCAAAACCAATTAAAAAAATTTTCATTTTCTCTACCTCAAGAACACCATTTCCATTATTATAAACAAGCACACCACCATTTTGACCACCCCAAATTTTATTTCGAGTAATTTTTGGGTTTGAACCGGTTCTAAAAAAATTTTTTTCAAATAACAAAAAATCTCTCATTTAAAAATAACCTAATTTGTACTCCAGAATATAAATGATTAAAAATATCATTTTCTTCCAAAAGGCCGTGACCGTTGTCGTAAAAGTAGACGCCAACCTACGAAAAATTTTTCATCAATTTTTTAAAACTTTAAAACAATTATAAACCTGCTTTCCTGAATGAATTCTATTCTTTCTCAAAATTGGAGACGAGCCTACAAAATTAAAAAATTAAATTAGGACCAAATGTCTCATTGGAAAAAATTTTTGCGGATTATCCGCAAATCTTTTGCGGACAAAAAATTTTCTTAATTTTCTAGAAACCTGTTGTAACCCAAATTCCTGCCAATGTATTTCCATAAATTTCATTTTCTTCAATTAACCCCTTCCCTTTTTCATGCACATAAATTCCACCATGCAGACCATCATGTATTTTATTTAAGCGAACTATTGGGTCAGAACTTGTACGTATTTGAATTCCAGCCAAAGCATTTCCATAAATATTGTTTTGTTCGATTAATCCTCTTCCCTATGAAAAAAAATTTTTTTTAATTTTATTTATAGAAAAAAAATTTGCGGATTATCCGCAAATTTTTTGCGGATCTCATTGATTTTTCAAAAAAAATTTTCTATTATACGCCCACTCTCCAATAGAAGCCCCCATATAAGCAGAGTCAAAGAGGCATATTGGAAAATAGAAACCCCCTCTCTAATAGAAGCCCAAAATCTAACATAAGCCCAGTCAGAGACATATTGGGGACTTTTATCATTTAGGTCTTATATACCAATAATCTTTTCTTAAAATAATTTTTTCGAATAAAATTTAAAATTACCGAATTGAAATTATAAATTGAACTAGGTTGCTAATTTATTTTAATTATTTTATTCAACTTATAAAATTTATGGAAAATAAATAAAAATTAAATATAATTTTAAAAAATAAATTTTATTGGGTGAATAAAATAATTAAAATAAATTAGCAACCTAGTTCAATTTATAATTTCAATTCGGTAATTTTAAATTTTATTCGAAAAAATTATTTTAAGTTAATAATGATAGAAAAATAAATAGCCCCATTTTCTTTCCTTTTTCTCTGCCCATTTTGCCGAACTTTGCGGACCAGAAATTAGAGGATCAGAAACGTGGGCAAATTTGCAATCCGCAACTTTGTTCCGCAAAATTCTCGCCAAGCTCTCATTTTATTTAATCAGAGTAACCACAGGTTTTCAGCTAACATATTTTTTTTCAAGTTTGGGGGATCAAATGTCTCATCAATTTTCCAAAAAAAAAATTTTCCCCAAAAAAACTTACTTCACCAAAAATATAAACACCTCCTTGCTGTCCATTAAATATTTCATTTTTACGAATTGTTGGTTCAGATTGTGAAGTTATCCAAATTCCAGCAAATTCTTTTTAATTTGAAAAATTAATTTTTTAAAAACTTTTAAATTACCATTTGAATAAATTCGATTTTCCATAAATTGTCCACGTCCTTTTTCATGAACATAAATTCCACCGGTCTTTAAAAAAAAAGATTTTTTAGTTGAAATTACAATATTAAAGGTACAAGATTTTTAAGCATACGAAATTTTGAAAAAAATGAAATGTTGACATGACGTCAGAAAAGAGAAAATTTTCAAAAGAATGATCCCAAAAAGAACCCCAAAAAATTAGAGAAAAATTTCGAAAAAATTTCTTTCAATTTTTTTGTCAATTTTTGAGAAAGTAAAAAGTTGACATTTCGACATTTTCAAAAATTTTCACAAAAATGATTCCAAAAGAACCCCAAAAAATTAAAGACAAAGGAATTTTCTGTGTTTTTTGCCTATTTTTGAGAAAATAAAAAGTTGACATTTCGACATCTTTACAAAAAAATTTTTCCAGAAATTTTTTAAATTTTCCCAAAAATAAAGTTCATTTCTATTTAACTCTAGACAGTTTAAGAAATATATTTTTGAATTTTTAATACAAAAAATTTCCCAAAAAAAATAAATTCTTTAACCTGTCCATTATGAATATCACATCTTATAACAGTTGGATTCGCATGATTTTTCACCTCAATTCCAGAGATCCTATTTGAATGAATATCACATTTTTCAAAAAATCCATGTCCATTTTCAAAAGTAAAAATGCCTCAAAAAAATAATTTAAAAAAAAATTCAAAAACCCCAAACTAACCAACATCCCGTCCATGATGAATATGACAACGACGGAAGAAAGGATTAGCCTGATTTTTGACCCAAACTCCAGCTAAATTGTTTCGGGCAATCTCGCAATCCTCAAATCTTCCCAGTGCGTTATCGCTAATAAATATTCCAACATTTTCACAGTCAGAGACAATGCAATGCTAGAAAAAAATTTAAAAAGTTTACAAAATAGAATTAAAAAATATACTCGAATTTTTGGATTAGCTCCAGCTTTTTTTACACACAAAGCTGCACCAACAAAACTATTTGAATGAATAATGACATGGTCAATAACAACATCTGTTTCATCAATTATCTGTTAAGAAAAAAAAAGTTTTTTTTAAATATAGGACAAGATAAAAAAATTTTCTTATTAGGATTTTAGTTATCTCAGGATTAGGATTGAACCGAATATTTCCTTCGGTCCAGTTCTTCAGTTCGTTTCAGATATCCAAAGATTTCAGTAGAAAGGACGGGTAGGGGACACTTGTGTACCGGCCGTTTGTGTACCAGGCCATATTTTGGGCCATAACTTTTTTGATTCTTAACCGACTTAAATGATTAATATATCAATCGAAAGCCCTGGATTTGCAGATTATTTTCGCCAACAGGATTAATTTGATCAGATCAAGGTATAAAAAGTTATAATTCGATAAATGAGCTCAATCGTGATTTTGATCTTTATCTGTCTATAACTTTTTGTATGATGATCTGATCAAATCAATCCTGTTGGCAAAAATAATCTGCACATCCAGGGCTTTCGATTGATATATAAATTATTTATATAAATTAAAAAATGAAAAAGTTATGGCCCAAAATATGGCCAGGTACACAAACGGCCGGTACACAAGTAGGACGTTCCGGAAAGGACAACCCTTCTCGGATATACAAATTAAGAAAAAAAATTTTTCTGATTCTAAAACGCTTACGAAAGACGATAATTTGAGAAGATATTTTCTTCGAAAAGTTTAGGAAATCCAGCAACACCCTTCTTCCACCCAAGACATTGCCCGTTTCCCCTAAGAAAAAATTAAAAAAAAAACCTGTAAAGCATAATGATTAACGTGAAGTTGAGAAGTTGTAGCCTTGTCTGGATTAAAAACAGTAGTGCAATAACCGAGATATGAACCCAATGAGCCGTTGACAAAAGAGACCTTTTCAAAAAAAAATTTTTTTTAAATGTTAGAAAATTTTTTGAACCAAAAAATTTTTTGAAAAATTTCAAAATTTTACATAAAAAATTTTTTTTCGAGGCTAGAAAAATTTTAAAAATTTTCAAAATTTTTTTTTTCAAAATTTTCAAAAAGTCTTTCAAGGTTCAAAAAAAACTCACAACAGTATCCCTCTGATTTTCAATAATAACAGAATTCATAATATTTAATTCAGTTCCACTACTAGCTCCAATTATTTGTATTGATGTTCCTCCAATAATTATAGGTGTTTCTGGTGTGTGTCTCCCCGTATGCAAAAATATTAATTTTGGAAGATTTGGACGAGCTTCAACAAATTTTAGAGCTGTTTCAATACATTCAAAATGAGAAATGCTACGACCAGGTTGGCTGTAAATTTCACTTTGGCCTGGACGGACGTGAACTCCATGCCTCTTAAAAATAAAAAAAATTTTTCGAAAAAAAAATTAGAAGAAATTTTTTAAAAGGAAATTTTAAACAAAATTATAAGAATTCGAAGGTTCTTAAAATTAAATTGAAAAAAAAGTCCAAAAATCACTCAAAAATTTTTTGAAACGAAGACAACGAGCCCAAATCAATTTAGGATTAACTATACTATGATGTCAGGGATTCAAAATTCTTAACCAAAAATTAAAGGATTGTGTCTAAATACGGGCGAAATGTTTCGTTAGTTCTTTCCTGCCTCATTTTGTTTAATCTGAAATTTTTTTAAGAATTTCGTCCGCGTCTGCTTGCTTGTAACTTAGCGGACCTAGGAATACATCCAAAAAGATTTTCCTCCTTCAAAAAAAATATAAAAAAATATACCAATAATAAATAGCTTTCTTTCCACGGATTTAAACAATTTCTCCAACGATGAGGCTCACGAAGTTCATATTTACACGGAGATACAAGAGAATGATACAAAGGAGTGGTATATTCAAATATTGTTATATAGAGACGCTTCCTTAAAAAAAATTTTTTTTTAATAGAACAAATTGAATTTTAAAAATCATACCACAAGCCACAATCATTAGAGATTCTATTAAATCGTTTAGACACAGCGCCACATCTGCCTAAATCACCTTCGACAAGATAGGTAAAAATCTGTAAAAAATTTTTCTTAATTATTTTACCGAAAATGCATTAAAATAAGCCTAATCTCTAAAATAAACCCACTCTCTAAAAAGGAAAATATTTATAATAGAAGCCTAAGGTCTATAAAAGAGCCTAAGGTCCTATTATTATTATCAACGTAAAATAATTTTTTCGAATAAAATGTAAAATTTCCGAATTGAAATTATAAATTGAACTAGGTTGCTGATTTATTTTAATTATTTGATTCACCCAATAAAATTTATTTTTTAAAATTATTTTTAATTTTTATTTAGTTCCCAAAAATTTTATTGGTCGAATAAAATAATTAAAATAAATTAGCAACCTAGTTCAATTTATAATTTCAATTCGGTAATTTTAAATTTTATTCGGAAAAATTATTTTAAGTAAATAATAATAGAAAAATAAAGAGTAGCTGTTTCGAAACCAGGCCAGGCTTAAAAACCTTGGACTTCGTGGGAAAAGAACAATGCTTCTGATGCTTCATCAAGCATTATCGACATAAAAACAAAAAAAAAAGTAAAAAAGCTGAAAAATAGTCAGAGACATGGGAATAAAAAAAAGTGGGCGACTTCCCAAGTATTTCCCCAAAAATAAAAAAAAAACCGTTATAAGAAGCTCATCGGGAATGTTTTCAATAGGGCAATCATCAACGACATCATTATTATTAACAACATCATTTTCTTCTTCATTTAAAGGCAATATTCTATTTGCATTTTGTAAAGAAAAATCTAAAGCTGCAGATTGTTGATCAGCTTCTCCTGGTGAATCTGCTTTTAAAAATTTTGAAGGAGGCTCTGATGCTTCATCTGCTGTAGCTGCTAAGGAACTTCGACAACTGGCATCTTCGTTTTGTTGTTGGAGGTTGTGTCTTTTACGATAGGCAGCCATCTAAAAATTGAAGAAAAAAATTATTTGAAGTATTTAAAAGGTTAAAAAAGACTCGAAAAAATTTTTAAAAAATGTTAGAAAAAAAATAAACAACACACGAAGGGATCGAACCTTACACCCCCAAAAAGAAGGAATCAAAAACGATACCTCAGCCATCTAAAAATTGAGAAAAAAAATTATTTTAAGTATTGAAAGGTTAAAAAGACTCGAAAAAAATTTAAAAGTGCGAGAAATAAAATAAAAATAAAAAAACATCAAGAGGAATCGAACCCACACCCCCCAATAGGAAAGAATCAAAAACGATACCACTACACTAAATGAGTCAACATATATATTACTTTTATTTTTAGCTTAACAAACGGGGTCAGTAATCATAAAACAGAGCTTATATTCCACCAATTATAAAATTAACAAAAATCAATGATTTTCAAAACAGAATATGAAAAAAATAAAATAAATCATCACAAACCATATCAGCAGGAATATAAGCTGGCGATTTTGGGGAAGAACGAGCTATCAACGGAGCTGTTTGGTATGAAGCAGCCGCTTGAGAATCTGATTGTGAGTTTGTAGAGACGTGTTCTGTATTGACTTAAAGAAAAATTTTTTTCAACGAATTTTACTCAATAGAATATGGGCAACTTATATATGATTAAAAAGAGCTCGGCGAGAGGTGTCGAAAGAGACCAAAAATCAGTTTGACTCGTTGATTATAAACAAAATTAAAAACAAACGAATCTTATCCCCTCTATGATCTTCAAAATTCAGAGGTCGGTATCTCAGCCCATATTTGAGACCGTTCATTAATTTAGGTGTCATTCAACTCCTCCCATCGAGCTCTTTCAAACGACAGAATTTGTCAATATTTGAAAATGGCTCGTAGTCTCAAGTTTTACCAAGAATCTATTTATAACCAAAAAAATCACAAACCTAATAAACCTTTAGTTTCTGCCAGAGACAAAGAGGATTGTTGTTGTTGTTGTTGTTGTTTATCATCTTGAGTTAGCCCAATTTCAATTTCTTGATTAACCGGGTTTAGGGCCATTTGTTTTACTCAAGTTTTCCACCTTTAAAAAATTAAATTTAATAAAACAATCAAATCACAGAAAGTCATGGAAAGAAAAAAATCAATAAATTAAACATTAACACGCACAAAAAATTAGCGATATTGACAGCCTAACAGTTTTAGATATTTCGAAAAATAGCTAAAGGAAAATTTCAAAATGTCTAAAAATTCTATTATTTTTAGCAGGCCCATTTAGGCGCGCGTCCATAATGGCGCAAAGCCATAACTTGCTTCAAAATTTCCGAATCTTACCAAATTTAGTATTAAACGATTCCTCTGATCGAGCTAAAGAGATTGGTACCAAAATTGAAAAGGGCCAGAGATTTTCCAGCAAGTTATGGCTCTGCGCCGTTATGGCCGCGCGCCGGCGTGTCCCCACTGTTTAGCCAGTTTTAAAATTTAAATTTTCACTATCAAAAAAATTAAATAAAACAAGAAAAATGAAAAAGATATATGCGCGAGAGACACATGATAGTGGTAGTAATTTAAAAGATTATCCTCCTCGTTTCTCCTCTCATCTCCCTATTTTTTCAACCAAGTCAAAATAACTAGTCTCGCGAGGATAGATTTATGCATAGACAAGTTTCTCTTGCCTTTTCCCCCTACTTAATATAATCTTCCAAATAAAAATTTTAAAAAAATTAAAGAAAAATGCACTCTAAAAATCCTTCTAAAAATCCTAAAAATAAAAAAAAACAGAAAAATACGTTAGAGAATGATGAGCCCCGATGTATGACGGGAATCTGCAAATAAGTCTCTACGTTTTGTTAACACAGCTTTGCTAAACATGGGGTTTTTAACCTTATTAGCAGAGTATAATGGAGGCGAAGTTAGAGAAGTGTTATAGTAACCGCCGACAAGAAAACAAAATTCCCGAATTCGGAAATAGGGAATTTTATACCAAAAAATGTAGGAAATTCCCGATTTTTCAGGATTTTCGGGAATTTCTCAGAATTTTTCAGTCAATAGCTTGGGTCAATGTTAGACAGAGGTAAGGACGTTCAAGTAGTGCCATGTTAACAATAGTTCGTAGACATTTACGGGGTATTAAAAAATTTACAAGGTATTAAAAGCGATTAAGATGGTATTCAGGGATTAAAATGGATGTACCAGAGGGGATGATTAAGAAGATATTGGGAGAATAAGAGGGATATCGCTGGTTGATAGGATTTGAAGACAAGAAATTAGGGGTTTTTGGCATTTTTTTTTTCAAAAATTTTTTTTTTGAAAAATTTTTGATTTTTTTTTTTCAAAAAGTTTTTTTTTGAAAAAAAAAATTCCAAAAATGAGGGCATTTGAAAATAAAATATATATAGAGTAGATTTATTAAAAAGGATTGAGCATAAATATAAATAAATCCAGAAAAATAATTTCGTGACGACCCGACCCGAATTTTCAAAAAAAAAAGAAATAAAGAGAGAGAGAGAGAATTTTATTTATGTTTGTTGGGGCTGGCTGGTTGCTGCTCTTTGATTATCTTTTTAAAATTAATGTCTGAAATTTTTGCAATAAAATTATGTTCGTAGACAGACATTAAAAATATAAAACATGGAAAAATGTTAAAAATGAAGAGGGACACTTGAGTAAGTATAGATGCACGATGTGACAGTTGAGAGAAAGCAGGGAGGGAGGAGGAAGGAAAATGATATCAGAATAAATTTGATTAAAAAGGGACATCAGGGTTTGGATTGTGTAAAATCTTGACAAAGATCATATTAGTAAACATGAAAAAAAGGGGAAAAAATTTAAAAATCAGGGTGGTGGAGACATTTAGGATGACATTAGACATATTAGTGACATTTAGAGACATATAAGGTGACATTAAAAACATATTTGGTATTAGAGACAATCATGAAGGTAGAGACATATTTGGTGATTTTAGACATATTTAATGACATTAGAGGCGTATTTGGTGACATAGACATATAGAGTGACATTAATGACATATTTTGTGGCATTAAAGACATATTTGGGGCATTAGTGACATATTGGACATTAGAGGCATATCTGGTGACAGAGACATATAGGGTGACATTAAAACATATAGTGGACATTAGAGACATTTGGTGACATTAAAACATATAGTGGACATTAGAGGCATATTTGCTGACATTAGAGGCATATTTAAAAAAGCATTTTTGCTGACAGAGACGTATACTAAGAAGCGTGGATAATAAAATTAAGAAAATAAATTTTTTTGAATGAGCATCCTTCTACTCCTCCAATTTATTTTTTTTTCATCCTTGATCCTTATATAAGATCTTCTTCCTAAATATCTTCTTCTTTTATTCCCTTCTAATTCAATTACAATTATATGTATGCTTCTTCTTAATTTTAAGCAGAAAAAAATTGTTCATCCAAGAGAAAAGGATGAGTATAGCAATAGAGATTTTTAGGAGATCTTAGGAGATTTTAGGCGATGAAGACGAAAAAAGCTAAGAAAGAGGAGAGAGGTCGCGCGTGGATTTCTTTAAAAAAAAAGAAGTTTTTACTAATTTTCTTCAACCTCTTCTCCTCTCTTTTTAGCCTTTTTTATTTAAAAACAATTTTATTTATTTTCATAAAACCAGTATTAAATCCTTAATATTTACAAAATAAAATGAGTGCGCGCTCGCACACATGAAAATGCGAAAAATGACATTTTATATATTTTGAAGAGAGAGGGGGGATTTTAAATATTGATTAGAAAATTGAAAAGTTATATATAAAATTGAGAAGCCTATAATTTTTATTTAAAAAAGGAAATAAAATTTTCAAATTAAAAAAAGGAAGTAAGTTTTTAGAAAATTCCACATGAAAATTTAAAAAATTTCTCGTTTGGTGTAGTTGGTTAATTTTTAATTTTCAACATAAAAGGGTCGAAGGTTCGAATCCCACTCGTGGAAAATAATTTTTATTTGAAGGAAAATTAATTTTCTATACATAATTTTCATTTTAAATTTACTTAAAAAAATTTTTAGACCAAAATTATCGAGAAATTATAGAAAATTATTTAAGGATTGGGTACAAAGTAGAGAGGTGAGTGGACCTGACCGGGCCAACTTTAATCGCCCACAACTTTTTTAGCCATGATCCAATCCAAATGAATCCTTATATCATTCTAAAGCCCTCGATAAGCGGTGTCTTTTGCCCTATTGGATGGATCAAATCCGATTACTTATTAAAAAGTTATGGTTAATTAAAGGCATTTAAGTAGAGTAATAATAATAATTATTTAAAAAATAAGAATACAATAATAATTTTAAAAAATAAAGTTGAAAAAAAAAATAATTAAGTAAATGCGCAAGGGAAAAAAATAAATTTAGAAAAACAATTAAAAAATACGAAAATTAAAAAATAATTAGAAAAAAATAAAATATACCCCTCCCCTTAATTATAACTAGGGTTGCCGTTTTCGAGTCGGGCCGACGGTCGAGGCATTTTTTTTCGGGCTTGTTTTTATCGAGTCGGGCCGGTACGAGTCTTTTTCGGGCCTAACTTTATCGAGTCGGGCCGGTACGAGTCTTTTTCGGGCCTAAATTTATCGAGTCGGGCCGGAACGAGTCACTTTCGGGCCTGACTTTATCGAGTCGGGCACCGAGACATTTTCGAGTCTTTTTTTAAAAGATTTATTTAAAAATAATTAGTGGATTTGGAGGGATATCTCTGAATTAAAAGGTATATCGATGGATCAGAAGGGTAAAGGAAGGGCTGAAGAGAATTAAAATGGATATCAGTGGATTTGAGGGATTAAGGTGATTTAAATTATCGGAGGATTGATGTGAGATATTGCTAGATTTGGTTTTATTAAAGGAGATCAAATGATTAAGGGGTTCAGGATCGTATATCAGATGATTAAGGTGATATATTGTAATGGGATTTAGAAGGAATGAGGAGATTTGAAGGGATATCGGGGATTCGTGCGTTAATCACCAAATCCCTTAATTTCCTCGTATCCTTGTTAATGCTCTAAATCCATCATAATTTCTCCTACAGCTTCTTTATCACTTCATTGACAGTAGAAAGGAAGAAATCTGGCCACTTAGTCTTCCAAAAGTCTTAAACTTTTCGACTCCAGCGGTAAAAAAAAGATAAAATCACTGATATACCTACAAATCACTGGTGCCAATTAAATACACACTTGATCCAAGGGCGTATCCAGGGGGGCTGGGGGGCGGGGCTAGAGCCCCCCCCCCCCCCCCCCCCCCCCCGAAATACGGGAAAGGGGGAAAAATTAGTAGAAGAATGGTCGAAAAAGTGAAATTTTTTCACCTACAACCCTCAGATTTTAAAAAATTTTCGCCTGCGGCGCTATAAATGGAAGACTTGTGGACTGAAGATTGCGACTGCGTATTTTAAAGTTAAAATTGCGGACTGCGAAAAATTGTGGACTCTCAAAACTGATTGAGTTTCAAAAGTTCAAATTATGACGGGATCCCGCGGAATATATACCATAACTCCCAGTAATCCAGCTTATCAATTAAAGCCAGTAAGTTCGAGATGTGAAGCAAAGTATGGAGATAAAAACCCTTCATGCAGGCAAAAATTTTGAGATATTCGGAAGGCTAAGGACCAAACTTCTTCCTTTTTCAGCGCCGCAGGCGAAAATTTTTCGAATTTTGGAAGGCCACAGCCAGATTTCACCCATTTTTGTCCACAAATCTGGTAAAAATATTATCGAGTCTCGTTCGAGTCGGGCCGACTTTTTCCGAGACAATTTTTTTCGGGCCTGTTTTTATCGAGTCGGGCCGTTACGAGTCTTTTTCGGGCCTAAATTTATCGAGTCGGGCCGGTACGAGACTTTTTCGGGCCAAACATCGAGGCATGACTCGATCTTTCGGTCCGAGTCGGTCCATTTTGGCAACCCTAATTATAACAATTTTCGAACCTGAACTCTTTGGTGTAGTCGGTTAATTTCCCTTTTGCTTCTTTTTATAAAATAAAGAGAGCGAGAAAAAATTTTTTTAATTTAGAAATTAATTTTTAAAGTCTTTCAAGAAATTTATATTTAATTTTATTTCCTCTCAAAAAAGAATAAAATAATTTTATTTAACTCGCTCGCGCGCATTTACGTGTAGGAGGGAAAATTGTGTAAAAAATCGTATAAAAAAGTACAAAAAAGAAAGAAAATGTGACGTTCAAAAAAATTTATATTTTAAATAAAAATATAAATATTTACATGTTAGATAGAACTTTAAAAAAAAATTCCCTTCTTTCTCTATTTATTAAAATTAATTTTTTTAATAAGCTAAAAGTGCAATGCACTCATAAAGGATTTAAAAAAAGAGAGGAGAAAGAAAAAAAATTATTTACGTCTAATTTGGTGTCATTTTAAGAGGAAAAAAGACAGAAAAAAGACAAGAAGAATCACGATGAGACCCAAGACAAGTACAAGAAAAAATTGAAAAAACCTCCCTACAAGAGAACTCCGTATATGGACATGCCCAAGTAGGCGCAAAGCCATAACTAGCTTAAAAATTTCTGGACCTGAATTTTTGTACCAATCTGTTTAGCTCGACGAGAGGAATCGTTTAATACTAAATTTTGAAAAATTCGTAAATCTTGAAGCAAGTTATGGCTTTGCTCCTACTTGGCCGCGCGCCTACTTAGCCCTACCCTTCCGTATAAGAGACCCGATACTTTCTGGATATCCAGCCTCCTCCCTATGTTGTTTCTGAGTTATTCTTTTCCTTCTTCATGCCAATCATTTATTTCTTGACCAAATATAACGAAAAAGGAAGAAAAAAACTGATGTTCAAACTAGGGAGGCGGGATATCAAAGCACCAAGACACACTCACTACAAGAAATCTCCCTATAAGACATACCCCCGGAGGCTGAAAAAAATCGTCTCTTAAAATAAAGGAGCTCGAATAAAAAATTTTTTAACCAAAAATTAAAAAAAATAAACCAGCCTCTCTCAAAAACAACGCAAAATCAAAACATTTTCCACTTTGGTGTAGTCGGTTAGTTGGTAGTTTTAAGGCAAAATAGGTCGAAGGTTCGAATCCCACTCTTGGAAATTAATTTTTATTTGAACTAAAATTAATTTTATTTTATAAATTATTATCTTACATTCATTTAAAAAAATTTTTTAATGTAAAAATTAACAAATAAAATTAATTAAATATACAAATGTCTTTTATCAAAATTTCACATATTAAATATTTTTATTTATTTTTCGAAGAAAAATATGAGGGAATAGAAAAAGAAAAGATAATAATTATGTATATACATAATTAAACTAAATTTATTATTAAAAAATAAAATACAATGTCGAATCTCGATTTTAAATTTTTCCTCCTTTTTGGGGATGAGGGAAAACACCAAAAAAAAAGAACCAAAAAATCGAAAGGTGTGTATTGAAAATCGAAGGCATCGCTTATGAAAGAAGGTGTCCTTTTTTTTTCAACCCTACCATTTGGTAGGGTTGAAAAAAACTAAAAAATCCGAACAAAGAACTTATTGAAGAGATCCTCGGCTTTTGCCGGTTCGGCTCTAACATTGAGGACACCTTCTTTCATCCAGTGGCTAAACAAACTACCAAAAATAGTATGTAAAATTGAAGGATGTAGTAAAAATTAGGGGTATAAAAACCAAGATCCGACTGTATTTAAAATATTTAGAACAAAAGAAAAATTTTTTGGGAGGGGGGAAACATCCCTTAAAAACTTTTTTTTATTTTTTATCCCAATCTACACTAATAATTAATTTAAAAAAATTTTTAAGGGAAAGAAAATATAATAATAAAAATAAAATTATTATATAAATATGTACCTTTTAAACATCACACTTACAAACAAAAAAAATTTTTTTAGAAAGGGCAGAGAGAAGGGTTAAAATTAAAAATAATAAGCAAAATTGCCCCTTAAAAATATCCTCTATTTCTCCAAAAAATCCAAATTAATTAAACCTTTATTTTTATTCTTCCAATAAATCATCCATCAAAAAAATTTTCTATTTGCTGTAAAATACACGGTAATAGAGACTGAGAATTAAAAAAAATTTTTAATTAGTCAAAAAAGAAATAAAAATCAAACGTTTTCGACCGCCAAAGAGAATAAGAATTATCAAACTTTAACAAATAAATTCCTCGTCCAGGATAAAAATGAGAACCAAAAAAGACTTCTTGATGACTGTCTTTACGAAAAGTCTGTAAAAAAAAATTTTTTTAATAATTTAAAAAAAAAAGAATTTTTTTATGGGACGAGCCACCCGAAAAAATTTTTTCGAACCGCTACCCGACTTTTTCTCTCATGTCAAGTCCCCCTACCCCCAATCTTCCTTACATCGTCCTTAACTAATTTAGGACAATGTAATTTATTTCTTATGTCAAATTCGAGTAATGAACTGAACATAGCACTTAAAGTAAAAAGAGACAAGTCAGTCAAGTGTTCGCCTTCCAACTTCCCCTCTATCAATTAAACCCCACGGACTCCTTTCCCAACCCACCCTCAGCCTTACTTTTTCTCCTTATATAACTAAGAACCCATAAATTAAAAAAAATTAATTAAAAAAATTAACCGGAATAATTTCATCAATTCTAGGCTTATTAGGATCCACAGCTTTTTTGGCCGCCTCAGCTTCAACATCACCTCCTCCTTTCTTTTCAACATCACCACCACTAGCCTCAGCTTCATCCTCTTCATATTCATCTCCACTTTCATCAACATGGACTGTTACCTTTTAAAAAAAATTTAGAAAAATTTTAAAAATTAAAAAAAACCTGATTAGTTTCAGCAACCGTCCATTCAAAATAAACGCCGAATCCAATGTCATAATAATCTGTACAAAACTCCCAGAACAACGAATTTCTTTAAAAATATAATTTTTCAATTTGAAAATTTCAAAAAATTTTCAAAAAAATTTCAAAAATCTTCTGGAAATTTTCTCCTTTTTTCAGATTTTGAAATTTGAATTGAACTTAGAATTTCAATTGAATTTTGAAAAAAACCCCGCGGAATAATTTTAAAAAAATGAAAAAAAAAATTTTTCGGACAAAAACTTGCGGACAAAAATTTTTGAAAATTTCCAAAAAATTTTTTTCAATTTTTTCACAAACCCTTCAGGATGTGTTGGCACACGAACTGTAACAGTTTCTCCATGTCCTATTTTTAAAATTCCTTCAGGTCCTTCTTTTTTAATAGCCTCTTTAAATTCTGCCAAATTTTTGTTTGTCCAAACCGAGGCTGGAGCGACAATTGGATTTGCTGAAAAAAATTTTTTTTAATTTTTTTAAAAGAAAAAGATGCCCAAAAAATATACAAACCACAAAAACGACAAAAAAAAAATTTTTTTAAATAGCAAAAAAAATACAAAACACAAGAAAAAAGAGGATAGAAAAGAGAAATAGAATTACTATGACAGAACATGCCCATTTGAGCGTATATAGAAGAAACTGAAAATTTTATAAAAATCGAATTTTTATGAAAAATTCTATGTAAAAATTCAGAATAAAAAATAATAATTCCAAATAATTTAAAAAGTCCCCAAAATACTTTTTTTTAAAATTATTTAGAAAAAAAAAGTTTCCGGGCAAAAAACATACAGGTTTAGAAAAATACCGAAAAAGAATCAAAAAAAAATTTTTTTTAATATTTATAAAAATCTTAAAATACCAAAAAATTGAGAAAAAAATTTTCTGTAAAAATTCTCAGAACCCAACACTATTCCACATTAATTTAAAAAAATTAAGACTTCGGACAAAAATTTTTAAGGAAAAAATTCTCAAAATTCTCACGAAAAAAAATTTTTAAAATTCTCTTTCCTAATAAAAACCCAAAAAAAAATCCCAAAAACCCCCTAAAACTTAAAAACAATCAAAAAATAATTTTTCAAAAATTTTTTCCTCACCAGGCATTTCCCCATTAGTAAAGTCTTCCTCATCCTCTTCCTCCTCCTCATCTTCATCACTCGCTTCAGAATCACCTCCTCCTCTACCTTCTCCTTCTCCAACTTCATTAACACTCTTAATTTTTGGTTTAGGCGAATTTTTCGCTGCTTTTCCAGTTGTTTTAGAAGGAAGGGCAGCTTCCAAATCCGATACAAAATTTGAATTTAAACCTCCATTTGAAGTAGCCTGTGAAGCTGCTTGGGCTTGGGCATAAACTTGTGACATGTATTGTTGATAATGTTGTTCTTGTAGTTGAGAAATTAAGTGTTCTTGCTAAAAAAAAGAAAAATTTTTTTTTTAATTTTAGAAAAGCCTCAGTATAAGTTGGCGTCTAGAGGAATAAACAATGCGTCTTTCCGCTAGTGAGAAAATTCCAAAGTGACTTCTCACTGATCACCAGAGTACCGTAAAAATTTCAAAAAAAAAAATTTTTTTGAAAGAAAAGGGTTTCTAATAAAAGATCTTTACAGAAAAAAATGAAATAAAAAAAATATCGTCGAACTAGTTTTAAAAATTTTTTTAAAAATAAAAAAAATTAAATAAAGTCGTTGCCTTGACAGCAAATATGAAAAGTCATAAAAATATAAAATTAAATTTTAATTATAAACTAAAAATTCACTGACAAAAAGAGAACGACTTTATTCATGTTAAAAATTTTAATTGAAAATATTTTTGAAATTTTGTTCAAAAAAATTTTACAATGAAAATTTGAAAAATATTTTTTTCAAATTTTTCAAAAAAAAATTTTTTTTTTTTTTGAAAAAAAATTATTTCACAAACCTTTTCAGGTTCTCCAGGATGTGTTTGTTGTGCATATGCCAAAAATTGATGATATGTTTGTTTATTTAATGCTTCTTGAATTTGTTGTCTTTAAAAAATAAAATTAATCAAAATTTATTCAAAAAATTCCCAAAAAACCTTTGCTGTTCAAATTGTTGCAAAATTTCTTTTGATTCAAGCGGGTCTGGAAGCATTCCTTTATTTGTTGTTAAATATGCATTGATGCTTTAAAATTAAAAAAAAATTTAAAAATTTAAAAAATAAAGACATTTAATCCCACTTATGTAAGGATGATCCACTTACAAATTAGAGCATTTTAAACGCTTATTGTTAGGCGTGGGTTAAATGAATCTCTAAAAGGATAACAGAGAATAGATTAGTCGATGCCCCGATAGCTCATTGTAAGTGGTAGAGCTGTATGGTGAGCGAAAGTGCCTAACAAAAACTACTGGGAAGTCGCAGGTGAATCCCGCCCGGTGGCTAAACTTTTCTAAACTCTTTCTTTTTTTCGATTCACGATTTCGACAATTTTTTCTGTTTCGAAACAGTTCTAGGTCGAGATAAAAATTCATAGGCTTTCCAAGACTCTTAGGGGTCTTGGTCTTGACTTAAAACTTTCTTGGGGTTTTTTCGGTCTTGAATCATGGAAAATTTACGGTTTTGGACAGCTCTAAAAATTGATACAAGCTTTTCTTTTACCTCGTATATTTTTAAAAAGAAATCAATAAAAAAAAGTTTTTTTTCAAGCTTACGACTCATCCAAAGAAATAAATAAATTACTTATTTTGAAGGAAGAAAAGAAAACTTGTGTCTTCTAATTTACTTAAAAAAACATAAGGCATCTTTTCAAAGTAAAAAAGGAAGAGTAAATGAAAAAGTGTCAGTCATGCTTGTGAGAGAAAAAATAAACTAATATAATTTAATAAACTTGAAAAAACTTAAAAAAAAATTTCCAACACGAAATACGAGGTTCCAAAAAATCTCAAACTTTAAGAAAAATAATAATCGGAATAAAATGTCCATTTTCAAAAAAAAATTAAAAAATTAAAGGCCTTTGTTTAACAATTTTTAACAAGGTTCCAAAAAATCCCAAACCTTAGGAAATATAAAAATCAATACACTAACCATTATGGGATAAAATGTCCATTTTTCAAGAAATAAAAATAAGAATTTTCCATCGATTTAAAAAAATTGTTTAACAAAGGCCTATAGAATTCCCCCAAAAATTTCAAAAAAAAAAATAAATTTAAACTAACCTATTTCCACCACCTTCCCCTCCAACATTTTTATCATTTCCAAAATTTGCCATTTTTGTAGTCATTTCAATTTTATGTTTTTGTTGTTGTTGATTTTCCAAAGAATTTCGAAATGTTGGACATACAGCATCCAATAAACGAATAAATTCTAACATTGCTTGTAGAACAGGTAATGAAGAAAATGTTTTCCAAACTTTTCTAAAAATAAAAAAAAAATAAAATTTTTACAAAGAATTTAAATTATAAATGAATCTTTAAATTTTATTATAAAAAAGCCCTGAGGTTATAGCCAAAAAATTTTTCAAGAAATTTTTTAAAAAAATCAACCATAGGGGAAAATGGGATAAAATGTCCATTTAAAAAAAAATTTAAAATTAAATTTAAAAAAGAAGTCAAAAACCAAACAAAAAAATAACCCAAAAAACCCCAATAAAAATTTTAAAGAATTAACAAAACAAAAAAATACATTAACCAATAAAATGTGCCAACACAAAAAATAAAAAGAATCTTTGACATTTTTCTTTTAATGCCTTTAATTCTTCTTCCCAAAATTTTCTTTTAATAAGCCAAAAATTATTTGTTTTTTTTTTCTAAAAAACATCGGTTCACTTAACAACAAAAAATAGAAAAAAAAGTGCCAAAAAAATCTCCGAAAAAAGCGCTTCTTAAAAATCTTTCCTAAAAAATCATCTCCTCAACAAAGGATTCTCAAAAAAATTTTTTTTACTAAAAAATTTGAATGAATTATCTCTTACGGCTTCCTTTAATTGTCTTCTAATCTTAAAAAATAGGCTTCGTCCTAAAAATTTTTCACCTCAAAAATTCTACTAGAATCTTCTCCCTAAAAACCACCTCAAAAATCTCCCCCAAAAAAACCTTCTCGGAAAAAATTTTTTTTAAATAAGACATAAAAACCAGGATGACATGTCTATTATGGCTTCCTTTAATTACCTTCTAATCTCCAAAAAACTTCTTCTCAAAAAATCTTTTTACCTTAAAAATCCTAAAGATATAAAAAAAATCTCCCCTTGAAAAAATCTTCTCGTAAAAAATTTTTTCAACTAAATAGGACAAATTGACTTCCCATTCTCCCAAAAAAAAATTTAAAAAAAAAAATTCCTAGCTTTTCCTAAAATATTCTTCCCTCTCTTTTTTCTTCCTCCAAACACCCCTCTCTAATCCCCCTCCTTTAAAAATAACAAATAAATTAGTGTTAACAATAAGTATCTTGTATTGTTTACGCCAAAGTGACACACAAAAATTTTAAAATAACTTTAAAAAAAGGAAGAAAAGCCCTTTTTTTCACAACATTTTTGGGGGGAAGTGTCAATATTCGAAAAAAAAAACACTTTCTAGTTATTTTTACTTTATTCTCCCTTGGGAAAATACAAAAAAGAAAAATATATAAACTGATGCCGTCAAAAAAAAAATTTTTTTTTCATTTTGGGACGAATTGTCTCATTTAAATAATTTTTAAATTTAATTCAAAAAAATTATTTGAAGTTATGGATAAAAAAATCTAAAAAAATTTCGAAAAAATCCTGAAAAAATAAAAAAAACCCTAAAAAAATTAAAAAAATTTTTGTTTGAAAAAATGCCCAAAATTAAAAAAAAATCTAAAAAATGGAAAAAAATATTCATAAATTTATATTGTACAAAGTTTAAAATAACACGAAATAAAAAAAAATAAAAATCGTCAATTACTCACATACTTACTCACAATTCAATTTAACCCCCCTTTTACTTTCCACTAAAAAAATTTCTTTTTATTTTTTAAATAGATATTTAAGGTTTAGCTAACCTATAACTCTTCTCTCTTCTTTCCCTTATTCAAAAAAATTCAATTACAAAGACAATTGTATCAAAATTAAATTTTATATAAAAAAGAGAAAAGAAATTAGGCATGAATTTCTGATTTTAAAAATAAATTTAAAAAAAAAGAAAATAAAAAAAATAGATTTAAAAAAATAGAAAAACCCACGATAATTAAATAAAAATGAAAAATTCAAAAAAAAATAAAATTGAGGAAAAAATAAAAAAAAGTTCTGTCCCTTGAAAGTTTTCAAAAAAATATTTTTCATAAAAAAAAAATTTTTTTAATTTTGAAAATGGTAATTTTCAATTTCGTTCCCCCCCCCTCTTTTTTTCCTTCCTCAAAGTATTACACAATGGTCAGTCAATCTTAAGTTATAGAACTCGTCGAGCTGTGTCGAATGACACCAAAATCGAAAAAATCGGACTTGATTGGACCGAAATACAGACCCCGGAAAATTGAACAACCACAGGGGCGAAAAACCAAAAGGACGAAAAAGTATACAAATGATAGCTCGTTCGAAAGAGCTCGTCGAGCTGAGTCGAATGACACTAAAATCGACGTGATCCGACTTGATTTGACAAAGATATGACATAAATCATCGACTCCGGTAGGTCTAAATAATGTCGTAACTTTGCCAAATCTTGTCCAATTACGTTGATTTTGATGTCATTCGACTCAGCTCGAAGAGCTCTTTCGAATGAGCTACCATTTGCTTAAATTTTTTTAATTTCAAAAAATCGCCCCTGTGGTTGTTCAATTTTCCGGGGTCTGTATTTCGGTCCAATCAAGTCCGATTTTTTCGATTTTGGTGTCATTCGACACAGCTCAACGAGTTCTATAACTTAAGATTGACTGACCATTGTGTAATACTTTGAGGAAGGAAAAAAAGAGGGGGGGGGGGACTAACAAGGAACCATCGTTTACTGTGACTGCGAATTTGATATATTTTTTGGTACCATTCGATAGAGGATCCTCGACATAGTATTGTGGCGCTATCCGTTTTCTTGCAAAATTAGTTTGGGCCGAGTTATGGCCGTTCAAAGTTAGACCGCTAGAGTCTGGAGTTTTAGGGTAAGTAAGCAATTTCTCTCTTATTTTTCATCCTCAAAAAGGCCCCGCCCACTCCTCTTCTCTTTGTTTATTGTGTCTGACATTTTCTCCCTTCTTTTTTTCCTCGCGCCTCTTGCATTCTTATTTCCTCTTTGTAAGGCAATGTGAAGAAAGCAGAGAAAGTGGAAAAAAGTAACAGCGCGCATCTTTTAGCTTTTTTTCATTATACTCAACCACTCCCATAGACTGAAACTTTGAACGGCCATAACTCGGCCCAAACTAATTTTGCAAGAAAACGGATAGCGCCACAATACTAAGTCGAGGGTCCTCTATCGAATGGTACCAAAAAATATATCAAATTCGCAGTGACAGTAAAGAATGGTCCCTTGTCAGAATACCAAAAAAATTTTCTTATTTTTTTATTAAAAAAATTTTTTTGGTAAAATATTTTTTTATTGAAAAATTTTTTAGAATATCAAAAAAAATTTTTTGAAATTTTTTTATTAAAAATTTTTCCGGAATACCAAAAATTTTTTTATCAAAACTAAAAAACTTTACCTCGCATCATTTCCAACCAAATCAAACCAACCACATTCAATGCCATCATCTTTGTAAGTTCCATATTTTGCTTGCTTTGATAGTGCAATAAATTTTAAACGGTGACGATAATCAACAGCTATTGAACGATTCTTTTCTTGATCTAGAAAAAAAATTTTTTGTTAAAAATAAATTTCAACAAATACATTCCCACACCCTCCCATTACATTCCCCGAAAAAAAGTTTCTTATCCATATAGGTCTAAATGGGTAAAGATACAAATTTCATCAGTCTGGACAAAACCAAATTAAAAACAAAAAAATTTTCTTCATAAAACAAAAAATCTTTCTCGTTAAAAAACAAGTTAGCAAGGGTGTTAAGTGAACCAAATGACTCGGATCTCAACTCAATGAAATTATCGAACTTCCGACTCCCTAGTTTTTTTATTCAGCTCACAATACTAGGGCGTCCCAAATTCGATAGACAAAACAATAACGAGATAAACTCGAGCACATATGCTTGCCAACCTTGTCTCGAAAAATTCTAGCAGAGGACAAGGTTAGCTCCGCTTATCGACCAATCCCATAAATTATTTTAAAATAGAAACCTCTATAGAATGAAAGTGCCATCTTATAAGCTTCCTCTATTCCAAGCCCATACATTTCTCCAAGCAATTTTACATCTATTTCAGGCTGTTCATCTTCAACGCCATAAAGTTTTTCATTCTCCATCTATACAAATTTAATCGTGTATAAAATTAATTTAAAAAGAAAACCTGAATGAAATACCAAAAATACGCCAAAAACCAGACTAATAAAATAAGATCAAATTAAATGTTGAAATAAAACCCAGTAAAACAGAAGAAATAAAAAAAACCGTAAATGTCCTAATAGAAGCCCACTCAATGAAATACATTGAAGAATGAAAGCCCCGAACCCTCTGATAAAAGTCCATGTCTTATCGTATTATAAAAGCCCACTCAAAGAGACGATAAAAAATAGAAGCTGAGGATTTCTATCAGGGATGGGCCGGGTTGAGAAAAAAGTTGTAACGGGTTTCGGTAACCACCTGGTCTCTATTAGAGATCCAATGAGGCCCATGAGTGAATCACTATTAAAAAACCTACCCAAGGGGACCCATTGAAAAATAAAAGCTATGCACTATTTTAGATGTCCACTCATTAAGATTCAAAAAAAGAAAAGCCCAGGGCCTCTATTAGTGCATCCACGATCATTTAGAATAAAATCGTCATAATAGCTCAAAAATAACAAAAAATAAAAACGGCAACAAAACCGCGTGTGAACAAATGAATTAAAATCGAAAAAATATTTTATTTAGACTCAAATAATCCAAAAATTTTGACAACAACAAAAAAATTAAAATGCATTTTTCTTGGAATTCGTGGCGAAAAAAAAAATATAGAAACAGAAAAATAAAAAAATCAAACCCGTCAATATTCACAAACTTGTTTTTTGTTAAATTGCCACGTCAAACAAATCTTTCAGTCAATTTTATTATTCTTCTTGGATGTCATCAATTCCATGTCCAGTTATCTCAAAAGTACATTCACTTTCTGGTAGACATGGAGAGTCATAGATCTTTTTTTGTTGAAAAAAATTTTTATTAGAGAAGGTAAGAATGTCGATTATTTCTACCCCCTTTTTTCACTCATTTTCTGGAGACAAGAAAACGAGGGCACGAACAATAAAAATAAAAAGGGAGAGGTGGTTGAAACATGAATTCCCCAACAACCCTGAAGACAAGAAAACATGGGGCAGTCAAACTTAAATTCCCCGACTACCCTGTAGACAAGGAAACAAGGGAGAGGGGGATTTTTCAAACTTAAGAGTACTTGTGGGTTATCCAAAACCAGTTTTTGAGGACATATTTATGCGGACTCATTTTCTCTTCTCTTTATTGATGCTCTTATCGAAGAATGCCACAAAGAGAATTGAGTGAATCGAAAAAGGAAAAACATTTGACCTTTCCTTACATAAATGTCAGAATAAATATGTCCACAAAAACTGGTTACCAACTTAACTTCCCCGACACCTTAAAGTCAAGAAGAACGGCACTGGGACAAAAGGGTAGAAATAACCCACATATACCAGTAAAATAAAAAGATAAAAGAAAACCTTGCAAATTCGTTGAGGTCCTCTTCCCTTTCGAAAAAACAATCTAAAAATGAAAGTTCAAAAATCTAAAAAATTAAAAAAAAAACCTTGTAGTCGAAGCATGAGCTAATATATTTCCACCAATAGGCTTTTTAGGATCTGCTTGATACATATTTCCACCATCAACTTGAGAGACTACTTGGTTTGTAACAACAACTGCAACGCCAAACTAAAAATTAAAAAAAATTATTGAAACTCTCAAGTCTTTTAAAAATTTTAAAAATCGATAAAAATTAAAAAATATACAAGAAAAAATTCAAAAACACTCAAAAGGGCTCGAACCAACACCCAACAAACAAACGAACCAAACACTCAACCACTACACCACCGCAGAACACATTAATCCTCGAACTTTAAACGACCATATTTTGTTACCTAATTATTAAGTCCCCCAATATCTCATTCCCAAAGATAAAAATTAATAATTTTCATACCTCCTCAGCAAGCTTCATTAATCCGCGTAGAAAGCACGCCAGATGTTGCTGTCTTGCTGACAATTCTCCACGGCCAGAATAATCTGTTCTATACAGAGCCATTAAGCTATCAACCACCACTAGAGCATATCGACATTCTGCCATCATTGCAGCCCCCTCCATTAGTAAACGCATTTGATGATCTGTGTTGTAGCAACGAGCATATGCAACGTTTTCTAAGACCATTTGACCGTCTAATTTGTATCTAAAAATGAAAAAATAATTTTTTGGAGAATTTCCCGAAAGTTGAGGCCCAAAATTTGGCCTCTTCCCTAATTAAGGGATAGCCAAAAAAATAATTTCAAGGAGAAACCGCAAAAGATCCCCAGTCAAAAACTCAAAAAACCTTTCCGCGACAGCTAAAAGTCTTTCAGGTCGAAAAGTTCCCTCTGTATCAATCCAAAGACATTTCCCTTCTGCACCTCCCATATCCACTGGAAGTTGACAAATAACAGCCAAAGTGTGGCACAACTGACTTTTGCCTGTTCGAAATTCGCCAAAAACCTTTAAAAGCAAATTAATCTCTCATAAAAATAATAAACAAAAAAAACCTCTGTAATAGAACTCGTTTCAATTCCACCACCCAAAAGTCGGTTTAATTCTCGACTGCCAGTCTCAATCAAGATTAGTTGAGAGCGCTTTACATGGACAACACTAGCAAGAGTAAACGACATTGGAACAAGTTTCTTAGCTTCTCCCTAAAGAACTCATGTTAATCAAATTGAACTTCGTACATCCCCTTTTTTCTTCCGTAAATTGGAAAAATGGTCAGACGTAAAATTTATTCACCCCATACTCTATGGCAATAAGTACCCATTTTTGCTTTTAAGAACCAACAATAACGTTGGATGCGTATACAACTACTACTTAGGTTCAACTATTTCTATAAAATTTTTGTATAGAAAGATCTGCTGACCGAGAGTCTTGATTCGCTCACCCGTAGTTGTGGACCAATGGTTCTAAAAAAGCAGAGCTGGGGGTACTTATCGACAATAGAGTGTGGATTGGAACACCTCTTAAGTCTGCCCATTTTAAAGTGTGGTACGAAGTTCAATTTTGCCCACATGTCAAAAAAAAAATAAAGTCAACAAACGTAGATCTTTTCAACTTTCTGTTCTCCAATTCCATTAACTTTCTCCAATTCCTTTCTAGGGGCGAATGCAACAGACTCGACCGTGTAGAATCCATGAGCTCGAAGTTTTTTGATGTCATTTATGTGTATCCCGTGTTGCTAAAATATAAAATTGAGCTTAAACTCTTCAAAAATCAACCCAAACAAACCTCCAATTTTTCAATTGTCGTATAAGGCAAGGAAGTTTTTGCTTCAGCAGATTCACTGATTACGTCAACAATTGCGGCGGTCGCACTAGCTGCAGTCATTGCACTCATCGGTTTCATTTTTTGCTTTTGAGACATCATTTAAATAGAAAAACACTAAAAAAATGAAGAAACAATGAAAAAAACAATGAAAAAAATGAAGAAAATAAAGCAAATCAAAATCAATCCCCAAAAGTTTCCACTAAAAAATCGAAAAAGGAAGCCATAATTTTAAACGTTATTTTAACGCGCAAATTTTACTCTTTTTCTTTTCCAAAAAATTAACAACAGTCTCTCATCTTTCTGTTTTTCTCTAACTTCACACTCTCCTATTTTTAAATTTTAAAGCTCTATAAAAGCATCGCGTCCGCGAGTCATTTAATTTACTCGTAATTGAGATTTTCGAAAACCATGGGCCTGGGAAAAGCCTGGGCCTGTGCCTGGGTTCCGTGTTTGATTTATTGACCTGGGCCGGATCCTAGGCCTGTATTTCAAGAAAAACCCAGAAAGTCAAAAATGCCTGGGCCTGGATTCTGGGTACAGGAAAACCCAGGCCTGGTCCAAACCCAGCTCGATCACTTTAATCTACCTTCTCTACAAAAAAGAATTTTTTTTTTAAATTTTTTTAAACTTTCACAGATAAAAAAAAAATATTTATTTTATTATTATTTCACCAAAAAATGCTTCCAACATTTCAATCCTTTGACGACAAAAAAATTACAAAAACTTTTCCAAAACGCCCAATTAAATTACCCAAACAAATTGCTTCTAAAGCACTTCCAACTCAAAAAATTAAACAAATGAGTGCAATGACTACATCTAGTTCAACAACAGCAATTGCTGATGTAATTAATGAGTCTGCTCCAGTTACTCAAAATTTTAAGGTTTTCATTTTTCTACATTTTTATTTTTTATGATAGGGTGGGTCAACCAAATATTCCTTTAAATTTCTTTAATTTTGTCCTCCCCAAACACCTAATAAGGCCGTAGCCAGGTGCTAAAGTTCAGGGGGGCTAAAGTTGGGCGTGAGCCAAAATTTTGGCGTTGCTATCTGAAAACGAAAATTTTTAAAATCAATTTTCCAGTCTACACCGCATCCTACCACAATTCCATCAACACCAATTTCTCATACTCTCTTTACAACTACAGACTCCAATAACGATTGTGCTATGATTGAATCCTCTATCCAAGTCTCAAAACATCGTCTAGAAGCTTTATATACTCAATTTGAGGAGAATAAAAATAAAATTGTTGATTCTTCTCTACAAAGCAAAATTCATCGTTCTGGATCACTTACAAATGTTTTGTCAATCATTTCCAAATTTGAGATGAAAAAGACAGAAGTGGAAGTGGAATCAAAATATCTTGAGGAGGCAAAACAAAATTATATTCAGGCTTTGGCAAAATATGATAAGAAGACTATTGAAGCCTTAAAAGAAGTTGGAAATATTACTGAGGAGTTTAATGGTTTAATTTTTATTTCTGAATTAAAAATTGCGGACAGTCCGCAAAATTTTTGCGGACATAAATTTTGTCCGCAAAACTTATTTTCTTAAATTTTTATACCAAAAAATTTTTCCCTTTTGAAGGTTTAATTGTTAATTTGGAAAAGCTTCCCAGCACCAGTCAAGACAATAATTTAAATAAACAACCTATTACGGCTGATAAGGTTCTTTTTTTAGTTTTGAAAAATTTTTTTAAATTTTTTTAGGAGGTTCAAGCTTGCCCTCCTCGTGTGTTGTTCAAATCTCCTTCAGCTGAATTTCTTCCTACAATGCAAATGTATTCATTTTATATTTTTTTAATTTTTAATAATTTTTTTTGAAGTGTTCCTCTTCCTCCATCACCAATTTTACGAAGTAGCATTAAATCCAAAAATGTTCCAAAAGGAAATGTTACACCTGTATCGTTTAAATTCTACAACAAAGAAGATTAAAGAAGAGGCGGTAAAAAAAATTATTTATTTATTTTTTGTCTCGTTTTGGATCAGAACTGTTTCGAAATTTCGATTTTTCGCAGGGGGTAATACTCTTCACTAGTTTAATAAAAATTTTTGGTTCGAATCCGGATATTTGGAGATTTCCTAGGATCCCCAACCCAATTCCTAACTACGAGCGACAGCTGAGCACCAAACATACTCACACAACACCGGTAAATTATTTCCAATTTTTTTCGATTTCCGTTTTCAAAAAAATTTTTTTGTTTCGAAACAGCTCTGCTTTTGACCAATTCATTTATTTATTTTTAAAACTTCGAGTAGACACATAAAATTTGCTTTAAAAAAGAATTTCAAAAATTTTAACTCCAAATTTTGCCAAAAAATTTTTTTCAAAAAATAATTACGGATTTATTGACATTTGCGGACATCCGCAAATGTTTTGCGGACATTTTCTGACTTTCAAAAATATCAAAAATTTTTATATATGAAAAAACGGTGAGTGAAAACGTGAAATTTTTTTAAAATTATTTTTAGGACTAAAACAAAATATAAAAACCCCCAAAAAATTTTTTCATACTTCCCTTTTAAAATTTTTAAACTCATTTTCCACTGCTGCTTCTATTTGCAGAATTACTAGAATGTTGTTGTTGTTGAGGCAATACATTTAATCCAAGCCTTTTAGCTTCACTTTCATAAACTATTAATCGCCATAATTTTACTGTAAAAACTTCTGCTTCGTCGTCGAGTACCTTTAAAATAAATTTTTTTGAATAAAAGAGGCCGATTTTTTATTTACTAACCCTCTCCATACAAAAAATTTTCGTTTGAGAATGCGAAAATCCACATCAAACAGGAGAAAATCAGCCTGTTTGATCTCTAAGGTAATTTGATCTCACTAGAGTCATCCCTTAGGGTCTCTAACCAGTTATCCTTTAAAAAGTTAACCATGTAGGTTTATCCCCTTAAATGAACAGAGAAAACTTACCCAAACCCCACTCCCTTCCCCAAAAAAACAAAAAAAAACCATTGAAAGATCAGCCAAAATATTATCAGGAGAAGCTCTTGAATCAATTTTTTCACAAATAAAAGAAACTAAAGACGGCTCTTCTTCACCAATATATTCACAAATTTTTTTATTAATCCATGGACGAACTCTTGAATCCATTAATTGTTTGTCCAAAAATTCCCAACTTAGAGAAAATGCAAAAAGTTGTTCACGTTCTGTTGGAATTCGAGTAATCAAATCTTTTATAAGTTTTTTTCGTTCTTCTGGCGTCAAAGATTGAATACGATCCTTAAAAAATTTTTTTAGAAAATTTTTAAAATTAAAAAATTTCAGACAAATGGCCAGCAGGGGCTAAAAACGACAATTTGCCAAATGACAAAATGTCACACCCCGAATAAATTGACAATTTGTCAACATGAGGTCTGACAAAAGGCTTATAAAAATTTTAAAAAAATTTTCAAAAAAAAAACCTCTCTTGTAATTTCAAACGGCTTAATTTTCTTCTTAATTTGATGTAAAGTATCTTCCTCTTCTTCATCTTCCTCAAAAAGACCATTTACTGGCTGAATTGTTTTTTGTTGTATTGTTGTTATTATTGGCTTTTTAACTGGTGATGGACTTGAAGTTTCGTCTTCTTCATTATTAGGTGGAGGAAGTGGCTTATCTTTTTCTTTATTTTCAACACCATTTTTATGAGGACGTCCGGGAACTTTAAAAAATAAAAAAAATTTTTAATGGCCTTAATACAACGTGCCTCACTAAGATACCCTCTAGAATTAGGTACTATGCCCTTCTAAAAATTAGGTTAGCCACTAGGGCCCCACTCCTTAAATTTGACCATCTACCGGGATGGGAGCGGGCCGGGATGGGAGCTGCCTCCTCCTCCTCCTTATAGCTGCCTCCTTACGGAAGGTATCATTCATTACAAAATACCATTTTTAGCCCCAAGGGTGTATCTACATATAAAAAAGACCCGACTCCCCCAAAAACAAAAAAAAAATAAATAAATAAAAAACCTGTCTCCCAAATCTCCTTTACTTGAGTCGTTTCCTTCTAAAAATTACAAAATTTAATAAATAGCGTTAAAAAAATTAAAAAAAACCTCTTTTTCCTTTTGTTGTTGTAAAAGCAACTTTTCCTGTTCTTCCTTTTCTTTAAGTAATTGTTTCTTAACCTCTTCCATTTCACGTTTCTCTTCATGTCTATCTTTAGCATCAGCCTCACGTTCACGCTCATAATTTCGACGACGTTCAAGTAAGGCAGAACCTCTTTAAATGCAAAAAATAAAATTTCAAAATTGTCAAATAGGAAAAAATACGCAAAATAAAAATTAAAAAGGTCTAAAAATGATGCCAGAATATTTTTATTAAATTTCCCAAAATTAATTCCTCAAATTAGAAATTATTCCAGACTAACGTGTTCGAACCCATGACCTCCTGAAAATCAAAACTAAAAACCTTCCCACTTCACCAAAGCAACAACTAAAAAACTAAGCGATCTAGAAATTTTTTACAAAATTTTCAAGCGAAAAGGGATCCTTAAAAAAATGTTCGCAGCTGCAGAATTCGAACCCCCAACCCCTCACCAGCAATTCGGGAACCTTACCAATTACACCAAACCCTCATCAAATCAAATCAAATCAATAAATAAAATAATAAAAACAAACTTGTAATTTTTTTACAAATCTAGAAATTTTTTACAAAATTTTCAAGCGAAAAGGGGAATTTTTTTACAAATCTAGTTTTTTACAAAATTTTCAAGCGAAAAGGGATCCTTAAAAAAATGTTCGCAGCTGCAGAATTCGAACCCCCAACCCCTCACCAGCAATTCGGGAACCTTACCAATTACACCAAACCCTCATCAAATCAAATCAAATCAATAAATAAAATAATAAAAACAAACTTGTAATATTTCAAATCATCTCTTTCATCAACATAATCTTCCAAAAATTGTCTAAGTTTTTTAGCTTCTTTATCAATAGTCTTTTTTCTTTGTACTTCACTTTCACGATCCTTTGCATATTGTTTTGCCATTCTTTTTTCTCTTTCTTCCCATTTTTTTAATCTTGTAATATACGATTCTTCACGTTCTGCCAATTCTTTTTTTAAACGACGCTTCTCTGCTAGAACATAAGAATCTTCTGAAGAAGGCGTTCCTCCTTTACGATGATGACGAGATGAGGAAGTACTCTTTTTTGGTGATGGATGTATTGGTAATGTGGCTGTTGATGATCCGGAGGAAGAATTTGAATCTGATGAATGTCGTCTGGATCTAAAAATAATATGGAATTGGTAACAAATTTTTGCGGACACTTCTTGTGGACAATATAGAAAATCAAAACCACTACGTTAAACAAAAAATAGAAGGAGCAGGGTACTTTCCTGTTATCGGCCCTCATTTTTTCTTCCTTTTTTCTCAGCTTAGTTCTGTACAGAATGGTCATATTTTTTTCCATTCTCAAATTCACTCCATTTCCCGGTGGCAACATTAACAAAGAGAAGATTCCCACAAACGAAAAGAATGTTCCCCACAAATGTTCAATTTTCTGTGTATTCGCCGTTTCTCTAGGATTTTTTCCGCAACTTTTCTTCATTAATATCTCATTTGAATATGCCAATGTGAAATGTAGGGAATTTGAGAAAGAAAGGAAATCTGACCATTCTGTACAGAACTAGGCTGAGAAAAAAGGAAGAAAAAACGGAGGGCCGATAACAGGAAAGTACCAGGAGCAGAAAGTTAAATCTATCAAAATAATGACTGCCTCTTGTCAAAAAATGTAATAAAAATAAATTTGTCCGCAAGAAAAGTCCGCAAAATTTTTTTCAAGATTTTCTAATAAAAAATCAGAGTTAAAAAAAAATAATTTTAAACCTTTTAGAATGCGATCCATCGTGTTTAGAATGTCTACTTTTTGAAGAGCTTCGCTTTTTCTTCCCAGATGGCGACAAAGAATGTTTACGCTTGTGTACCTGAAATAATAAAAATTGCAGATTTAAATTTAAAAAAATTTAATTGAAAAGGGGAAGGGAGCAAAAAATATTTAAATTTCCATTACACTTACAACCAGCCTGAAAAAGAGTGCATCTCTCTCTTGATTAATTTTTAGTTGATTTCTCTATAATATTTTCTAGCGTCTGTGAATTTATTTTATTTTTATTTTCAAAATTTTTTAAGAATAAAATTAATTTTTAAGCTCACAAAAACGCGTAGAACACATTGCCAATATAAATAATTTTTATATAGAAAATTTCAAATTTTTTCAAAATTTTTTAAAAGAAATTTTACTACCTCAGTTTTGAAGCAAATCCCAAAAAATTTATTTTTTTTTTGAATTTTTAAAAACTTTTTTTTTAAACTTACCACCAAATGAAGTGTTTGCTTTAGATCAAATAACACAATTAAGAAGCAAAAATGTGTGTGTAAATGTGTGTGATATCACAGTCTCCCCTAACAATAAGAACATACCAGAAAAGAATAGAGGAAGAAATGATAGAGAGAAAAAAACAGAGAGATTTTTAATGAAGTTTAAAAAATTTTTTGAGATAAAATGATACAAAAAAATGAGAGATTAAATAAGAGAAAAGAAAAAAGAAGTTGAAAAAAGAATTAACAAACCTTAGAAGTTTCATCATCCACTGGACTTTTAGATACAACATCTTTTTGAGATCCATCTTTGGTAACTGCATCACCTTTAAATTGATACTTTAGATTAATTTGAATAATCCATGAGTATTTCCGATAAATAAAATGGTCCACGAAAACGGTTCAAAAATTGGAAGGTACTATGGGGACTGGCTAGTACATTAGGGAGCGGATCATTAATGGGGTAAATTCGCACTTTCCAAAAGTTTCTACAAAGAAGAAAAATGGGGAGTTTTGTAGAAACTTTCTCCTTCTACACAGGGGAAACGGCGAAGGACAAAGGACGGTTTCCACACTTTTAGTCAGGAAGTGGTTCCTGGTCCAAGAATGGATGAAGCTGCAAAAAAGTGTAGGAACTTTTTGAAAAAACTTTTAGAAACCGTTTGAAGAAACTTTTTTTTCAAAATAGAAAACAAAGTTTGAAAATAATTCTCAAGTGGATCATTCCAAAGATTTAATATAAAATCTAAAAAAAATGTCAAAAAAAACTAACCTATTGCATCATCTTCCGGCATAACTTCAAGAATTCCTGGAGCTTTTTTCTCTATGATTGCTTTAATTGCTGCTCTAAGCTGTTTATCGTCTTCTTCAGGATTTATTGATTTTGGCGTACCCGAGTCCATACCAAGCAAACGTGTTTGATTCTCAGCAAATTCTTTCAAGTATTTTTCAGTAGCGTCATCAACCTAGAAAAAACCAAATAAAATCAAAAAATTAAAAAAAAACATACTTTAACGTTCAAACGTTTCTCGCCAAGAGGATAATCTTTAAGCACTCTTAATGCTCTTCTGGTACCATCAGGGTGAACAAATTCACAGAAACCAAAAGCTTTAAAGTTTCCATTAGGATCTTGAAGACGTTTCCAGGTATGGACAGTTCCGCATTTCTAAAAAAACAAAAAAAAACCAGTGTGATTTAGGTTATGATTTCTGCAGGAATGTATTCGTCCTATAAATGTCCTTACTTGATTCTCTAATTGTAAGGATAATAATTAGGGGTTTCGTCTGTGGGGGCTAAAATGTCCTTAAAATACGCATATTCGAGACGCCACAGCGAGGGACAGCCCTATTTTTAATGTATGCCTTTAGTTCTGTAACATCCTTGCTGTTATGTTCATATTACCATGGGATCTATGGCAATCTTCTTGTTATTGATTAATTAAAAATAGTTTTCTACATGTACTTAAATCAATCAAATAAAATTTTATGTGACTTATACACTCCAACCCACACCCTCCTAAACCAAAACAAAAAATCTTACAGAAAAAAACTTACTCCCAAAATTTCTTGAATAAGACTATCCTCGCATAAGTCAGTAATATTACCAATAAAAACAGTTGTGACCGCAACAGGTTTAACAGGCGGGACGAATTGAGTTGGCGGCGCTTCTGCCTAAACTTATTTTCAAATAATTTATAAATTAAATAAAAAAATTAAACCGGTCGTCTCACAAACGGTCGAAAATTTGGTCTTAAGGTCAATTGAACCCCTCCAACTATAGGCAACTGGGGAATCTGCATTTGCATAACTTGTGGAGGCATCGTTGGTATAGTTGTTTGGGGTGAAAAGAATCCAAATTTTTGTCCTGTAAATTGGCCTGGAAAAAAGAAAAAATAAATCAAATTCTTCAGAAAATTTAAAGAAAAAACCTGGCTGATTAGGCTGTGGCATTCTCGGTGCCATCATTGGATTGTTGTAAGGTGGAGGAAATGCCATACTTTTTGACAAAATAGAAAAACTAATACTAAAACAAAATTAATAAAAAAAAACGTGTAGATTTAATCAGAAAAGTATCAAGAAAAGTGACCTAAAAAGATCAAATCAATGGAAAACTCAAAGTGTAAGGGTAGACACTTGCACTTGAGAAGACTCGAAATGCAAGAAAAAATAAAGAAAGACAAAATAAGAAATAGCATAGGAAAAACAAATCAATGGGAAAACTCAAAGGGTTCCATCATATATGACCAAGACGACATTTTGCCAATGAGGGTAAAATCACACGTTTTGCCAATAACTTTGTTGACGAAATGTGTATTTTAGCCTTGTTGGCAAGATGTGGAATTGATCAAATATGTGGAGACGCAATAATAAACTCAAAGTGTAGAGTAAGACACTTGCACTCGAAAGATAAGAGAAATAAGAGAAAATAAAGAAAGACAAAAAGAGAAATAGCATAGGAAAACAAGAGAAAATCGAAATTAATTAACACTAATTTTCAAAATACCTAAAAGAGGGAAATATTACAATATATCAACTAACTATATTAAAAACAATATCTCTAACAAGTGTAAATAACACACCTGAACCTTCAAATTTTTCAAAAATTTTCTCAAAATTTTTTATGCAAAAATGTTAAATCAGAAAAAAAAATTTTTTTCTTATCGAAAAGCAGAAGAGGAAGAAGTACTTGGTTTCATACGTCCCCCAACACCACTACTATTAATAATATTACTACTATTCAAACTTTCATTAAATTCCAATGAATCATCACCACCCACTTGTTGTTGTTGTTGTAATTGTCCTTTTTCATTTTTAACATCAAAATATAATCCATTAACATATCCTTGGACATGATGTGACAACATATCCAAAGTATTTAAGATTGCCTGGTCAGTTTCATAGGACGCTTCATTTAATGTGTTTACTACCAAATCTTCTTTGATTACATGTTTTCGTTGATTTCTCTTTTTATTTGAAACTACTTGTGAACGAATATTGTCTCGTTGCTTTTCAAAATCATCCCAAAATGATAATATCCAATTTGGCAATGAAGATAATTGCTTATTATTGGCTTGCTAAAAATCTTTTTTAATGAAAAATAGAAAAGAAAACTGTGGGGGATCCCCTAAGACATTGGGGGCTTATAACTCGGTCCCTGGTATTCCGCAGCGAGAATGGTGAAAATTTCACAAATAAAGTAGGGTATGATCTATCTGTCTATCAAATTTCATCCCGAAGTCCCACGGACACCCCTAGGCACTCTCCGTTGTAAGGGAGAATGTGAGACATGCGGTTAACAAACATGCGTCTCAAATATAGAGATGTATGCACGTCTTCTATTAGCCCCCAAACACCAAAGAAAAATGTATCAGAATTCAAAAAAAAACACTGAAATCTCTTGAGAATTAATAAACCCTTTTATTGGACTCATGATTTCCCAAAGCTCTGGCATGGCACCACACGGGAAAGTAACCCTCACCTAAAATGCTTCACCACCCCCCCCCCTATTCAAAAAAATTTCAAAAAAAAAACCTTAATCTGTAATTGTGCCATTTCCATAGCACAATTTGCATTAACCAATTCTGTTGCGACTCTTTCACTAATACTCCAAAATTCCAAAGGACAATAAGGACGATGACGCAAAGGTTGCAAAAATGGAGGTGTTTGATTTGTAGTTACAATGATTGTTGGAGAAGAATGTGTTGGTGGTGGCGGCATTTCATAGCGTATATGTTGTTGAGTATAATCTTGGTAACCGACAGTTGTTTCTAAAAAAAAACTTATTGTTAACTTAAAAAATTTATGAGAGCCTTAACTTCAACCCAAATTTCTAGTCTATTGTTTTTACTATTATACTAGAGATTGGAGAACTGAAAAGAAAACTTGTTCCTTTACCTTTAATTAATAAACCTGGACCAAAAAAAAAGCAAGTTCTGGATCCGAAGTCAGGCTCCTAGGAATTTGGCTCCCATTCTAAAATCTCCCCCAATATTTTATACTTTAAAAAACCTTCATAAACATGTTCCTCCTCAGGTCCCGAATAAATTAGATTTTGTCCAAAATTTGATCCAAAAGCGGCTGCCTTCATTCTAAATTCCTGCTCTGTCAGTCCAATAAAAGTTTGTTTGAAATAAAAGAAGAATTCTGCCAGTTGTGAAAGTCTGGCACCTTCAACAATTTTGTAGAATGCACGGTTAACATAAGCCATTGGAATAAGTGCAAGACAAATTAGTCGTCTAAAAAATATTTTGAGAAAAATTTAAGCATTATTTTAAGACTATCATGTAAATATTTTAACGAAAATTGTAGAAAAATGGTTTAAAAGGCAAGAGACTCGAACCCTCCACTACAAAGCAAGTGGTCAAATACTTAACCCACTACACCACAAAAATAAATTTTAGAGTGTGAATAAGGGAAGGGTTCCTTTACCCCCGGGTAACCACCCTACCCAAAAAAATTTAAAAAACCGAAATGTCATCCTCGCAATATTTCCAGCTTGACTTTTCTCATTTCCATAAATAACTCCAAGATTATATTCAGACCATTTTTTAAACAATTCCTGAGCAAATCGAAAGTAACATCCACTTATATGGGCTTCTGGGAAAACTTTTTGTGCTGCAAGAACCATAGTATTTTCAAAGTCCGTAATAACTAAAATAAAGAAAAAGATGATAAAAACCAAAATGAGAAAATTTTAATTTAATCAGCAAATATTTGCGGACAATATTTGCAGGGAAAAACATATGAGAGAGCTCTATCTACAGTCATAAGATCATGCCTAATCTTTAAAAATAATCAACTAAACATAGAATTAGCCTATTCTCCCCATCAAGCACATATTTAAACTGTGATTTTTAATCCGCCTTATCCGCAAATTTTTGTCCGCAAAAAATTTTTGTCCGCAAATTTTTCTCCGCAAAAATTTTTTGTCCGCAAAGGCTGAAAATCTTAAAACCCAAATTATAAAAAACCCATAAAAATATACTTCTGCGAGGTTTTGTCGGCTTAACAGGACCAGCAACAGCATCCATGGCTTCCATATAAAATGATTCAGAATTTTCAGTCAAAAGTGCATGTGCTGCAACAATTAATTGGCCTCTAACAATTGTTCCAATAACAAAAGAATGTTTAAAAGGGGATGGGGCCAATTTAAAAGATGCAGCAATTGTCCAAGTTGTTTGACCAGCAAGTTGTTGAAGCATCTAAAATTTTGATAAAATTTTTAGAAAATCAAAAAACAAACATATGGATGTGCAAACACAAAAACTGCATCTTTATCACGAGCTCTAGCAATTCTCGAATCATACAAAAATATTGATTGACCATTTCTTTCCGTCAATGTAAGAGGTAATACAATCGACACAATATCAGAATCCTTTTTTGGAGTAAATCTTCCATAAAGCTTTATCTTTTCTCTGAAAAATTTTTTTGGGTTAAATTTAACTTGATAAAATTTAAAAATTTTAAAAGAAAGCAGGAGTGAAATGGAAGGAAGACTGAAGAAAATCAGGAGAGAATTCTAATATCATGACGCGGACTATCAAAAAATGGGGAAAAGGACAAAGACCAGTTCCACTCCCAGAGGAAAAAACAATGACCAGAGCCGTTCCCAGGAAGAAAAGACTGACCTAATCATGCTCATGGCGGAAGAAAAAATAATGACAAAATCCAGCTCTTAGAAGACCAGAGCCCGTCTTCCTAACTCTAGTATAATTTCTATAAATATTCTATTTGCCATAAAATTTCAAAATAAACCCCTAATAGAAAAAAATACAAAAAAATAAACCTTTGAGCCAAACGCGCAAGAGAAGCATCCGATCCCAAAGCCACAAAAGTTTCATCATCGCAACCAGATCGAATACTTGCAACAAGACTTGCTCCACTCAAAGAAGGATCTTCCCTAGCTCTTTGTTTCAATTCCTGTCGTTTAATTTCTGCCAATCTTTGCTCTGGTTGTGGCAAATGATTATGCGTATATTTGAGTCCTCCAATTATTTTCCCATCTTCTTGTTCCAATGCAAATGCTTTTGCTGAACATCGACGGTTACTACAACGCCAATAAGTATCATAATGCTTGTAACCACGATGTCCAAATTTAATATAGCGATAACCTTAAAAATTGGGATCAAAGTTTTGCGGATAAATTTTGCGGACTGAAAGTTTTTTTGAATTAAAAAGGATTTTTAATAGAAGAGCGGACAAACCAAGCAAGGAATGGATCAGGGAAAATACGGGTTGGGGTTTCGAGATGAAAAGCATGAGTTTAGGATAAAACGTTCCCCAAACCCTAGATGAGTTAGAGAAAAAGCTAGTCGGGTAATTCGTCCAGCAAACTCCTGACAACCCCTGAACAAGTTACCCGTCCAAATACAAACACTGGACGAGCTCCGGAAAAGTACAAATAGTGGACGAGGGGACGAGATCGTCCGACCACCTGGGATGAGTAAATACTAAACGTGACAAATACTGGACAAGCTCCGGAAAGTATAATAGGGTAATACGTCCGACAAACTGGGATGAATATAAATCCCGAACGAGACATCACCCAACCTAATCCCGCCAATAAATCCCCTCTAAATTAAAAATAAACTAACCGTTGTACCAAATACAAATAGATCCCTTGTTTGTAAATCCTCGAGTAAATTCAACCTCATCCTCTTCTTGATCAGTTACAGCAACTTTAGGTATTACAACTGGATCAACAACATCATCTACAACAATATCCTCCATTTCGTCAACTTGTTCATATTTTGGTGCTGATCGTTTACGAGTTGAACGGCGTTGGATTTGCTCAAGTTTTGGGCGAATTTCACTACTTGGACTTTCTTTAATTTCTGTTTGGTTTCCCATTTGAAAAAAAATTTTTTTAATCTGAAAACTAAAAAAAGTGGATTAAACGAAAATATAAAAAAATATTTCATTGAAATTTTGAACAAAAAATTTTCTAAAATTCGATAAAAAAATTTTTTTACATTAAAAATTTAAATAAAAAAATGAACGAATATAATCATCTTAATCCAGAAGTACTTTGTTTCATACGTCCACTACTACCTCTACTACTATTCAAACCTTCATTAAACTCAATAGAATCATCACCAGATTTTCCAATTTCTTTAACGTCAAAAAATAAACCATTAACATAATTTTGAACATGATGAGACAAAATATCCAAAGTATTCAAAATTGCTTGGTCTGTTTCGTAAGAAGCTTCATTTAAGGTACTTATAACGGAATCTTCTTTAATTACATGCTTTCGAAGATTTCTTTTTTTATTATTTGAGATAGTTACTGCACGAATGTTGTCTCGTTGTTTCTCAAAATCGTCCCATAATGCAAGAATAAAATCGGGCAGTGAAGGAAGGAATTTAGAACCATGCTAAAAAAGAAATTATTTGATAAACGTGTAAATTAATCTATCGTTTGCAGGAATGTCTCGAGTTAATAAAAAAGTTGAGCTTTGGATCGGAGTTTCAAAATTTCTTCGGATCGCGGTTCTGGACGAAAAAAAATTCGAACATCTCTTATCCCTAAATTCGAACATCTTCGAACATCTCTTATCCCTAAATTCGAACAGCTCTTATCCCTAGTTTAACAAATAACAAGTTGGGGCAGCAAAAAATTAAAGAAAGCTTGACAGGAAACGAACCTTATTTACAATGGAACATCTCGAATTAAAAACTCCGACCCAAAGCTTGTCACCAAAAATTTATTACTTTTTTCCACCATCGTGTAGAGGAGGGTCAATCCCCTTGTTAGTAGAATTGGGAGAACATCCTTCCAACAAAAAATGGGGTAAACAGAAAAGTTAATGGACCAGTGGAAAGACAAAAGAATTTTTATTCCTTAAAAATTAATTCACAAAAAAAACCTTGGAGCTAGTATGTAATTGTGCCATTTCCATAGCACAATTTGCATTAACCAATTCTGTTGCGACTCTTTCACTAATATTCCAAAATTCCAAAGGACAATAAGGAAGATGACGCAAAGGTTGCAAAGATGCTGGTGTTGCTCCAATAATTGATGAAGACGAATGTTCTGACATTTCATAGTTCAAATAATCTTGATAACCGACAGTTCCTTCTAAAAAAATATTTTCAAAAAAACATCAAAATTAAAAAAAACCTTCATAAACATGTTCTTCCCCTGGTCCCGAATAAACTAAATTTTGTCCAAAATTCGATCCAAAAGCTGCTGCCTTCATTCTAAGTTCCTGGTCTGTCAGTCCAATAAAAGCCTCCTTGAAATAAAAGAAGAATTCTGCCAATTGTGGAAGTCTAGCAACTTCAACAATTTTGTAGAATGCTCTGTTGACGTAAGCCATTGGAATAAGTGCAAGGCAAATCAGTCGTCTAAAAAACATTTTTAGAAAAATAACAACATCTACATCAATTCTCTCTAACCACCAACTATATGTCAGAGAAACGAACCCACTGATCCACGAATATGAAAACTAGTGAACGGAAAAACAGATTTAACCGGAACCGGATTTGCAACTTGAACTGGAACGGATCCGGTCGGATTTTTCGGATTAATCTAGTCCGGAAAAAATCCGGAGATTGCGAAAAAAAACTCGGATTTGGGATCCGAACTCCAGAAAAATCTGGCCGGATCCAGTTCCGCTCACTAATAAAAGCCAAATGTCACCTAGCCCACTAAACCCGACTAACTCAATAAACCACAAATCTCCCAATCCACTACATTACAAAAAATAAAGTAAAAAACCGAAATGTCATCCTCGAAATATTTCCAGCTTGGCTATTTTCATGACCATAAATCTCCGCAAGATTATATTCAGACCATTTGCGAAACAATTCTTGAGAAAAACGGAAATAACAACCACTCACATAGGCCTCTTGAAAAACATTTTGTGCTGCTTCAACCATCACATTTTCAAAGTCCGTGATAACTAAAAATAAAAAACAATGTAAAGTTTAATCAGTAGCTAATTCAAATGAGCTATTCTATTTTTTATATGATCGAATTTCTGACCTCAAACAACCATCATATAAATCCATAATTACAAAGGACATCCCCGAACTATATACAGATAAACTACTATATTTCCTATCGTTTAACGGATGGCCAAAAAACTGACTTCATCGTCGCAAATCTGAAAGGTCACAGGATCTAAAGTGAGGTTAGGGGTTTTCAAGTCGGGCCGACGTTCAAGTCATTTTTTCGGGCCGGCCCGACCGAGTCTTTTTCGGGCCAAAATTCAATGCCCGACACGATCTTTCGAATCGGGCTCCCAACCCTAATCTAAACCCAAAAAATAAAAATATACTTCTGCGAGGTTTTGTTGGTTTAACAGCAGCAGCAATAGCATCCAAAGCTTCCATATAAAATGCTTCAGAATTTTCTGTCAAAAGAGTATGTGCTGCAACAATTAATTGACTTCTTAAAACAGTTGCAATAACAAAACAATGTTTAAAAGGGGCTGGGAGCGGTCGAAAAGATACACAGATTGTCCAAGTAGTTTGACCAGCAAGTTGTTGAAGCATCTAAAATTTTGATAAAATTTTTAACAAATAAAAAAAACAAACATATGGATGTGCAAACACAAAAACTGCATCTTTATCCCGAGCTCGAGCAGTCCTCGAATCATACAATAATATTGATTGCCCATTTCTTTCGGTTAAAGCAAGTGGCAACTGCATAGACATGACATTTGAACCCTTTCTTGTATTGCCTTTTCCATAAAGCTTTACTTTCTCTCTGAAAATTAGGATAAATTCTTGATAAAAGGAAGGAGGCAGGCCAGTCTACCACAGAGCAACACCAAATGATTCTGACCCCGTTTTGTGTTAGTAGGCTGCAAAAGACGTCGAATCATACCAAAACTGTCACCGACTTTTAAAGTCCTAGTTAAAAACTCTGAACTAGACTGAAACACCCTAGTTCCAAAAATACCCAGAAAAATGCAAAAGCAAACCTTGAAGCCAACCGTGCGAGTGAGTCATCTGATCCTAAAGCCACAAAAGTTTCATCGTCAATTCCAGCTCGAATACTTGCAATAAGATCACCACGCCTTAAAGAAGGCTCTTCTCTAGCTCGTTGTTTTAGTTCCTGCCTTTTAATTTCAGCCAATCTTTTCTCTGGTTGAGGCAAATGATTATGCGTATTTTTCAATGCTCCCATTAATTTCCCATCTTCTGTCTCATATGCAAATGCCTTGGCTTGACATCTTTTGCTACTACAACGCCAATATGTATTGTAATGTCTGACTTTAACGTCTCGATTTTTGACGTAACGATAACCTAAAATTTAAAAATAATTTTTGCGGACAAATTTTGCGGACAAAAAAGTTGTCTGCAAAATTTTATTAAAGTAAAAGAGGGTATGCGCTCAAGTCATTTGCCAGTATGTAAACCGGCAATACCACGGGTTATCCAGAACACAATACTTCGGGATAGTTTAGCAAACTAAACCCGACAACCCATCCCAGAAATTTTATAACATTAAGCCTTGTTTTCTCTAGTGAACGGCAAAATCGATTTTGCTGGACCCGAATTCCGAATATGTACCTTAAGCCGGATCGGATCCGGCTGGATTTTTTCGGATTAAACTGGTCCGGTTTTAGTCCGGAAATCTAAAAAAACCCCCAGAGTGACCTAACTAAAGATCTAACTGAAAAAGACCCTAAGGCCGGAAAAATCCTTCCGGCTCCCGTCATATGTTTTCCCTAACACCATCTTTTATGTAAATATTAAAATGAACTAACCTTTATGCCAAATACAAACAAATCCTCTATTCGTACATCCTTTAACAAATTCAATTTCTTCCTTCTTTTCTTCAACAGTTTCTTCATTGTGGTGTGTTTCAGGCATCATTACTGGTCCATCATCCACCACAATATCCTCAACAATTTCTTCTTCAATTTTAGGTGCCGGACGTTTTCTTGGCGACAGACGGCGTTGAAATTGTTCAGATTTTACGTGAATCGTACTTGGACTTTGTTTAATTTCTGTCTGTTTTCCCATTAAAAAAAGAATTTTATGATCTGTAAACCTAAAAAAGCGAATTAAACGAAAATATTAAAAAAATATTCATTGTCTTTTGAACAAAAATTGATAAAATTTTCTTTAAAATTTTCTAGATATTTTTTATACACAATAAAAAATGGGTACATCCCAACGTACCGCAAGGCCAACGTATCGCAGACCTATAACTTCGTTAGTGGTCGAATCGGAGACACACTGATATGGTTCGATTCAGCTCGTCGAGATGCTCGAACCATAACAAAGCAGCCCTGATTCGAATATTTTGAACGAAGTTATAACTCTGCGAAGTTATAGCTCTGCTGGGCTCGCGGCACGTTGGCCTGCTTCCATAAAAATTAGCGAAGACCAGAAGTACTTGGTTTTGGTTTTTTTCGTCCACCACTACTTTTACTACTGTTCAAACTTGAATTAAATTCCATAGAATCATCACCAGATTTTCCAATTTCTTTAACGTCAAAAAATAAACCATTAACATAATTTTGAACATGATGAGACAAAATATCCAAAGTATTCAAAATTGCTTGGTCCGTTTCATAAGAAGCTTCATTTAAGGTACTTATAACGGAATCTTCTTTTATTACATGCTTTCGAGGATTTCTTTTTTTATTATTAGAGATAGTTACGGAACGAATGTTGTCTCGTTGCTTCTCAAATTCATCCCATAATGCAAGAATAAAATCAGGCAGGGAAGGAAGCAGTTTAGTGTTAGAGCCTTGCTAAAAGTTGTAATTAATTAGAAAATCCAAAAACAATATGAGAATAAGGGTTTGCCCATATATCCCGAATACAACAAAAAAATGTATCAGAATCCAAAATAAAAACTCTGGAGTAAGTGGAGTAGTTGGAAATCTTCGGAAATCCGAATCCAGAATTTCGGATATCCGGATCCGACAACATTACTCTGAAGGATCGAATAAACCACTTTATGAAACGCACACAAATCCCCAGAGATCCTACTGGCCCAACAAATCCCTACCCAGAATCGCCTCACCATCTCTCTCTCCTAGTTAAAAATTCAAAAAAAAAACCTTGAGGTATAATTGTGCCATATCCATTGCAGAATTTGCATTAACTATTTCGGCTGCTACTCTTTCACTAATATTCCAAAATTCCAAAGGACAATAAGGGCGATGACGCAAAGGTTGCAAAAATGCTGGCGATTGATTTGCTGCTACAATAATTGTTGAAGAAGAATGTGTAGGTAGCTCATAGCGTATATGTTGAGAATAATTTTGATATCCAACATTTGCTTCTAAAAATAGTTTCAAAAATGTCCTAAAAATTTAAAAAAACCTTCATAAACGTGTTCTTCCCCTGATGCCGAATAAACTAAATTTTGTCCAAAATTCGATCCAAAAGCTGCTGACTTCATTCTAAATTCCTGGTCTGTCAGTCCAATAAAAGTTTGTTTGAAATAAAAGAAGAATTCGGCCAGTTGTGGAAGTCCAGCAACTTCAACAATTTTGTAAAATGCTTGATTAACATAAGCCATTGGAATAAGTGCAAGACAAATAATTCGACTGAAAAAATAAGGGAAAAATTGTGTGTAAATTGGGATAGATTGTCAGCGTATATTACTAAAGATTAATAAAGAAAATAATTTGCCATATTAAGGAATCGAACCACCAACTAAAAAATAGAGGTACTAACCCACTTAACCAAAAAGTCAATAGCGTTGTTTATCAAATTTTATCAAAGGTTACCTCCCTAGACCAGGTAACAATCCTAATAAAAAAATTGAATTAAAAAAACCGAAATGTCATCCTTGCAATATTTCCAGCTTGGCTATCTTCATTTCCATAAATATCTCCAAGATTAAATTCAGTCCATTTTCGAAACAATTCTTGAGAGAAACGGAAATAACAACCACTCACATGGGCTTCTTGAAAAACATTTTGCGCTGCTACAACCACAGAATTCTCAAAGTCAGTAATAACTGAAATAAAAAAGCTTTCTTTAAATCAGCCAAAAAAATAAAAAATGGCAAAAAATGAAAAATAACCTCTTCTAGGCTTTGCAGGTCTTAAAGCAGCAACAACAGCATTTAAAGCTTCCATATAAAGCTGCTCAGTATTTTCAGTCAAAAGTGCATGTGCTGCAACAATTAATTGATTTCTAACAATTGTTCCAATAACAAAGCAATGCTTAAAAGGTGTTGGGGCCAATTTAAAAGATGCACCAATTGTCCAAGTTGTTTGACCAGCAAGTTGTTGAAGCATCTAAAATTCCGATAAAATTAAAAAAAATCAAAAAACAAACATATGGATGTGCAAACACAAAAACTGCATCTTTATCTCGAGCTTGAGCAGTCCTCGAATCATACAAAAATATTGATTGTCCGTTCTTTTCGGTTAACGCAGGTGGCAATTTTATTGCCAAAATATCCGAACCTTTCCTTGTACAGCCTTTTCCAAAAAATTTTGTTTTTTCTCTGAAAACAAGATAAATCTTTAACAGAATAGCAAGCAGGCCAATCCCCGGGGAAGCGGTTGATTTTGTTACCATTTAACCTGACGAGAGAAGGCGAATCAAATTGTCACACAATTTTGACAACCCTAGTTAAAAGCCCTTTGAGACAAGGCCGCCTTATAACCTCTAAAGAAAGTAAACCTTTTTGCCAACTGTGTAAGTGACCCATCCGATCCCAAAGCTACAAAAGTTTCATCGTCAATTCCAGCTCGAATATCTGCAACCAGGTTTGCACCACTCAATGAAGGCTCTTCTCTAGCTCGTTGTTTTAGCTCCTGCCTTTTAATTTCTGCCAATCTTTGTTCTGGTCGAGGTAAATGAATGTGTGCATTTTTCAATTCTCCCATTAATTTCCCATCTTCCGTTTCATGTGTATATGCGCTTCCTGGACATCTTTTGGTACCACAACGCCAATAAATATTATAATGGTTGACATTAACGTCACGATTCTTAAGGTAACGGAAACCTAAAATTGAGAATCAGTTTTGCGGACAAATTTTGCAGACAGAAATAAATTTTTGCGGACAAATTTTGCGGACAGAAATAAACTTTCGCGGACAAAAAATTTTTTCCGGAAAAAGCGCGACGCGCCCGTCAGACGCCCTTATCAAATAGAAAAATGAAATAAACTAACCTTTATACCAAATACAAAGAGCCCCTTTGTTTGTATATCCTCTACTAAATTCAACTTCTTCCTTCTCTTCCTGAACAATTTCTTCCTCATGATGCGTTTCAGGCATAACAGGTTCAATAATTTCTTCAACAACAATATCTTCAACAATTTCTTCTTCAACTTTAGGTGCCAAACGTTTTCTTTGTGACGAACGACGATTAAATTGCTCAAGTTTTAAGCGAACATCACTTGGACTTTGCTTAATTTCTGTTTGTTTTCCCATATAGAAAAAAATTTTAATCTGAAAATTAAAAAAAGCAAATTAAACGAAATATAAAAAAATATTTTATTGTCTTTTGAACAAAATTATTAATTAAAAAATTCCCAAAATATTTATACAATATTGGCAAATATCCAGTTGACTCCCCCACCTGTCCGCAAAGAGAATACGCACTTTTCAATCTTTTCTTGCATTTTTTTCTGCAAGGAATGGCGCCCATTTTCTCCTTATTTATGGTATGACTTTTGATACATGAAAAGATAAGGTCCGTATTCTCTTTGCGGACGTGTGGAGAGAAATTTATGAATTTAAATATAAAATAAACAAATTAGCAAAGACCAGAAGAAGTACTTGGTTTTGGTTTTTTACGTCCACCACCACCTTTACTCTTGTTCAAACCTTCATTAAATTCCATAGAATCATCACCAGATTTTCCATCTTCATTAACATCAACATATAACCCATTAACATAACCCTGGACATGATGAGACAAAATATCCAAAGTATTCAAAATTGCTTGGTCTGTTTCGTAAGAAGCTTCATTTAAGGTACTTATAACGGAATCTTCTTTAATTACATGCTTTCGAGGAGTTCTTTTTTTATTATTAGAGATAGTTACTGCACGAATGTTGTCTCGTTGTTTCTCAAAATCGTCCCATAATGCAAGAATAAAATCAGGCAGGGAAGGAAGCAATTTATTGTTAGAGCCTTGCTAAAAGTTGTAATTAACTACAAATTCCAAAAACAATATAAGAATAAAGAGCTGACTTTTATGGTTATTTATGCATCCTATTGCCCATCCCGCCCGAATACCAAAAAACACATCAAAATCAAAAACTTTTGAAGATCAAATAAACCACTTTATGAAACGCACACAAATCCCCAGAGATCCTACTGGCCCAACAAATCCCTACCCAGAATCGCCTCACCATCTCTCTCCTAGTTAAAAATTAAAAAAAACCTTGAGGTATAATTGTGCCATTTCCATTGCAGAATTTGCCTTAACTATTTCGGCTGCTACTCTTTCACTAATATTCCAAAATTCTATAGGGCAATAAGGACGATGACGCAAAGGTTGTGATTGATTTGCTGCTACAATAATTGTTGAGGAAGAATGTGTAGGCAGCTCATAGCGTATATGTTGAGAATAAGCTTGATATCCAACATTTGCTTTTAAAAAATATTCTTATGTAAAAATGTCCTAAAAATTAAAAAAAACCTTCATAAACGTGTTCGCCCTCTGACGTCGAATAAATTAAATTTTGTTCAAAATTGGATCCAAAAGCGGCTGCCTTCATTCTAAACTCCTGATCAGTCAGTCCAATAAAAGTTTGTTTAAAATAGAAAAAGAATTCTGCCAGTTGTGAAAGTCCAGCAACTTCAACAATTTTGTAAAATGCTTGATTAACATAAGCCATTGGAATAAGTGCAAGACAAATAATTCGACTGAAAAAAAATTAGCGTTAAAATCAAGTCTTATTTTGGGATGGAATGGCAGCGCATCTTATTAAAAATTAATAAAAAAATAATTTACCACAATAGGGAATCGAACCACCAACTAAAAGATAGAGAAACCAAACCACTACACCATAAATTCCTTAACAACCACAAATCCTCCTAACCCACTACACCAAAAATCCCCTTAACCCAACATGACAATATTTGCAGAAAAAAACCGAAATGTCATCCTTGCAATATTTCCAGCTTGACTATCTTCATTTCCATAAATATCTCCCAGATTAAATTCAGTCCATTTTCGAAACAATTCTTGAGAGAAACGGAAATAACAACCAGTCACGTGAGCTTCTGTAAAAACATTTTGTGCTGCTTCAACAACTGAATTCTCAAAGTCAGTTATAACTGAAATAAAGAAAGGGCTTTAAATCAGCCAAAAAATCAGCCAAAGAACGTCAAAAAAATATACCTCTTCTAGGCTTTGCAGGTCTAATAGCAGCAACAACAGCATTTAAAGCCTCAATATAAAATTGTTCAGAATTTTCAGTCAAAAGTGCATGTGCTGCAACAATTAATTGGCTTCTAACAATTGTTCCAATAACAAAACAATGTTTGAAAGGAGCTGGGGCCAATTTAAAAGAAGAACCAATTGTCCAGGTAGTCTGTCCAGCAAGTTGTTGAAGCATCTAAATTATTTGATAAAATATTTAAAAAATCAGAAAACAAACATATGGATGTGCAAACACAAAAACTGCATCCTTATCACGAGCTTGAGCAGTCCTCGAATCATACAAAAATATTGATTGCCCATTTCTTTCGGTTAAAGCAAGTGGCAACTGCATAGACATGACATTTGAACCCTTTCTTGTATTGCCTTTTCCAAAAAATTTTGTTTTTTCTCTGAAAAGATAAATTATTAACAGAATAGCAAGCAGGCCAATCCCCAGTGAAAAGCATTTAAGTTGATTTTGGTACCATTTAACCTGACGAGAGAAGGCGAATCAAATTGTCATACGATTTTGACAATCCTAGTTAAAAGCCCAATGACAAGGAAAACTCACTAACTGTCAGTCAAAATTGTATATTTTTTGGTACCAATCGATAGAGCGTCATCGATTTACTGTTGTAGATTTTCGGCTTTTTTGGCTAGGATTATAAAACTAAAAAGTTACATGGCTTCAAAGTTTGCCAAAAATGGGGGAGAAAAGGAACACAAGAGGACGGCCGATCTGGGAAGATAGGCAACGCTGAGGAAAAAAAAGAGAGAAGAGAAAAGAATCAGCAACTATGCAGGCCGCCTTATACCCTAAAGAAAGTAAACCTTTTAGCCAACTGTGCAAGTGATCCATCCGATCCCAAAGCCACAAAAGTCTCATCGTCAATTCCAGCTCGAATATCTGCAACGAGGTTTGCACCACTCAACGAAGGCTCATTTCTAGCTCTTTCTTTTAATTCTTGCCTTTTAATTTCTGCCAATCTTTGTTCTGGGCGAGGTAAATGAATGTGTGCATTTTTCAATTCTCCCATTAATTTGCCATCTTCCGTTTCATGTGTATATGCGCTTCCTGGACATCTTTTGGTACCACAACGCCAAAAAATATTATAATGTTTGATATTAACGTCACGATTCTTAAGGTAACGGAAACCTAAAATTCAAAAATAATTTTTGCGGACAAAAATTTTTATCCGCAAAACTTTTGCGGACAAAAAATTTTATCCGCAAAGTTATGCGGACAAAAAATTTTATCCGCAAAAGCCCTTATCAAATATAAAACTAACTAAAATAAAACAAACCTTTATACCAAATACAAAGAGCCCCTCTGCTTGTATATCCTCTACTAAATTCAACTTCTTCCTTCTCTTCCTGAACAGTTTCTTCATGCGCCGCAGGCATAACAGGTTCAATAATTTCTTCAACAACAATATCTTCAACAATTTCTTCTTCAACTTTAGGTGCCAAACGTTTTCTTTGTGACGAACGACGATTAAATTGCTCAAGTTTTAAGCGAACATCACTTGGACTTTGCTTAATTTCTGTTTGTTTTCCCATATAGAAAAAAATTTTAATCTGAAAATTAAAAAAAGCAAATTAAACGAAATATAAAAAAATATTTTATTGTCTTTTGAACAAAATTATTAATTAAAAAATTCCCAAAATATTTATACAATATTGGCAAATGTCTAATTGAATCCCCCACCTGTCCGCAAAGAAAGTAAACACTTTTCAATCTTTTCTTGCATTTTTTTCTGCAAAATGGCGCCCATTTTCCGCCTTTGACTCATGAAAAGATAAGGTGCGTATTGCGGACAGGTGTGGGGAGTCAACTGAACATTTGCCTAAAAAACTTTATAAATTTAAATAAAAAAAATAGACAAATTAGCAAAGACCAGAAGAAGTACTTGGTTTTGGTTTCTTACGTCCACCACCACCTCTACTCTTGTTCAAACCTTCGTTATATTCCATAGAATCGTCACCAGATTTTCCATCTTCATTAACATCAACATATAAACCATTAACATAACCTTGAATATGATGAGACAAAATATCCAAAGTATTCAAAATTGCTTGGTCTGTCTCGTAAGAAGCTTCGTTCAATGTATTTACAATCGATTCTTCTTTTATAGCATGCTTTCGAGGATGATTTCTTTTTTTGCCAGTGTTAGAGATGGTTACTTCACGAATGTAGTCTCTCTGCTTCTCAAAATCATCCCAAAGTCCAAGTATATAATCAGGCAGCAAAGGCACCACTTTTGAAGTTTGCTAAAATAAAACAAACCTTTAACCGTCTAAAATAGCCCCCCCCATTTTTTATTTAAAAAATTAGAAACCTTCATTTGTAATTGTGCCATTTCCAAAGCAGAATTTGCATTGAGTATAGCAGTTGACACTCTTTCGCTAATATTCCAAAATTCTAAAGGACAAAAAGGATGATGACGCAAAGGTTGCAAAAATGCAGCCGATTGATTCGCTACAATAATTGTTGAGGAAGAATGTGGTGGCAGCTCAAAACGTAAATGTTGATTGTGAGAATAATTTTGATATGCAACATTTGCTTCTAAAAATAGTTTCAAAAATCTCCTAAAAAATATCATAAAAAGTAAAAACCTTCATAAACGTGTTCTTCTTCTGGTCCCGAATAAAGTACAAAATTCGATCCAAAAGCTGCTGACTTCATTCTAAATTCCTGGTCTGTCAGTCCAATAAAAGTCTGTTTGAAATAGAAAAAAAATTCGGCCAGTTGTGAAAGTTTAGCTGCATCAACAATTTTATAGAAAGCTTGGTTAACAAATCCCATTGGAATAAATGCAAGACAGATCAGCCGTCTAAAAATATTTTTTGTAAGAATAGATTTCATATCACCTCATATCTTTTGACAGAAAAATGATTTTCTCCTCAAAGGACTCGAACCACCAACTAAAAGGAAGTGAAATTAACCCACTTAACCAGAAAGACGATAGCGCTGTTTACTCAAACATACCAAAGATTCCCCTCCAAACCAGGTAAAAATCCTAATAAAAAAATTTAAAAAAACCGAAATGTCATCCTCGCAATATTACCAGCTTGGCTATCTTCATTTCCATAAATATCTCCAAGATTATATTCAGTCCATTTACAAAACAATTCTTGAGAGAAACGGAAAAAACAACCACTTATATGGACTTGTGGAAAAACATTTTGAGCTGCTACAACCACTGAATTTTCAAGGTCAGCAATAACTAAAATAAAAAAAAATAAATTAGAAATTTGAGGACATTATTTCCAAACTACTATGACTAAAAATTACTTAAAAATTTACGAATTTTTGTCTCATTGCGGGAGAGCCAAAAATAAGTGTCAATTTTGCTTGATGGTCTAGGCCTGAGATTTGGAGGTTACAGGGCTATAATATGCTCAAAATTGGACAAAGCAATGGAAACCAAAGGTAGACCTCGAAAGGCATAATTATAAAAAATATACTTCTACGAGGTTTTGTCGGCCTAACAGCAGCAGAAACAGCATTCAAAGCTTCAATATAAAATTGTTCGGAATTCTCAGTCAAAAGTGCATGTGCAGCAACAATTAATTGGTTCCTAACAAGTACTCCAATAACAAAACAATGTTTAAAGGGAGCTGGGGCCAATTTAAAGGATGCACCAATTGTCCAAGTAGTTTGACCAGCAAGTTGTTGAAGCATCTAAATTTTTTTTGCTACAGAAAATAAATCAAAAAACAAACATATGGATGTGCAAACACAAAAACTGCATCTTTATCACGAGCACGAGCAGTTCTCGAATCATACAAAAATATTGATTGTCCGTTCTTTTCGGTTAACGCAGGTGGCAATTTTATCGCCAAAATATCTGAACCTTTCTTTGTATTAACTTTTCCATAAAGTTTTGACTTTTCTCTAAAATTTAGAATAGATTCTTAATTTATATATTGTTTACCTTTGAGCCATGTGTGCAAGAGAATTTTCTGATCCCAAAGCCACAAATGTTTCATCATCACAGCCAGCTCGAATACTTGCAATAAGCTTCGAACAACTCAAAGAAGGATCTTCTCTCGCTCGTTGTTTTAATTCTTGTCGTTTAATTTCAACCAATCTTTGTTCCGGTTGTGGCAAATGATTATGCTTATGCCTTACACATCCAATTATTTTCCCATCTTGTTCGAAGGTATATGCTTTAGCTGAACATCTTCTGTTACTACAGCGCCAATAAGTATCATAATGTTGGTAATTTCGAAGTTCAGATTTATTGTATCGAAAACCTAAAATTCAAAAAAAAAAAAATCGGACATTACGAATTTATTAAAAAAGCGAAAAATAAAGATTGAATAGAGAAGTCTGGTAATTATTAGGGATCGATCCGACAGAATTCCTGAAATCGGGAATTCCAGACGTTTTTTGGCTGGAAATTCCAGATCCCCGAAATCGGGAATTTTGTTTTTCTGTTGGTATGATCCCTGTTAACTCTTGACGAGTTATGGAAAAGCTGACGTTACTTTTCCCTGAGCACGTTACTTCTCTCAATCTAACAATAGGTAAATACCCAATGGATTAAAATAAGCTAACCTTTATACCAAATACAAACAAATCCTCTAGTTGTACATCCTGTAGTAAATTCAAAGTCCTTCTCTTCTTGATCAGTTTCTTCTTGTTGATTCATTTCAGGTACTTCATCAACAACAATATCCTCCATTTCATCCTCTTGTTCAACTTTTGGAGCTGAACGTTTACGAGTTGAACGGCGTAGAATTTGCTCAAGTTTTGGGCGAATATCACTACTTAGACTTTCCTTAATTTCTGATTGGTTTCCCATTTTAAAACAATTTTTTTTGTTAATCTGGAAAGTAAAAAAATGGTTTGAACAAAAACGAAATATTCCATAGATTTTTGAACATATTTAAAAAGATAATCTTTAAAATTTTTACAAATATTTATAAAAAACCTTAGAAATTTAAATAAAAAAATAAAAAAAAATAATCAAACGAATTAGCGATAACTAGAAGTACTTGGTTTTGGTTTCTTACGTCCACCACCACTAATAGTCTTTTTCAAACCCTCATTAAACTCAATAGAATCATCACCAGATTTTCCATCTTCATTAACATCAACATATAAACCATTTACATAACCTTGAACATGATGAGACAAAATATCCAAAGTATTCAAAATTGCTTGGTCTGTCTCGTAGGAAGCCTCATTTAAAGTATTTACAACCAAATCTTCCTTTATCGCATGTTTTCGAACATTTTTCTTTTTAGAAGTACTTGTAATGGTTACTGCACGAATGTAGTCTCGTTGTCTCTCAAAATCGTCCCAAAGTGCAAGAATAAAATCGGGCAAGGAAGGGAGGAGTTTTGAAGCTTGCTATAATAAATTTTATAATTAAATCAGAATAATAAAGAATACAGGAAAGGATGTGAGAAATAAAGACAATCGTTCAAAACGCCAAAGTAAACGCCAAAATTTTGACGCAAACCCCATTTTAGCCTTATCCTAGAATCGAACCCCTCGCTACTTCCTTTATCCCATTTGGTTAGATATCGAACACCAAAGGATGTCAGAATCCAAACCAAATATTAAAAACTCGGAGAAACATATGCGAAAAAACCCCAAAAAATATGGGACACATAAATCCTCATAGGAGCATGTACAAAACTAGAGCTCTAAAAGTAACCCAAACCTAACCTAAAAGTAATCCAAACTTAAAACTGTCTCGCCAACACCCTCTTATTTAAAAATTAATTTAAAAAACCTTCAGCTGTAGTTGTGCCATATCCAAAGCAGAATTTGCATTGAGTATAGCAGTTGATGCTCTATCATTAATATTCCAAAATTCCAAAGAACAATAAGGACGATGACGTAAAGGCTGAATAAATGCAGGTGAGTGATCTGCTACAATAATTGTTGAGGAAGAATGTGGAGGAAGTTCATAGCGTATATGTTGAGAATAATTTTGATAGCCGACAGTTCCTTCTAGAAAAAATATTTCCAAATTTCCTTCAAAATTAAAAAAACCTTCATAAACATGTTCCCCTTCTGACGTCGAATAAACTAAATTTTGTACAAAATTCGAACCAAAAGCAGCCGCCTTCATTCTAAACTCATGCTCTGTTAGTCCAATAAAATTCTGCTTGAAATAAAAAAAGAATTCGGCTAGTTGTGGAAGTTTAGCTGCTTCAACAATTTTGTAGAAAGCTTGGTTAACGTAAGCCAGTGGAATAAATGCAAGACAGATCAAACGACTGAAAATTGGAAAAAATTTCAAATCAATGAGTAAAGCAAGAGCGTAGCCAGTGGGGAGATTCTAGGGTCAAAGCCCCCCCCCCCCCCTGAAATGGGGAAAAGGGAAAAAATTTACCCCCCCCCCCCCCCCCTCCTGAAACCGACCCACTGGCTTCGCCCTTGGAGTAAAGCATGTCCCCCTCTCGGCCGGGTAATAATCCTAATCAAAAAAATAAAAATAACCGAAATGTCATCCTCGCAATATTTCCAGTTTGACCCTTATCGTCTCCATAAATATTTCCAAGATTACATTCAGCCCATTTTTTAAACAATTCCTGAGCAAATCGAAAGTAACATCCACTTAAATGAGTTTCTGGAAAAACTTTTTGTACTGCTACAACCATTATATCCTCAAAGTCAGTAATAACTAAAAAAATTTTTAACATAGGAAAATTATTCCCCCCCCCCCCAAAAAAAAACAAAAATATACTTTTTCTAGGCTTTGTTGGCCTAACAGCAGCAGAAACAGCATCCAAAGCTTCAATATAGGATTGCTCAGAATTTTCAGTCAAAAGTGCATGGGCTGCAACAATTAATTGGCTTCTGACAATTACTCCAATAACAAAAGAATGTTTAAAAGGAGCTGGGGCCAATTTTAAAGATGAACCAATTGTCCAGGTAGTTTGACCAGCAAGTTGTTGAAGCATCTAAAATTTTTTGATAAAATTTTAAAAAAACAAAAAACAAACATAAGGATGTGCAAATACAAAAACTGCATCTTTATCACGAGCTCGAGCAGTCCTTGAATCATACAAAAATATAGATTGTCCATTTCTTTCCGTCAATGAAGGTAGTAATTTTATAGACGTAATATCGACACCCTTTTTTGTAATACCTTTTCCATAAAGCCTTGCTTTTTCTCTAAAATTGAGATGAATTTTTGATAGAAAAAGAGTGAACGCGGGTCAGTCTACCCAAGAGCCATATCGTTGATTTCGGCAATAATTTTCGATTTGGAGGTCAGGGGCAAATAAGCCAAAAATTGGCAATAGGTTACCGGCTCTGCTCTACTGCAAAAAAACGAAATTTTTGGGGATAGCTCGGAATGTTCCCTTTTTAGAAAATCCTAATTCTGCGGTAGACTAGACCCCTCTATATCACAAATAGAAAAAAACCTTAAAGCCATGTTTGCAAGAGTATGGTCCGATCCCAAAGCCACAAAAGTTTCATCATCACAGCCAGCTCGAATACTTGCAATAAGCTTTGAACAACTTAAAGAAGGCTCTTCTCTAGCACGTTGTTTTAATTCTTGTCGTTTAATTTCCACCAATCTTTGCTCTGGTTGTGGCATATGATTATGTGTACCTTTAAGTCCTCCAATAATTTTACCATCTTCTTGTTCTAATGCCAAAGCTTTTGCTTTACATAGTCGGTTACTACAACGCCAATAAGACTTATTCTGTTTTCCAAATCTCAAGTATCGATAGCCTAAAATTTAAAATCAGTTTTGCGGACAACTTGTGTGGACAAATAAATCATGCTGCAAAATTATTTTTTAAAATTATAAAAAAAGAGCACCCCGAAGTCAAACGCCTATTAATATTAAAATCAGATTTCGAAGCAGCGGCATAACCTGAAGGTTTTCCGGGCCAGGTAATCGGGCAATACGTTAAACCCGGTTGTTTTAGGCCAAAAACCCCGTCCCGAGTTTTTTCAAAGCCCCCCCCCCCCCTCTTCTAAGCTCAGAGCCGAGGTAGAACCTAGTTTTCCAGGACTGGAGTTTCCGGGCCAGGTAATCGAGCATTATGATAACCCTGGTTGTTTTAGGCCGAAAACCCCGTCCCGAGTTTTTTTAAAGCCCCCCCCCTCTTCTCAGCCCATAAAAAACCAGATAACACACCGAATATTTAAAAATGTTAAACGGCTATTTAAAATATAAACTAACCTTTATACCAAATACAAACGAAACCCTTAGACGTACATCCTTTAGTAAATTCAACCTCCTCCTTCTCCTCTTGAACAGCCTCTTCATAATGGGTTTCAGGTATGTCATCAACAACAATATCCTCAACAATTTCTTCTTCAATTTTAGGTGCCAAACGTTTACGATTTGAACGATGCTGAATTTGTTCAAGTTTTACACGAACATCAGTCTTGTTTTGATTAATTTCTGTTTGGTTTCCCATTTGAAAAATCGAAAAATTTTTGTTAATCTAAAAATTGAGAAAAATGTGGATTAAAAAATATGGAAAAAAATATTTCATTGAGCTTTTAAACAAAAATTATTAAAAAATTCTTTAAAAAAATATTTTTTATTTTCGGGTATATGCAAAAAAATTTTTTTGGTAATATTGAACCTGACAGACCCAATTTCTTTCTCCCAAAGTTTTTGTCTATATTTACAGATAATTTTTATTTCCCCTTGGATGGAAATAAGGAAATTTGAGGAAAGAAGTCTGACCATTCTGTAAACATATTGGAAGAAACATGGGGCAGAAAAATGGGGTCTACCAGGTTCAATATACCAATTTTTCAAATTATAAAAAAATATTAAAAATTTCAACGAAATCCAGAAGTACTTGGCTTCATATTTGGTGAGTCAAAAATAAGTCTGTCCATGTGGGTGTGTATGTGTCCACCACCACTAGTATTGTTTAAACTTTCATTGAATTCAACTGACTCAGCAAGAGAACAAGAAATCTGCTCATGTTTTTGTTGTTGCTGTTGTACTTTTTCATTTTTAACATCAAAATGTAATCCATTAACATATCCTTGGACATGATGTGACAACATATCCAAAGTGTTTAAGATTGCTTGGTCAGTTTCATATGAAGCTTCATTTAATGTACTTGCTACCAATTCTTCTTTTATTATATATTTTCGATTCCTTTTTTTATTTGAAATTGCAACTGATCGAATATTATCTCGTTGCCTTTCAAAATCATCCCAAAATGCAATTATATAGTCAGGTAAAGAAAGCATTTGCTTTGTACCTTGCTAAAAAATGGATTTTTATGTTGGGTAATAAATTAGGCTATCCCAAAATGATTCTACCTATTCAAGGAATCAAAACAACCCGAATCTTTTATAACGGCTTGAAGAATACCTCTAAACAAAGGGGCCATCTTAAACTATAACCCAAAATTCATAAATAGGGTTGGGGGTTGGAAGCCTCATTTTTATCGGACCGGCAAGACAGAGTCATTTTCGGGCCAAAATTCGATGCCCGACTCGATCTTTCGGACCGGGCCGGATCACGCCTCCAATCCTACTCATAAATATCCGAAAATGGGCCTGAAAGCAGAAAAGCAAAAATTTAGTCCAGTAATTCGAACATCATTCACATAAAGGCGAATAATTAAACGGGGAACTGTTGGTCATATTAGAGGAAGTTCCCTGTTAAATCGAAAAAAGTACGTCCTCATAAAACGCACCACACATGGAGTAACTCCCACCTATGATTGTCATCCTCCCCTTCCTATTAAAAAAATAAAAAACCTTAATCTGATATTGTGCCATTTCCATAGCAGAATTTGTATTAAGTAAAGCAGTTGACGCCCTTTCACTAATATTCCAAAATTCCAAAGGACAATAGGGGCTATGACGCAAAGGTTGCAAAAATGCTGGCGATTGATTTGCTACAATAATTGTTGAAGAAGAATGTGGTGGAGGCATTTCATAGCGTATATGTTGAGAATAAACATGTTCTTCATAGGTGCCTTCTAAATAAAGACTAAATTTATTTGATTGACAAGAGTCATGTTTTTATGAATAAAAAAATCCACTTCCATGGACTTAAAATTTAACTAGCCATAACTCGTCCAGAGTCATTTTGTAAAAAACTCGTATCACTTCGCAATAGGAAGTCGGAGGCCCTCTATATGGCACCAAAAAATAGACCAAATTCCCCGGCACGGTAAACGATGTTCCCTTGTTAGCAGTGATGGGAAGGTTCCAGTTCCGGAACCGATGCGGTTCCAATTCCAATTCTGGTTCCAATTCCGGAACTGGAACCTGTAAAGGTCTGGAACTGGACCCGGGAACTGGAACCAAAAAAATTCAAAAAACAGTTCCAGAACTGGAACCGGTTCCAGAAAAATTTTGGAACTTTCCCATCACTGCTTGTTAGTCATTTTCTTGTCTTGACTCAAAGTAAAAAAATTCCCGACTTAAAATCTCCCCTATATTTTATTTAGAAAACCTTCATAAACGTGCTGCTCCTCCTCCTCTTCATCTGGTGCCGAATAAATTAAGTTTTGTCCAAAATTTGATCCAAATGCCTCTGCTTTCATTTGATATTCATGTTCAGTAAGTCCAATAAATGTTCGTTTAAAATAAAAAAGAAATTCGGATAATTGTGAAAGTTGTGCAGCTTCAGTAATTACATAAAATGCTCTGTTAACATAAGCCATTGGAATGAGTGCAAGACAAAGCAAACGACTGTAAAAAATTAAATTTTCCGTAAAAATTGAAAAAAAAATTTAAAATTTAAGGAAAAATATTCGAAGCATGACTCGAAAACTTTTAAGGACCAAGACGTTCCAGATAAAAATCGGACCGAGACGATTGAACAAAAAAACACGATAATCGAGATATATATTTTTCGAAATATCGTCCCAATTATTAGACAACCCTCCCAGTCCAAAACCTAGTCCAAATTTGCACAACGTGAATTTGGACTAGGTAGTCTCACAAATAAAACAGCCCCAATCTAGGCCCCCATTTTAAACTAAAAAAAACAAAAATTAAAAAAACCGAAATGTCATCCTCGCAATATTTCCAGCTTGACTTTTTTCATTTCCATAAATAATTCCAAGATTATATTCAGTCCATTTTTTAAATAATGTCTGAGCAAATCGAAAGTAACAACCAGTCACGTGAGCATCATGGAAAACATTTTGTGCTGCTACAACCATTGCATTTTCAAAGTCAGTAATAACTAAAAGTTAAAGATTATTAAGTCCGTAAATATTTGTCCGCAAATTTTTGCGGACAAATCAAAGTAAAGAAAACTTCAAAAAATACTTCTTCTAGGTTTTGCAGGTTTAATAGCAGAAGCAACAGCATCCAAAGCTTCAATATAGGATTGCTCAGAATTTTCAGTCAAAAGTGCATGTGCTGCAACAATTAATTGGCTTCTAAAAAGTGCTCCAATAACAAAACAATGTTTGAAAGGGACTGGGGCCAATTTAAAAGATGAACCAATTGCCCAAGTAGTCTGACCAGCAAGTTGTTGAAGCATCTAAATTTTGTCAAAATTCAAAAAAAAATCAAAAAACAAACATATGGATGTGCAAACACAAAAACTGCATCTTTATCACGTGCCCGAGCAGTCCTTGAATCATACAAAAATATCGATTGGCCCTGTCTTTCGGTTAAAGCAGGCGGCAATTTTACATCCAAGACATCCGATAATCCTAAATTTGGGCGAACTTTTCCATAAAGTTTGATCCTTTCTCTGAAATTATTAAATTTTAGAGTAAGATCGAGAGCTAGGAAAGTCAGTGAATGGCCTGGAATAATTTTTAAATTCAATTACATGTGCCGGATCTTGCCCTTAAGGTAAGAAAAACAGAGGTAAAAGTCCAAGCCCCAAGCTAGAATAGATCTCACAGCCATAAAAAATTGGAAACAAAGGAGCGAGAAGCAGCTAGAGAACATATAAAGGACCAGGACAATTAATAAAAAGTTACCTATAAGCCATATGCGAAAGAGAAGCATCCGTTCCCAAAGCCACAAAAGTTTCATCATCAATTCCAGCTCGAATACTTGCAATTAAAGTTGCCCTGCTTATATGAGGTTCATCTCTAGCTCGTTGTCGTAATTCTTGACGTTTAATTTCAGCCAATCTTTGCTCAGGTTGAGGTAAATGAGTATGCGTATTTCGTACTCTTCCAACAATTTTGCCATCTTCTTGTTCAGAAGCTGTTGCATTTGCCGGACATTTGCGGTTACTACAACGCCAATAAGTTCCATAATGTTTGTGATAGCGAAATCCTTTAAAAAAATTTTTTTGTAAAATTCATTAGAGTCAGTCTTTTCGAACCTAGCCTAGTTTTATATTTTTTCTGGATCTCCAGGAAAAGACTGACCCATGAGAGGAAGTCTTAGCCCCTGGTAGCCCCCCCCCCCAGATCCTCCACCTGCGACCTCCGTTCAGTTAACGATATGCGTTTTCCACCAACATGTAAAAAGGTGAGTCTAGTTAAAAAAATGACGAGCCAGGTTTCGGGTACCCGCCCCATTTCTGGTACAGGTCCTGTCGCATTATAAAAAGTGGAAGCCATCCCCTCCTTGGTACAGTTGCCCTATTACCGACAAAACTTCATGGACGCCACTTCCCCTATCCCTTTTTTAATACTATCTTAAACCCCTGCACAGGACGCCTTCTTAAATATTAACCTGTATCCCCTTCTACCTTACAAAATTTCAAAAAAAATTTTTTTACAAACCGTTATGCCAAATACAAATTGCTCCCTTGTTAGTAAATCCTCTCACAAATTCAACTACTTCTTGTTTTTGTTGTGGGACCTCCTCCTCCGTTTTTTGTTGTTTTTCAGGCACAACAGGTTCAATAATATCATCAACTACAACATGTTCAGATTCTTCAATTTTGGGTGCCGGACGTTTTCTAGGTGACGAACGTCGTTGGATTTGTTCTAATTTTGGACGAATAATACTTGGACTTTGTTTAATATCAGCAGTTTCTTTCATTTTAAAAATCTAAAAATTAACAAGAAAAAAAAGGTTAAAAAGAGAAAAGGCCCAAAAATAAAATGATTCTCAACACAAATTTTTGTGAAGAAATATGCCAACAAACTTGGTCACATCCTTCTCGGTCAATAGATTTTTTAGTGTAGAGTAGGCCAAAACGTCAATAGCTCTTCTCCCAACTAGTTCTCTTACCAACTAGACTACGGTAAAATGGCCACTTTCAAAATGTCAATAAACTAGAGAGTATTAAAAAATAAAAAATGCAGGCAATTAGAGGAATAAACTGAGAACACCTAATATACAAAATGTCAACCTTAGGAAAATATTACCAAATGACAATTGTCATCAACCCTAAAATAGGACAAAATGCCAATCGAATAAAAACGTTAAAATGCCACAACGACAAAATACCAATTGTACAAAAACCCCAAAACGTCACAAAGACATAATACCAATCGACAGAAAGACAAAATGTCACCTAGACAAAATGACAATCGAACAAAATGCCAAAATATGTCAAAATTCTAAACATTTTTTTTATAAAGACGTATAAAATGCACGAAAAAATATAGTCATTTTTACAAAAAAATTAATACATATGGAGTAAATATAAAAGCATAAAATCAGCAATAATTTGTATTGGAAGTACTTGGGACACTTCCAGAGGTATCAAAAATAACATAATTATCATTAGAATTATTAATAATATTTTTTGTTTCATCCTCCACAACAAAATTTTCATTTACAAAAGAACACATACTTGTTCTCTCACTTTTAACATCAAAATGTAATCCATTAACATATCCTTGGACATGATGTGACAACATATCCAAAGTGTTTAAGATTGCTTGGTCAGTTTCATATGAAGCTTCATTTAATGTACTTGCTACCAATTCTTCTTTTATTATATATTTTCTGTTCCTCTTTTTATTTGAAATTGCAACTGATCGAATATTATCTCGTTGCCTTTCAAAATCATCCCAAAAGGCTAATAAATAGTCTGGTAATGTTAATTGATATTTGGAGGTTTGCTTAAAGGAAAAAATTTAAAGATTAACTTAAAAAATTTTTTTGCGGACAAAAAATTTTTTTGCGGACAATTTTTTGCGGACAAAACTTAAATAAAAAAAAAGTCTCCATGTTAGAAAAAGGAACTTTTCCCCACCTTTTCCCTTCAAAAATTAGAACAAAAACCTTCCCCTCTGCCTCAAAAAAGAGGAAAAAAGTGTAACAAAAATTGTCATAGTTAGCTCAAAAAATAATTTTAAAAATACCACCCCCCCTCCCTCCAAAAAAAAGCAAAAAGGAACACTCAATTCTGATCAGAACTCCCAAATATCCCCAAAAATTGGAAAAAACCCCTTCCTCGAAAAAAAAGTAAAAAAAGTGTCTCGCTGATATTCAGAAATTCCTCCAAAATATTCGGAACCCTCTCCCTCTTACTCGAAAGATTAAAATAAAGTGTCAAACAATCTTCAGAATGCCCTCAAAAATATACCAGAAAGAGACATTTCCTCTTCCACAAAAAAAGGATTCCCCTCCCAAAAAATCCCCAAAAAAATTTTAAAAAAAACCTTAATTTGAAAATGTGCTGTTTCCATTGCATAATTTGTATTTAATAGAGCTGATGCTGCCCTTTCGCTAATATTCCAAAATTCAATCGGACAATAAGGTTCATGTATTATTGGTTCATCAATGTTTAAAAGTGTTGCGGATTCTAACATGGTAACTGGTTCGGGCGAAGATTGTTGTTGTTGTATTTCATAACGAGGTGGTGGAGCACAATAAACATGCTCTTCATGAGCAACATTAACATCTAGGAAAATTTTTTTTTGAAAATTTTTTAAAAAATTTTTAAAAATATTTTGCGGACAACATTTGCGGACAAATGCCGTAAATACATTATAAAAGCTTGTACCCCATTTAAAGCCCACTTAATGAAAATCCGTTAAAGAATAAAGGTCCATTCCCCCAATAGAATCCCTTGCCCTATAAGCGGCCATTGAAACATATAGGAAAAAAAATTTTTTGAAAAATTTTTAAAATATAATTGCGGACAACATTTGCGGACAAATGCAGTAAACATCCTAGTTAAAGCCTATACCCTATTAGAAGCCTGCTCAATAAGATTATTTGATCTTTTGTCAAGGCTAATAAAATTTAAGGATCATCGGATATATTTTAAGGAGAATTTAAACACAACAGTGCCAGAGACCGAAGGTTAAAAAAAAATTTTTTTAAACAAATTCACATCCCAGAATCCAAAAATAATCAAAAAAAATATGGGATTCACCGTATCCCATTCTGAGATCATCGAGTGCATTTAAAAAAGAATTAAAGAGACTACACTGTCAGGGACCGGAAGGTTTAAAAAATTGACGAAAAACATTAGAAGTAAAGCGTCTACCAGAATCCAAAAAATCAAAGTTTGGGATAAAATGTCACCCTATCCCCCCTTCTACCAAAAAACAAAACATAATAAACCTGAATAATCCAATGCCGGTCCCAACGAAGAAAATAACAAATTTTCTCCAAAACTTAATCCAAACGCTTCAGAGTTCATTTGGAATTCATAATCAGTTAAGCCAATATACGTCCTTTTGAAGTAAAATAAAAACCTTGCCAATTCTGGTATTTGAAAAGCATCGCTTACAATTATATAAAATGCTCGAGTAACAATAGAGGTTAATTCTTAAAAAGAATTAAAGATATAAAAAAGAACCGTTCGAAATTGGAAAAAGTGAAAATTTTAAGGAGGTCCGAAAATGGGCTAGAAAGCAGAAAAGCAAAAATTTTAATTCATGTCAGTAATTCGAAAATTATCGAAGGTAAATAATAAAATGATGAATTGTTGGTCATATTAGAGGAAGTTCCCTGTTAAATCGGAAAAAGTACGTCCTCACAAGGGCGTCCTTATTTAGCCCCCCCCCACGAAATCGACCCATAGCTACGCCCTTGCATCCTAATAGAACGCACCACACAGGAAGTAAACCCGACCTAACATAAAATTGCTACCCTCCCCTTCCTATTTAAATTTAAAAAAACCTTAATCTGATATTGTGCCATTTCCATAGCAGAATTTGTATTAAGTAAAGCAGTTGACGCCCTTTCACTAATATTCCAAAATTCCAAAGGACAATATGGGCTATGACGCAAAGGTTGCAAAAATGCTGGCGATTGATTTGCTACAATAATTGTTGATGACGAATGTGGTGGAGGCATTTCATAGCGTATATGTTGAGAATAAACATGTTCTTCATAAGTGCCTTCTAAATATAGAGAAAATTTATTTGATTGACAAGAGTCATGTTTTTATGAATAAAAAAATGCACTTCCATGGACTTAAAATTTAACTAGCCATAACTCAGCCCAGAGTCATTTTTATAAAAAACTGGTATCACTTCGCAATAGGAAGTCGGAGGCCCTCTATCGAATGGCACCAAAAAATAGACCAAAATCCCCGGCACTGTAAAAAGTGTTCCCTTGTTAGCAGTGATGGGAAATTTCAAGTTCCGATTCCGATGCGGTTCCAGTTCCGGAACTGGACCCGGGAACTGGAACCAAAAAAATTCATAAAGCAGTTACAAAACTGGAGCCGGTTCCAGGGAAATTTTGGAACTTTCCCATCACTGCTTGTTAGTCATTTTCTTGTCTTGACTCAAAGTCAAAAAATTCCCGACTTAAAATCTCCCCTATATTTTATTTAGAAAACCTTCATAAACGTGCTGCTCCTCCTCCTCTTCATCTGGTGCCGAATAAATTAAGTTTTGTCCAAAATTTGATCCAAATGCCTCTGCCTTCATTTGATATTCATGTTCAGTAAGTCCAATAAATGTTCGTTTAAAATAAAAAAGAAATTCAGATAATTGTGAAAGTTGTGCAGCTTCAGTAATTACATAAAATGCTCTGTTAACATAAGCCATTGGAATGAGTGCAAGACAAAGCAAACGACTGTAAAAAATTAAATTTTCCGTAAAAATTGAAAAAAATTTAAAATTTAAGGAAAAGAATTCGAAGCATGACTCGAAAACTTTTAAGGACCAAGACGTTCCAGATAAAAATCGGACCGAGACGATTAAACAAAAAACACAATAATCGAGATATATATTTTTCGAAATATCGTCCCAATTATTAGACAACCCTCCCAGTCCAAAACCTAGTACAAATTTGAACAACGTGAATTTGGACTAGGTAGTCTCACAAATAAAACAGCCACAATCTAGGCCCCCATTTTAAACTAAAAAAAAAACAAAAATTAAAAAAAACCGAAATGTCATCCTCGCAATATTTCCAGCTTGACTTTTTTCATTTCCATAAATAATTCCAAGATTATATTCAGTCCATTTTTTAAATAATGTCTGAGCAAATCGAAAGTAACAACCAGTCACGTGAGCATCATGGAAAACATTTTGTGCTGCTACAACCATTGCATTTTCAAAGTCAGTAATAACTAAAAGTTAAAGATTATTAAGTCCGTAAATATTTGTCCGCAAATTTTTGCGGACAAATCAAAGTAAAGAAAACTTCAAAAAATACTTCTTCTAGGTTTTGCAGGTTTAATAGCAGAAGCAACAGCATCCAAAGCTTCAATATAGGATTGCTCAGAATTTTCAGTCAAAAGTGCATGTGCTGCAACAATTAATTGGCTTCTAAAAAGTGCTCCAATAACAAAACAATGTTTGAAAGGGACTGGGGCCAATTTAAAAGATGAACCAATTGCCCAAGTAGTCTGACCAGCAAGTTGTTGAAGCATCTAAATTTTTTGATAAAATTTTAAAAAATCAAAAAACAAACATATGGATGTGCAAACACAAAAACTGCATCTTTATCACGTGCTCGAGCAGTCCTTGAATCATACAAAAATATCGATTGGCCCTGTCTTTCGGTTAAAGCAGGCGGCAATTTTACATCCAAGACATCCGATAATCCTAAGTTTGGGCGAACTTTTCCATAAAGTTTGATCCTTTCTCTGAAATTATTAAATTTTAGAGTAAGATCGAGAGCTAGGAAAGTCAGTGAATGGCCTGGAATAATTTTTAAATCCAATTAAATGGGCCGAATCTTGCCCTTACGGGAAGAAAAACACAGGTAAAGGTCCAAGCCCCAAGCTAGAATAGATCTCACAGCCATAAAAAATAGGAAACAAAGGTACGAGAAGCAGCTAGAGAACATATAAAGGACCAGGACAATTAATAAAAAGTTACCTATAAGCCATATGCGAAAGAGAAGCATCCGTTCCCAAAGCCACAAAAGTTTCATCATCAATTCCAGCTCGAATACTTGCAATTAAAGTTGCCCTGCTTATATGAGGTTCATCTCTAGCTCGTTGTCGTAATTCTTGACGTTTAATTTCAGCCAATCTTTGCTCAGGTTGAGGTAAATGAGTATGCGTATTTCGTACTCTTCCAACAATTTTGCCATCTTCTTGTTCAGAAGCTGTTGCATTTGCCGGACATTTGCGGTTACTACAACGCCAATAAGTTCCATAATGTTTGTGATAGCGAAATCCTTTAAAAAAATTTTTTTGTAAAATTCATTAGAGTCAGTCTTTTCGAACCTAGCCTAGTTTTATATTTTTTCTGGATCTCCAGGAAAAGACTGACCCATGAGAGGAAGTCTTAGCCCCTGATAGGCCCCCCCCCAGATCCTCCACCTGCGACTTCCGTTCAGTTAACGATATGCGTTTTCCACCAACATGTAAAAAGGTGAGTCTGGTTAAAAAAATGACGAGCCAGGTTTCGGGTACCCGCCCCATTTCTGGTACAGGTCCTGTCGCATTATAAAAAGTGGAAGCCATCCCCTCCTTGGTACAGTTGCCCTATTACCGACAGAACTTCATGGACGCCACTTCCCCTATCCCTTTTTTAATACTATCTTAAACCCCTGCACAGGACGCCTTCTTAAATATTAACCTGTATCCCCTTCTACCTTACAAAATTTCAAAAAAAATTTTTTTACAAACCGTTATGCCAAATACAAATTGCTCCCTTGTTAGTAAATCCTCTCACAAATTCAACTACTTCTTGTTTTTGTTGTGGGACCTCCTCCTCCGTTTTTTGTTGTTTTTCAGGCACAACAGGTTCAATAATATCATCAACTACAACATGTTCAGATTCTTCAATTTTGGGTGCCGGACGTTTTCTAGGTGACGAACGTCGTTGGATTTGTTCTAATTTTGGACGAATAATACTTGGACTTTGTTTAATATCAGCAGTTTCTTTCATTTTAAAAATCTTAAAATTAACAAGAAAAAAAAGGTTAAAAAGAGAAAAGGCCCAAAAATAAAATGATTCTCAACACAAATTTTTGTGAAGAAATATGCCAACAAACTTGGTCACATCCTTCTCGGTCAATAGATTTTTTAGTGTAGAGTAGGCCAAAACGTCAATAGCTCTTCTCCCAACTAGTTCTCTTACCAACTAGACTACGGTAAAATGGCCACTTTCAAAATGTCAATAAACTAGAGAGTATTAAAAAATAAAAAATGCAGGCAATTAGAGGAATAAACTGAGAACACCTAATATACAAAATGTCAACCTTAGGAAAATATTACCAAATGACAATTGTCATCAACCCTAAAATAGGACAAAATGCCAATCGAACAGAAACGTCAAAAGGCCAGAAAGTCAAAATGCCAATCATACATAAACCCAAAACGTCACAAAGACAAAATGCCAATCGAACAAAAACATCAAAATGTCACAACGACAAAACGCCAATCGAACAAAATGCCAAAAATATGTCAAAATTCTAAAGATTTTTTTATAAAGTCGTATAAAATGCACGAAAAAATATAATCATTTTTACAAAAAAAATTAATACATATGGAGTAAATATAAAAGTAAAATCAGCAATAATTTGTATTGGACGTACTTGGGACACTTCCCGAAGTATCAAAAATAACATAATTATCATTAGAATTATTAATAATATTTTTTGTTTCATCCTCCACAACAAAATTTTCATTTACAAAAGAACACATACTTGTTCTCTCACTTTTAACATCAAAATGTAATCCATTAACATATCCTTGGACATGATGTGACAACATATCCAAAGTGTTTAAGATTGCTTGGTCAGTTTCATATGAAGCTTCATTTAATGTACTTGCTACCAATTCTTCTTTTATTATATATTTTCTGTTCCTCTTTTTATTTGAAATTGCAACTGATCGAATATTATCTCGTTGCCTTTCAAAATCATCCCAAAAGGCTAATAAATAGTCTGGTAATGTTAATTGATATTTGGAGTTTTGCTTAAAGAAAAAATTATTAAAGATTAGCTTAAAAATTTTTTTGCGGACAAACATTTGCGGACAAACTTGAAGACTTTCAAAACTAAGGAAATAAATACAGTGGTAAGTCAGGTACCCTTGCCAAAGCATTTTGACTATTTTGGTCTGAATATTGAACGAAAATGATCTCAATATTCAGCAAAAAAAGGTATCAAATGTTCAGAAAACCACAAAAAACTTGACACTTCTTTCCCTCAATGAAAGGAAATGAAGTCCCCAATTCTCCCGATTTCGTTCATAAATAAGAAAAAAAACACCATTTGCTTCAAAAACCCCAAAAAGAGATCATCCCATCTTCATAAATCCCTCAAAAATATGCGAGAAAAGAACCTTCATCTCCTCAAAAAATCGAAAAAAAGGACCAACCAGCCTTCCCCTTCCCTATAAAAATTTCAGCGAAAAAAGGCCCAGCCGGCCTTCCCGCCCTCCCAAAAAACCCTAGAAAAAAGCCTCTTCCCTCAATGATAGAAAAAAATTACGGACAATATTTGCAAATCAACCCCAGCCTTCCCCCTCCCAAAAAATCCCCAAAAAATTTAAAAAAAAACCTTAATTTGAAAATGTGCTGTTTCCATTGCATAATTTGTATTTAATAGAGCTGACGCTGCCCTTTCACTAATATTCCAAAATTCAATCGGACAATAAGGTTCATGTATTATTGGTTCATCAATGTTTAAAAGTGTTGCGGATTCTAACATGGTAACTGGTTCGGGCGAAGATAGTTGTTGTTGTATTTCATAACGAGGTGGTGGAGCACAATAAACATGCTCTTCATGAGCAACATTAACATCTGGAGAAAAAAATTTTTCGAAAATTTTAAATATTTCTAAAAAATAATTGCGGACAACATTTGCGGACAAATGCTGCCTATACCCTATTAGAAGCCTGCTCAATAAGATTATTTGATCTTTTGTCAAGGCTAATAAAATTTAAGGATCATCGGGTGTATTTTAAGGAGAATTTAAAGACAACAGTGCCAGAGACCAAAGGTTAAAAAAATTTTTTTCAAACAAATTCACATCCCAGAATCCAAAAATAATCAAAAAAAAAAATGGGATATAATAAGAATTAAAGAGACTACACTGTCAGGGACCGGAAGGTTTAAAAAATTGTCGAAAAACATTAGAAGTAAAGCGTCTACCAGAATCCAAAAAATCAAAGTTTGGGATAAAATGTCACCCTATCCCCCCTTCTACCAAAAAACAACATAATAAACCTGAATAATCCAATGCCGGTCCCAACGAAGAAAATACCAAATTTTCTCCAAAACTTAATCCAAACGCTTCAGAGTTCATTTGAAATTCATAATCGGTCAAGCCAATATATGTTCTTTTGAAGTAAAATAAAAACCTTGCCAATTCTGGGATTTGAAAAGCATCGCTTACAATTATATAAAATGCTCGAGTAACAATAGAGGGTGGTATAAGTGCCAAACATAGTAATCGACTATTTGAAAAATAATTTAGAAAATTTATTTTAGGCTAATGATTTTTGGGATAAAATGTCATTTCCTCAACATATTAAATTTATTTTTGTTGATCAATGTAAAAATAAATAGAGAAAATATAATACCTCATGGATAGTGTTCAAAGACCCCCTATCCAATAGATTCTGTAAAATTCAGAACCTAGCTCAGGCCCGTAACCAGAATTCTTTCGGAGAAGAGGGGTGGGGGGGGGGGGCAAGGAAGGAAAAGCCACAGGCCTGCCTATTCCCTATGACATAGCGAAAGTAAACTGCTTCCCACTCAGACCTTGGAGCCGAAGAAATTCTATCTAATAAAATGAAGGGATCTCAACTTGGAGCTATAGCCAGGAGGAATTATTTTTAAAACCGTCAACCCAAAAATACGTGCCTAAATGTGACGTATTGCCTAGAAAGATTCTACAAAATATGGCCAACCAAATTTATGAAACGTAACTTAAACTGAAATGTGCCCACTCCTAAAGGTCAAAAAGGCCCTTTACAACCCCTAGATAGCTAAAAAAATATTAAAAAACCGAAATGTCATTCTCGCAATATTTCCAGCCAAACTTCTTTCATATCCATAGATTGCTCCTAATTTTAATTCTCTCCATTTTTTAAATAAAGCTTGAGCAAAACGAAAATAGCATCCACTAACTGAAGCTTCTTGGAAAACTTTTTGTGCTGCTACAACCATATCATTTTCAAAATCAGTTATAACTTTAAAAAATATTTTTAAAAAATTTTAAAACTATTTTATCAACTCAATTTTATTAATTTAACATTTTTGCATCCAAAATAAACTTAAAAAATTAAATTCCCCAGGAAGGGTTCGAACCATCGACCTATTTGAGGAGAAAACCAACACATACCCAACTACACCAAAAATCCCAATTTTTAAAATACAAACTTTTTCGAGGCTTTGCCGGCTCCACCGCATTAGAAATTGCTTCCAAAGCTTCAGTGTAAAATTCTTCTGAATGTTCAGGTAAAAGGGCATGTGCAGCTATTATTAATTGATTTCTGAATATTGCACCAATAATGAAGCATTGTTTAAATGGTTTTGGGGCAGATTTGAAGGTTGATCCAATTGCCCATATTGATAGGGCAGCAAGTTGTTGAAGCATCTAAAAAATATTTTTTGAAGGAAAAATGTTTTTGGAATGTAGAATCACTTAAAGGCACCCTCTGTAGTCAGAAAATAATAGGCCTTAAATAGCCTTCTATTAGAAGGGCATTGCTTAAACACAGAGACCACCTATTTTTAAAAACGTGGATATATGCTACAATGAGCCCCGACACGAGTTATCTTAGATTGAGGTCCGACTCCTCATTGAAGGTATCTTACTATGAGGACCGGCCGTTTTACAAGAATGCGGACACCGTTTGCGGACAAAAGGGAGTCCGCAAAGAGTGTACAGGGTCCACAAAAAATTCCCTAAAATCAAGTAAAGTATCCAAATATGAGGTCCGACTCATTAAAGAGAGGTAAAATGTGGCCCGACTGTTTTACAAGAATGCGGACACTCCTTGCTGACAATAAGTGTCCGTAAATTTTGAAAAATCCCAAAAACCCCAAATTAAAATCAACAAACGTATGGATGTGCAAACACAAAAACTGGTTTATTATCGTGTATTCTAACATTTCTAGAATCATAAAGTAGAATTGATTGACCTCCTCTTTCAATTAGTGGTTGTGGAAAACGTATTGACATAACATCAATTGCTGAAATTTTTGAAGTTCCTTTGCCATATAATTTTGCCTTTTCTCTAAAAAATGGGTTTCATTAAAATTTTAAAAAAAGGTTAGTGTCCTTAGACTTATAAGCTGGGGAAAAATTGTGGGCAAATCCCGGAGCAGTCAAAAGGTTGGAACAGGGAAAGCACTAAAGAGTGCATTTATAGAAGCACTTTTTAGCCTCAAAAAATGAAATTTAAAACGAGAATTGGGAGCATCTGGAGTCCCCAGGTTTTATCTGATTTATGGAAGCTCATCCCGGAACCAGCAATAAGTCGGAAGCAATTATTGAGGGGATTGAGAACCCCTTTTCCTAAAGTTAGTCCGCAGGGATGCTAGAACCGAAAGATTGGAGTATGGAGAGGATTGGAAACCCATTTTCCACCCCGAAAAAAATAAATTTTAACAAACCTATAAGCCATAATTCCAAGTGCATTATCTGATCCCATAGCCACAAAAGTTTCATCATCAACTCCAGCCCGAATACTTGCAATTAATCTAATTCTGTTCAAATTTGGATCTTCTCTAGCTCTTTGCTTTAATTCGTGCCTCTTAATTTCTGCCAAACGACGTTCTGGTTGAGGTAAATGGGAATGTTCTAATCTTAATTTGCCTACAATCCTTCCATCTGAATGTTCGACAGCGGAAGCTTTAGCAGGACATTTGCTTTCAGTACAACGCCAATATGGACCATCATGTCTAACACGTACATAACGATAACCTTTTTAAAAGAAACTTTCTTTAAAAATTCAAGGTTGAAAAACTTTGCCAAGATTTTCGAATTCATTGAGATGAACTAGATCCCGGTTCTGTAATATAAATAAGAACCGTGTCAAGAAACCCCAAAAGATAAAAATGTCTAGGTAAGGAACAGGAGAATCCTCAGGTTATTGTAGATAATCTCTTGAGCTTGCAATAATCTCTTGAGCTAGAAAGGATTTCAGAAAAACACAGCGAAGGAAACACTATAAGGTGAAAAGAATGTCAGGGATTGGGATAAAAATCCACAAGCATTGGCAGGAATCTTCAAGCCCTCTTGACTCTTCCCCCTGAAGTTCCCTAACCAAGCCTGGGTTTCTCCAGAACATCTGGAGTTTCACCTCCTGAGTTTTCTCTGAACAACCGACCCATGATCCTATTCAACTCAATGATTCGAAAATTAAACCAAAAATAATTTTAATAAAAATACCATTGTGCCAAATACAAAGAGCTCCTTTATTTGTATATCCCCTACCAAATTCAACAATTTCACCATCATCATCATCTAACCCAATATTATGTTGTTCATCTTTTTTAATCGTAGTCACATCCAATTCGCCATCATCAACAACCAAAAAATCTTCCCCAGATTCCTCGCCCACTTCTTCATCTTTAACTGCTAAACGTCTTCGCTTTGCCGATGGTTGTTGTTTTTGAATTTGTTCAAGTTTTGGACGTATTTTGCTTGAGGGAGGAGTTGATGGAGTTGTTTTGTTGACATTAGGTTGATTTGCCATTTGTAATTTTTGCGTATAAGAATGCGTAAAAACACCTAAAATCAAAATATGTAAAAGTTAAAATTAAATACAAAAATTGAAAAAAACTAAACGCCTAAAAACGGTTAACAGATTTGAGTAAATCGCCATATTTTAATTTCTCTAATCGTATTACACATTTCGCCAATAAGGCTAAAAATACGCATTTTGTCAACAAGATTATTGGCAAAACGTCAACTTTTAGCCTTATTGGCAAAATGTCGAATTGGCAAAATATGTAAAGCCTTTCTAATTTTATTTGTTTTCTCTGCTAATTACACAATTTTCTTTTCTCTCAATCTCTTCCCACACTATTTTCCCATTGAATTTTCTCTAATTTTGAAATGTAAATTACAGTAAGAAATTTAATCAAAATGGCGTTATTTTAAACCTTTAAAATTACTAATCTAATTCACCTTGAAAAACCTGCTTGCCGATCAATCAATCGCTTTTTCGCGCACATAGTTGAGATCCACACACACATTCTATTTATACAGAAGAATAAAGCAATTTTTACAAACATGAATCATTTAATTCTCACATTTATTCTTCAATTTGTATTTTTATTATGTCAATACAAGCAGTTTTGTTTTTCCGAGACTGGTAAATTTTCATTTTTCTAAATTTATAAAACTTAAAAAATCCAAAGATAAATGAAGGCCTAAAAAGTAGAAAAGCCAGACAGACTACATCGAAAAGTCCAAAAAGTCCAATTTGTATTTTTATTGTGCCAATACAAGCAAAACGTCCACAGGACAAACGTCCGAAAGACAAAATGTCCAAAGAACAAATCCATAGGACAAAATGTCTAAAAAACAAAACGTCTAAAAGACAAAACGTCCAAAACCAAAATGTCCAAAGGACAAAACGTCCAAGGGACAAAACGTCCAAAAGACAAAACGCCCAAACGACAAAATGTCCATAGGACAAAACATCCATAGGACAAAATATCCATAAACTAAACGTCCATTCTCAAAATCGCTCAAAAATCCAAAAAAAAAATTCCAGAAAATTTATGCAACGCCACATGGAGTCCAAATTTACTACGAGAATTGCAACTAGAAAAATGTGTAGAAGGAGGAAAAGGGGAGGGCAATAGCTGTAAAAATGATTCTTTTTATTGCGAAAATATTAGTGGATATTGTTGCCCCAAAAAAGAATTTGTTTGTCAAAGCCCAGCGGATTCTGGACACGAAAATTTTCAAAAACAATTTTTACATTTTGGACGATTTGCTTTTGATTTACAATTAAATGATTGTATTAAATTTAGTTATTTTGGAGAGGGTGGGAATTTTAATAATTTTTTGAAATATTTGGATTGTAAAAAATTTTGTAAAGGGTGAATAAAAAGAGTAGAATTTTTCAAATTTTTTAAATTAAGATTTAAAAAAATAAAAAAAATTTGTTTTAAAATTTTTTTTTTCTAACACCTCCCTATGGGATAAGCAGGCATGGGAATTAGGGTTGCCGCTTTCGAGTCGGGCCGTCGTTCGAGTCATTTTTTGGGCCTCATTTTTTTCGGGCCGGCTCGACCGAGTCTTTTTCGGGCCAAAATTCGATGCCCGACTTGATCATTCGGACCGGACCGAACCGGCAACCATTATGTCCTACATAGCCAGCATATTTTAATTCTAAAAAATATTTACCTCAACAAATTCTCTCAAAGAAATTTATAAAAAAAAATAAACGAAAACAACCATAAACCTTTAACAATTTTTATTATTAGCCTCAATAAAACAATTTAAAGCAGAACAAAAATTTGAAGAACCAAAACCTTGTAGTTTTGAATTTTTTTATTTGATTTTCTTAAAAAAATAAATTTAAAAAATTAAAAATAATTTAAAAAAAAAACCTTTGCAAAATTTTCCAATTTTTCAAAAAAGTCTTTTTTCAATTTTCTCCTCTCATTTTTATTTTTTTTATCATCATTTTTTATTGGTTTATTAAACAAGTCTGAAGGTTCCCTTAAAATAAAAATAAAATAAATTTTTGGCGTCCAATAAGGTTTATACGTTCAACCAAATTTTTATATGTTCATTCAAAATTCTATGCATCCATTTCGAAAAATATATTAATTGGACGCATAAAATTTTTATTGGACGCAAAAGTGTGATTGGACGCATAAACTGGACAAGATCCAATTTCTTAAAAAATTTAAAAAAATAATTTACATGCTTGACCATTTCACATCCAATTTATACTTTCCTGTCAAATTTAATCCATTTAATAAGTGTAACACCAACATTTTAGTTAATTGATTATTTTGATTCTAAAATTAGAAAAAAATTAAAAGGAACAAAAAAAACTATTTTTTATTTAGAAAAATTATTTTTAAACTCTAAAAAAATTATTTAAAAAATATTGACCCAACAGCGGATTCGAACTCACGACCCCCCCCCCCCCCTTTTTATTTTGGATTAACTGACACTAACACCTACATCCTTTTTCCCTATAAAGCTTAATCCTAACAGAGAATATTAAAAAATTCCCAAAAGATTTAAAAAAAATACTGAACCCCAAGCGGACTCGAACCCACGACCCCTCTTTTTTGTATTAAACTGACCCCAACAGACACACACACCCTTTTCTCCTATAAAAAACTTATTGTTAACCCGCAGCGGGTTCGAACCTATGACCCCCTCCCCATGTCCTTTTTTAACTTTATTTTTCCAATAAACTAACTCTAAAACCCACACATCCTCTCACTCCCTTCAAGACTACTACCTTCACCCCTATTAAAAAACATTAAAAAAATTCCCAAAAATATTAATTTAAAACAAAACCTTTAAAATTAATTCAAGTTCTCCTTTAATACTCGTTCCAACAGAATTGCTATAATCTGGATCAGAACAATCTGGACGATATTGGCCATTATCAACAATAAAGTCTTCTTCTCCTTCCTTGTTTTGTCCATTTCCAATCATTGGTTTTAATGAAGGGAAGCTCTTTTAAAAAAATTTTTTTTAAGATAAAAATGAAGACATAGTATCTTATGAAGGTTATCTTAAACCGGAGCTATCGATTAGACCCAAATCCAAAGGCAAGTTGAATTTAACAGAGAATACATGAGTAGGGTTGTCGGTTTTGGACCGAACCGAAGAACAGAGGATTTTTCGGTTCGGTTTCGGATATCGAAGAATTTTCGGGGGAGTGCCTAATTACATGAGGAGTGCCTAATTCTGTTGGATATCTTATAAGAATGTCCGGCTATATTCGAATAACCCGTCATCCTTTCCCGTTCCTAGCAGAAAATTATAAATAAAATTTAAAAAAACCAAAAATATTCTTCTCAAAATCAACAATAGCCCAGAAGCACAATTTTCATCAATTAAATTAATTCCAACTATAATTAATGCCAAACGTTTAATAAATGAAGCAGCTTTTTTAATTGAAACACTTTTCTTTCTTTTAATTAATAATAATTGAATTGATTCAATTAAAAGTAAAACTTGATTTTGTAATTCTAAAAAATTTAAAAAATTAAAAGAAACGAGGAAAACTTATTTTTTATTCAGAAAATCATTTTTAAACTTTAAAAAATTTTTTCTAAAAATATTTCCCCCAAGCGGGTTCGAACCCACGACCCCCCTATCATTCTATTTTAATTCTAAAAATTTTTTAAAAAATTAAAAGGGACAAGAAAAATTATTTTTTTATTCATAAAATCATTTTTAAACTTTAAAGAATCTTTTCTAGAAATATTTCCCCCAAGCGGGTTCGAACCCACGACCCCCATTCTTCCGTTAAAAAATTTATTTTATTATTAAAATCTTTAAAAATTAAAAAAACCTTCTTCCGGTTGAAAACATATATTTGGCATTACATTATACAAAGCTTTATAAAATTTTTGTAAATCAACTTCTATTGTTGCTTGTCCTTCACCGGTAAATATATGACTAGCAGTATGTATACAATTGAGTGTTTCTGTTACTTTAAGTTGCTGAACAAAAATTTATAAACCGTAAAATTAATTTTTAGAAAAGAGAATAATTTTTTAAACCCGTATAAAAATTTCTAAAAATATTCGCCACCAACCGGAATCGAACCCATGCCTTAATTTATAGAGAAATCTAACATTTTATCACTGCACTAAAATACCTCACTGACAAATAAAATTATTTTTAGAAAAGCGGATAATTTTTTAAAACCGTTGAAAATTTCTAAAAATATTCTCTGCCAAGCGGAATCGAACCCACGCCTTAATTCACTGAGAAACAACCAAATGGAATCGAACCCCAGCACTAATCACAGAAAAATCTAACACCTTACCCACTACACCAACAATACTCACAAACTTATAGAATGGTTTTTAGACTCGAAAAAAATATTTTACAATTAAAGAAAAAAATCCGAACTAATTAATCCAAACCCACCGGTTTCAAACCCTACTCCAACCTCCCAGAAGCCTCAAAATCATACCACTACACCATCAATACACCCCCACAAAACAAAATATAAAAAAAAACCTTTTGTTCAACTAAACGTCCCAAATGTTGCATCAAATCATCATAAAAATCAATAGAAATTAAATGAACAAATTTAGACAATCCTTGTAATACTGGACTTAATAATCCTGTTTGTGGCATTCTTTTAAGTATTTTAAAATAAATTAGAAAAACATTGTGCATTATTTGTGTTGAAATTTGTAATTTTGTTGAAAATGTTTTTGATTCAATTGCTTCTAACAATTCATTTTCTAATTTTCCAATTTGTTTGTCTAACTGGAAAAAAATTTAAATTAGTCCAAAAAATTTATTTTTTAAACATTGGAAATTAAAAAAAAATAATTTTTGAAAAACTTATAAAATATTTCCCCTCAACGTGTTCGAACCCACATCCCTATCCCCAACGTAAAACCACTAAACCACGAAATATTTAAAAACTAGAAAAACTAAAATTAATCCAAAAAATTATTTTTAGACTTTAAAATCAGAAAAAATAATATTTGAAAAAATTAAAAAATATTCCCACTCAACGGGGGTCGAACCCACGTCCCTATCCCCAACGTTAAGCCACTACACCACGAAATATTTAAAAGCAGAAAAAACTCAAATTAATTCGAAAATTAATCAAAAATTAATTTTTTTAACTTTAGAAATAAAGAAATAAATTTTTAACCAATTTTAAAATTAATTTCCCCTGAACGGGGTCGAACCCAGGTCATAGCTCCAGAACAAACAAACTAACACCTAAACCACTACACCACAAATCATACAAAAACCCATAAAACCAAATTAATCCAAAAAAATTATTTTAGACTTTAAGAACTTTTTCAGAAATTTAAAAAAAAATAACACTCGAACGGGTTTGAACCCATGAACCCTATTTCTCATAAAAATTTCATTTTACCCACTACACCAAAATCATACAAAAAATAATAAAATTCCAAATTAATCCAAAAACTTATTTTAGACTTAAAAAAATTTTTCAGAGAATTTTTTTAAATAATGCCCCCAAACGGGTTCGAACCCACGTCCTCTATTTCTCTCACAAAAACTTCATTTAACCCACTACACCACAAATTAATATAAAAACAAAATAAACCTTTCTCCGTTTTTTATTTGCCATTTGTTTCTTTTTTATTAATTTTTCTTTTTTTAATCGTTTTGCTTCAGTTCCATCACGATCAATCTCCTTCAAAAAAATTTATTTCCTGCCCAAAAACCCCAAAAAAACCTTAATATTTAAAAATAAAAGTGTTGAAATTAATTGTGCAGGAACATAAGCCTTTTTCTTTTCGACTAGTTTTGATATTGCTTTAACTCCATTTAATGAAATTTGTAGAGAACAATCATCTGCAAACATTGTAGAAAATGCTGAACAAATTGAGTCAAGTAACTTTAAAGAAAAATTTATTCAATACGTTTACAGCAAGAATGGGGTTAGATTTGAAAATTTTCCTTCAAGTCGAATTACAGATCGAGAAGGTCAGGGCTTCGGGTAGCAACACTAGTTCACAGGCTCCCTTTTTTCAATAACCATAGTTCCCCTTGGATTTTCGAATCAACAGGCTCGAGCTGTTTTCGAAATTTTCTTCAGATTGAGTTTCGGGTTAAAAGTAAGTCATTCCTATATTTCCTTCAAGCTTATTGGAATTGGAAATTAGTGGAATTGGAATTTATTGGAATCAACTGGAATGGGAATTGATTAAAAAAATCTTATTGCAATCAACCCACCCGACCCCTGATCCACACACAAGGTGATTTAATATCTCTCCTGGTTTGAAGCGAAGAAAAAATGGGATAAATAAAAAAGAATTAACTATTAGAAATTTAAAAAAAAATTTAAAAAATAAAAACAAACATTTTTACATTTACAAAGACTTAGTCTTGCCAAACAAGAAATTATATTTGAAGCATAATTAAAATGTGAACATTTTTCTAATAAAAGACACAAACATTTTCCACATAAAATTCCAAATTGAGCAGAAAATGACAAATTGTTTGAGTGGTCATTTTTTGTTGAAAATAATTCTTTAAAATTAAAAAAATTTTTAATTTTATTAAAAATAAAAATTCCAACTATTAGCAGTTTTTTCACAAAATTTGAGATATTTGACATAATATTGAAGCAATAATTGTTCAAATGATGCTAATCTTTAAAAATAAAATATTTAAAAAATGTTCTCAATAAAATAATTTTTTAAATTCAGTTTTAAAAGGGACAAGTTATTAGATATTCAAATAAATTTAGGAAAAGGAACCCCCACGGGGGTTCCCCCCTAGCTGAAATACTAACTTAAAACTAACCACCGCACAAAAGATTTTCGTAAGGTCCTACAGTTCCCAACCTAACCGACATTCTACCACCACAAGACAAGACCAATACAAGCCAAATTTACCGCAAAACCATATTAAATACCTAACTATCCAACTTAAAATTTGGCATGGTTCAACAGCGCTCAATGAGATATAAATCAAACGATACCAAAATCAATATTGCTCATCAATTTTCAAAATCAATTAATTCTCCTGTGGTTACGTAAAACGTTGTTTTACCCAAAAAAATTCCAAAAAAATTCCCAAACCTTTTAGTTTCCTTCTTCATTTTTTGTCCTTTTTCAACATCCGTTAAAGTATGTAATCTATATCCAGGCAATATATTAATAAAAACTTCAGATAAAGTAGCTGTCGCAAGTTTTTGAACATCTTCACGGATTAAAGGTGTCAAGTCTTCTCCAAAAGCCATTTTTAATAAAATACGAAATTTTGAAATCTTTAAAAAAATTGAAAAAATTTGAAAAAAATTTAAAATTAAAAAAAAACGTTTTCATTTGGATCAGCAATTATTAGTTCTGCATTTGTTGCAATTTTTAATTTTGCTTCTTCTATTAATTTTGTATAAAGTTCTTTCAATTGTTGATCATCCAAATTTGTTAAATTTGGAAGTGAAGCTTTAAAAAAATTAATTTTAAAAATAATTATTAATTTTAAAGATATATTTATAGTAAAGAAAATACAGAAAAGGCCCCAAAAAATTTTAAGAAAAAAAATTACGAAAATACGCAAAAATTTTTTTTAGTAAAATGCAAATTTGTGTGATTTTTCACAGATTTCTTTTTCACAGATTTTTCACACAACTCCGCATTTTCTTAAAAAATATTTTGCATATTTTTGAAATTTTTTTCTTAAAAATCTTTTGCGGCCTTTTTAGCAAAAAAAATTTTTTAAGCTCATTTTTATAAATTCAACAAAAAAAATAAGAAAGTGACAGAATATCCCAAGAGGTATAATTTTTCCAAAATAATTTTTCCAAAAATCATTTTTAATTTCGATAAAATCGTCAGATCATTCAAGGGTCCTATCAACTAAAAAAACAAGAAGGTGACAGAATATCCCAAATTTTCCAAAATAATTTTCCCAAAAACATTCAGGTTACTTAAAGTTCTTCCTATCAACTAAAAAATTTTCCAACTAAACTCCCCAAAATTTTTTACATAAAATAAACAACCTTTTCCCTGTTCCTTCTCCACTTCATCCATATTTAATTCCATTTTCTCTTCAACTTCACCATCTTCCTCATTCTCCTCTTCTTCAACATCCATTTTAACTCTATTAATTAATTTTCCACCAATTTTAATAGGTAATAACATTTCTTTTTCTTCTTCAAAACCTCCAAATGATAAAAAATGTTTTTTAATTTCTTCCAAATCCATCTCCTCATTTTCATCTTCTTCCTCTTCCTTTTGTTGTTTAACTACTTCTTTGTATTCCTCTTCTTCATTATCGCTATAATTCGAATCAGAATCATTTTGACGCATTTCTCTATCACGTAGCCAATCATTTCGAATCTTAAAAAATAAATGGAAAAAATCTAAAGGTGACAAAAGATCCCACAAACTAAAAACTCTAGAAATGACTTTTTCTCAGCCCTTTGAGATTCTAAAAATACTTTAAGAAAACAAAGACAAAATTACTTTAGCTTCAAGGTAGAGAATATTCCAAGAACCGACACTAATTAATAATCAGAAAACCCATTAAAAATAAAAAATTAAGGTGGCCCAAGGATTAGGAAAAAAAATATCCCACGGACTAAAACTTCGAAAATGTTTTACCTTAACACTTGGAGATCTTGTCCAATTATTTTTTAAGCATAAATATCCCGAAAAGCCACTAAAAATACAAAAAACAGGGAAATATAGCCGAACCTAATCTTAAATATTTTCGTCATCTAAAACCCCTTAAAACCCCAAAAAAAAATTAATTAAAAACCTTGTCGAATCTTCCATTACTTTTACTCTGCCTCGCTTGCCGAACTTCAATTATTTTATCCTTTGCATATTTTCTCAATTTTCCACGTCTTGCCGATTTTGAAAATTTTCTTTGAGTTTTAATACGTTGACGTTTTGCTTTTTTTGTTGTAGCAAGTGGTTTTTTCATTTCTTTTTTTTCTAAAAAAATTCTAGATTAAAGCGCTTTCCTTTTAAAAAATAATTAATTAGAGATCATTAAACTCTCTCACAAAAAATTTTAAAAATCCAAAAATATAAACAATCGCCATATTTATTTATTAAAAAATTAATAAAAATCCCTGATCTGTGAAAAATTGAAAAAATACAATCAAATTGAAAAAAATAGAAAAAAATTTCCAAAAAAAAATTTGGCAGAATCACATTATTTCCCCCACAACCAGTCAAGAAGTATAATTACCAGTAAATTAAATTAATGAAAAATCGAAAAATAAAGAGGGGAACAGGCAATTATTTTTGTGAAAAAACAGATGCTTTATAGCACCAAAGCCATTGACCATTGTAAAATTTTTGGGACAGATAGGAACCAAAAAAATAATTTTACAAAAAAGAAGGGGAGGAGATAATGCGATAGTATTATCAAAAATTTGTAAAAAAATTTACAGGCTTTTTGTGTGCAAAAAATGCAAAAAAATGTCAAAAAAACCTTCTCTCTCTCATTGCTTCTGTAAAAAATTTTAAAAACAGTCATCTTCATATTCTTCCTTTTTAAGTACAAATTCATTTGCTCTACATCTATATTGAAATTCTGTGCGTAATTTCATCAATAAATTTCCCATTTGATTTGAACCTTTCCAATTATCTATGCTTTTTATTTCTTCACCATGCAGACTACAACCAATTCCTTTTTAATAGGAAAAAATTAAAAAAATTTTTTGGTTCAACTTTTCTATTTTTTCTCTTTTCCCCTAATTTTACTTCCCCAGGAAAAGCCGAATCTATCATTAATGTAAGGGGAAATAACTATCTTCGTGGAATATGTACCAAAAATTAATCCCTAAACAAGCCAAAAAAATTCGCCACAAGATGGAATTGAACCTTCGACCTTTCTATAACGAAACACAAACATAACCCACTACACCAAAAATATAAAAAATTTCTAACCAGTAAGAAACCTAGGCAAAAAAAGTCAAGAAATAGGAAAAAGAGGGGATTATGCTTAAAACCCCTAAAAAATTCCACAAAATAAAAAAAAAAGAAATAAAAAAAATATATACCCCAAAACGTATCTGTTTGACTCGCTTCAATAAGTAAAGCCTCTTCAGTTTCAATAAGCATATTAAATAATTGCACATTTTGTTCAAATTTTGCACGTAATCCTGTAAGCATCACCTTCAAAAAAAATTTTTAAAAATTATTTTCTCACAAAAATTAAAAAAAATTCAACCAACATTTCTTTTAACTTTTCTCCATTTATCATGGTCAAAATCTCTACATTTTAATTCTGCTCCATTTGCTTGTCGTTGCCTCATTGTATCCGCATTTCCAAGTCTTTTGATAGTTGATGGGTCATTGGTTAACATTATTTCTTTGGCAAGTGAATGATAATCAAAATACATTGCTTTCATATACATGTAAAACTGTTCGGAGCAACAATATTCGACTCCTTAAAAAAATTTTTTTTAATCACAACCCACTACACCACAATATCAAAAAATTAAATAAAGACAAATAGACGTTCAAAAAAATTTTTTAAATTAATTTAGTTACTCTTCTGGTAGTTTTTGGAAATATTTAAGTCTTAAAAATAAAAAATAATAATTTTCAAAGACGTGGAATCGAACCCTCGACTATTTTACAAGAAAGCACAAACACAACCAACTAAACCAAAAATTAAGAAAATTTAAAAACTCACTTAAAACCCAAGAAATATTTTTTTCAATAATTAATGTTAAAATTCAAATGACCTCCAGTCCTCAGAAATTCCCAAAAAATCATTTCCTCCTACAAGGAATCGAACCTACAACCCCTCTACACAAAATCACAACCACGATCCACTACACCACAAATTTAAAAATTTTAAACTCGCTCAAAAACCAAAAAATATTTTTCCAATAATTATTGCTAAAATTTAAATGATTTCCAGTCCCCAGAAAATCCAAAAAAATCATTTCCGACTCTATGGAGTCGAACCTTCAACTCCCTACAGAAAATCACAACCCACTACACCATAATTTTTTTGGTTTAATTACCCAAGTTTAAGAAAAAAGTTAAAAAACTTATGGAAATCGATAATTTAACATCAATGTCAACACCACTCACTACTTCGAATATTAACAACAAAAAATTAAAACTACATCAATTAAACAAAAAACTTTCTAATTTTTCCGAACAATTTTCTAACGACATGCCACCTTGGGCCTCAGCAATGCTTGAAATTGTAAATTCTGTAATGGAACTTTGTAAGGATATTCTTACAAATGAACCAGAACAACAAACAACAGAAACTAAATATCGATTTGGAGACCCTTTTTCCGCTAGCAACAAACAACATAATTCTTTAGAACAATCTCATTTGACCAATATCATAAACAACGCTATTTTGGACGCCGAAGAAATCAAGTCTAAATCAAAAAGAGTTGTTATTGAACGGGCTCCTGAAAATGTTGACATCACTTCTTTAGTTAAAAAAATTGCTTCAGATTGCGGAGTATCTTCTGATCTTTTGGAAAATGACATACATCGACATCCATCTCGTGAGTTATCAAATGTTGTAAATAAGAAACCAAGAATTGTCAAAATCCCATTTAACAATAAAAAATCTAGGGATATTTTTCTTTATAATTTTCGTAAATGTCTTAAGCAAAATCCATCTTTACCGCAGTTTTTAACTGCTAGACGTGATATGACTCGAAACGAATTAAATATTTTGTATAACTTGCGTAAGCAAGCATTTTCTATGAATCAGGTCGAGAACATGTTTAAGTACATTGTTGTCGATCTGTCAATCATTACACTTAAAAAACCACAACCGCTCAGGGCAACTAAAAATAAATAGGGGTACGCAGGCAAACCACAAACAAAAATAACAAACGGAAATATTTACTCATATAAATGTATATTATTCAATTCTCGGTCGCTTGCCAATAAAATACCAGATTTAAATTATTTGATTGAAAATTCTAACCCAGAGCTGATATTAATCAACGAAACGTGGCTCAAAACAGATAATATAATAAATTCTGAACTATCACATATGGGTAATTATGAAGTCATATTAGCTAATAGAATAGAAAAAAGAGGCGGAGGATCGGCAATCCTAGTAAAAAATAACATACCTTTTAAAATAATTTTCTCTGGCTCTAAATTCCAATCAGAGATTGTACATATAAAATTATTGCTTGAAAAAGAAATTAACATTATAAACATTTACCGACCACCAAATAGTTCAATTCTTAATACAAAAAAGTTATTTAAATTCCTTTTAAATCAAATCAACCAAAAAACTATATTATGTGGAGATTTTAACATTAGACACATAAACTGGTATTCTAACGAAATAATTGACAATTATGACAAGATCGCGAATATTTTCATAGAGTTTATAGGTCAGAATCAATTAAAACAACTTGTTACTGAACCAACTAGGGAAAATTCAATCCTGGACCTAGTACTTACATCTGATTCCGGTATTGTTAGAACTATTAAAGTTAGGGAGAATTTTTCAACTTCCGATCACAAAATGATAGAGTTTGAGCTTAATTATCGTGTTAAAGTAATTAGGAAGCCCAAGAGTTACGTAAGAGATTTTAGTAAATCCAATTTTATTAATCTAAATCAAGTCATATTTCGAAATAATTTAGATCTAGGTATATCAACGAAATTCACAGTGGAAGATAAATACATTTATTTAACAAAAGAACTTCTATGTCTTTATAACAAATATATACCAATGAGAGCACTAAATAAGATAATAAGAAAAGCATACCCTCAAAGAATTAAGGAATTACACAAAGAAAAGCTTATATTATTTAGGTTACTTAAAGAAAGAATATATGATAACAATTTAAGAGTTAAGTATAAAATCGTCTCAAGAAACCTAAAAAAGCAATTAAAAATTCATCATAACACAAATGAAGAAAAAATAATCAATAAAGGTGGAAATTCGATACATAAGTATATTAGAAACAGACTTACGCAAGATAATAATATTCCCTGTCTAATTGATAAAGAAAACAAATTTTACTTCAGCGATGAAGAAAAATGTAATATTTTGGGAAAAGGGTTTCAAAAGAATTTTCAAAAAAGAAGCATTAATCTCTCAGATAGCGATGGAAATATAATTCCAGAATCAAAGTTTACAGACATAGATTTAAGTACTAGTATTGTGTGGGATACCCTCAGATCACTTCCTAGTAAAAATTCTACTTCTCCAGACAATATACCTTATATATTACTTAAATATTGCGCTGACTCACTTGCAAAAATAATCACAGATACCTTTAGAATTATTATTGATAATGGGCAAATTCCATCAATTTGGAAATCGTCACTTATTATACCTCTATATAAAAAAGGGGAAAAATCAGATCCAAACAATTATCGTCCAATATCGTTAACATGCACCCTGTGTAGGATTTTAGAAAGAATTATCGCAAAACAATTAGTAAAATACTTAGAAGATAATAAGTTCTTTAATCAAAATCAGTTTGGGTTTCTTAAATCAAGATCCACAACAACACAGTTATTATCCACAATGAATGATCTATATAATGCAATACAAGATGGATATAGTATAGATATCATATACATTGACTTTGCTAAGGCATTTGACACTGTACCGATAAATATTCTTCTAGATAAGATAGTAAAAGCAGGCATTAGTGGAAAAGTCTATACATTTCTTAAAAATTTTCTATCTGATAGAAATTTCAAGATTAAGATTGGTGACCAAATATCTTGCGAATATGAAACATTCTCAGGTGTACCTCAAGGTAGTGTCTTAGGACCTCTTCTATTTCTTATTTTTATAAATGATCTTCCGAATCAAATCCCTGAAAACATTGGAATAAAATTATATGCAGACGACGTAAAACTATATGTAGCTCATAGAAATGGCATAGAAAGGGATGAACTTAATAAAGCTTTATGGAAACTTGAAAAATGGACAGAGTTAAATGGTTTAGAAATATCTCCTCATAAGTGCTTTGCCTTATATCTAGGGAAAAATAACCTGAAAAGAGAGTATAACATTCATGGATTAAAAATACAAGAAACAGAATGCATTCGCGATCTTGGAGTTTTAATTGATTCTAAAATATCTTTTAATAACCATATAAATATGGTTATAAAAAATGCATATCTAAAAAGTTTCCAAATAACAAGAATCATTAAGTCTAGAGACTTAAATCTTCTTGTTAATATTTATAAAACTTATATAAGACCCCAGCTAGAATATGCAACTGAAGTGTGGAATCCACACATGAAATATCAAATAGATAAAATCGAAAGAATTCAAAAACTATTCACTAAGAATATTTACAAAAAATGTGGATTAATCAAGGTCCCATATGAAGAAAGATTAAATACTTGCAAACTTGAAAAGTTAATAGATAGAAGAAAGATTGCCGATCTTTCCACTGCTTTTAAAATTATAAAAGGGTTTACATCTCTTAATTCCCAAAATTATTTTAATTTTTCAAATAGATCACTTCGCAGGCCTCTACTTCTAAGGATTAAAAAACACACGAACAGAACAAAAAATAATTTTTTTCATAGGGTGGTAAATAAATGGAATAATCTTCCAAATGAATCATTTAAAATAAATGATCCCAAAAAATTTAGAAGTTTTATTAAATTATCACAATCTAAATAAAATTTTTGGAAAAATTAACCTTGAGCGTTATTGTGTTTTTTTTTATGTGTAATATTAAATTCATTTATTTTTATTGTTCATTTTTAAAGTTATTTTTATTTTTGATGTTGTTTCCTACATATATATATTTTTTTTTTGACATTAATTTATTTTTTATGTTTTTTTTTTGCACCACATTAATGTATTTTAAAATACCTGTGGTTTGCTGATAAATAAATAAATAAATAATATCAAAAAATATAAAAATTAAATAAAAACTAACCGTCAATTTCTATTGGTTTTGGAGTCAAAAAATGATTACTGAATGCAAATTTTTTTGTAAAGAAGCATAGAAAGTCTTGGCCACAGTGAGTTGTTAGACAAATAGGATATGGAGGGGTAAAGTTTTCTAATTAAAAAAAATTTTTTTTGAAATTTTTAAAATTAAAAAAATACAAAACTGCATTTATTTGACACACGCGGCAAACGAACGTTATCAGAATTTCCTTTCATGACTATTATTGAGTTGGCATCTATTTTTGAAGGGGAAAATAAAAAAAATTTATTTTTTTTTCGGGTTAGTTTAATAACTAAAAAATTTTTTTTAAAATTAAGAAAAAAAATTTTAATTAAAAAATATATATTAAGCGAAAAAACGCTTCAGAAAAAAAAAACAAAAAAATATATATAATTTTAATATTCATCATTTTAATAAAAAAAAAAGAAAGAAAAGTGTGTAGTGCCACAAAAAAAATTTTTTTAATAATATTGAGCAGTAAAACAGCACGAAAAAAAAAATAAATAGGCATAATAAATGAAAGAAACAGGGGGACGAATCAGTGAATGGATAAAATAATTAATTAAAAAAAAAATCTGATCAGGGTGGAAAGCAAGAAGAAAATAATTTGGTTCAGGTCTAGTTGACGAGTCCAAATAGATCTTTATACTTTTATCGGAGGTGACCAACTAAAGCCCAACTTTTCTCCCATAATATAAAAAAGAAGGGAGAACAGAGCTCCCAATAGACTGATAAATTCAGTCTGATGAAAGGTTCAATGAACTCATAAACTAGACCAAAGCCAAAAAATTTTTCCGGCAATTTATAATAAAGCCAAAAACCACCAAAAAATTCAATAAAATTTTTAAGCCCCTCCAATCCGAATTTTTTTCAATTAAAAATTTTATCCATCTTCTCTACAAAACCCGCTCAAAACTATTTTATCAAATCATTGATTTATTACTTTTTAAACATATTTTTTTCACTCACCGCGAAGCATAAACGAATAGACAAGTCCAAGTATAGTTATAGAAAATAATTTCCATTCCGTCTTTAAATTAAAAAAATTTTTTATTTCAAAAAAATTAAAAAAAAACCTTAGGAAAATATGCATCCCACTTAATTCTACCATCACAATGTTTGGAAGCTCGAATTTTATCATCAGATTCTGTCAACACCAAAACTTCGTTTCCTTTGCGGAAGATAAAAGAACCCCTGAAAATTTCAAAAAATTTTTTAAAAATCAAAAAAAAAATTTTTTTCATACTCATCAGGACGACTTTCATGAGACATTTTTTGTTTATTAGCTTCATTACGTAACCATTCAACTTTATCTACAAGTAACCATTCAGAATCAATTTTAATATTCTTTTGAGGAGAATTGAAAGTACTCGCATTGTTGTTCTGTTGTTGCTGATTTATTGAACTACTTGAGAATGTTGACAAATGACGTGTAGAAGAAGTGGGCTGTTGTTGAGGTTGTTGCTGTTGTTGTGAAGGAAGAGATGAGTTAAACATAGGAGTTGAATTGTTGTTTGTGCTGCAAAGAAAAAAAAGATTTAGAGGCCGGCCGACAACTATTTTTAAGAAACTTATCAAGTAAACTAACAAGGGAAAAAAGCCCACAAAAGCCCCCCGGCTACTCCCTTGTCAGATAGTAAAGATTCACCGGAAGTTCCGGTGTTTTTTGGCTCCGGTTTCGGTCCCCGAAACTCAAATTGGACCCGGTTTCGGTCAAAATTTCGGTTCCGGTGAAACACTAGTTGTTAGTCCGAACCAAAATCAAAAACAGGTGTTTAGTGGTTAGATAACCCAAATCGAAAATTATTGGTTAACCAAAAAGTCAACATACCAGAACAAAAACCGGCAATAATCGAAAAGTGGACAACCCTTAAATTAACCTCAATTTTACAAAAATTGAGGTTGGACACTGTGTGGGCTCAATTTAAAGATATTAACCGTTTATTTTCAGTCCTCAAATTTTTCCCTTTTCCCAATTTCGTGGGAATAGGAAAAGGCCCAAAAGCCCCCCGGCTACTCCCTTGTCAGATAGGTATCTCAAGTAATGGGCCCTATCCATACAAATATATAAAAATAAAATTGAACCTAATTCCTCCTCTTCCTTGTTGTTCAACACGTCCACCACCAAAAATATTCTCGACACTTTTCTCCTTCTCCCTCGGCTTTTGCTGTTCATTAAAAATATTATCATCCTCATCATATTCATCAGACGAATAATTAACAGGATAACGCTTTATTTTTGGCTTAAGCGAAGATGGGTTTGGCTGTTGTTGTGTAGTTGTTGTTGCTCCTTCCATTTTTTTCTGTTCAACCTTAAAAATTAAAAAAAGCTTGAAAAAATATTTTTCTAATCAAGAAACCTTCTCTTGCATAAACTTGTGAATACCAGCACGATGACCAGACAAACGTGGAGGAACAAAAGTAGTGCTACTGGAAATTGTTGCAGGTTGCGGTACAGGTTGAGGCACAAAAGATGTCTGAAAAAAGTATTTTTTCCGTATTTTATCTATAGAAAATAATAGAATAATAGTACAACATGCTGATTTTTGTGTTAAGCCCAGAGACAAACCGACGTAAAAATAAATTTCTGACTTTAGAAAAACAGCATCCATTATTTTAGGAAATGGAAGGACCCTTTCACTAGTTCAGAACCAAAAAAAATTCAAAAAATATATTTGAACAAACCAAATTTTCTCCATCAGATTTTTGGTTGGAAATCACATTTTGTTGTCCTTCCCTTCCTGGACGTTTAACTGACACAATTTCATCCTCATCATCACCACTCTCTTCAGAATCGGTGAAGTCTTGGCCAACAATACGAGAAGTATAACGAGTCTTTTTCTTCTAAAAAAAATATTTCAAGAGTAGGACAAGCCCGATTAATGGCCTCGATTATTTATTCATGTGGCGGGTATTTTTTCTCCTTTCTCCTCTCTCTTCCCTTTTTGTTCCGCCATGGGGAAAAATAATCGAAAGGCCATTAACCCGGCTCGTCCTACAAAAAATTTTCAATCTTAAAAAAATCAAAAAAAACCTTATTATCATTAACAGCAGCTTCTCCCTCCACAACACCATTTTTAGCATTATTTACATTTTGATTTATTGGAGTGTCCAATCTCGACGGTTTTTCTATTCCACCTCCACCAGTTCCACTTCCTCCTCCACCACCAATTTCATAAGCTGGAACACTACTTTCTTCTTCCCAACCTTTTCTATTATATTTCACTGTAATTTTTCTTTCTTCAGCAATATCAGCTTCTTCATCATTTATCATTTCTGTAAATGATGATTGTTTTTTAGTTGATGATAGGCCAATTTCTTCTGGGGAAATATCAAATTTTGACCTAGAAAAGAAAAAATTACTTTTTGGATGTTATCTTTCCATCAAAAAGGTTATTTCCTCTCATAAGAAAAGAAAGAATAAAATATAAGGGATATAGGAGTCAAGGTCAAAATAATAAAAAAAAAATAATAAAAAATGTTTTCCTTTGAAAGTGAATGACCAAAGGGAAAACAATTTTCAGTACTTTTACGTTATGGGGCCACACATTTTAAAAATGAACATTCCCTAAAAATGCAAAATATAAAGAAAATATGTGCGACCATTCGCATAAATTAAAAAAAAATTCCAAGTCTGGTCAATTTCTATCTGCATAAATTATACCTATCGGGGGAAAGGGTTGTCTCAACGGGGCCCCAGAAACTTATCGCAAAAACAAAAATATTGAATAGAAAATTATCAAAAAAATAGTAATAAAGTGAGGAAAAGCAATGAGAGACATTCGACCACAAAGTAGATAAGCGAAGAAAAAATAAAGAAAGGGGCTAAAACCCATTTTAGCAAAGATTCAATATCTCACCCTCAACATAAACCAAAGAAACAAAAAAATACTTTTTAGGTGCAGCATTAGAAGTAGTCGGCAAACGTGGTTGATTTGAGGTAGAAACATTATTATTAACATCATTTGTCTGACCACCACCAGTAGTTGGAACATCCAAAGATTTTTTAATAGGTTGAGCAGGAGGCGGTGGCGGAACAAAAGTAGGATAGAGAGGGCCAGTTGGAAAAACCTTTAAAAAAATTTTTTTAATGAGACATTTGATCCCAACCAAAAAATTTTTTTTTCTAATTTATCAAACCTTTGGTTGTTTAGGATAATTCCCCTTTGGACGCAAAGCTCTTCCAGTAACATTCTTCATTTGGGCTTTAGCTTCATTATGATTTTGTAATTCTGTCTCGTAGTAATTTAAAAGATCTAAAAAAATATTTTTTTAATAAAAATTTTAAAAATTAAAAAAAACCATTGTACGGCATTTTTAATTGTAAGAAAAAATGTCCAGGTAAGTTAGCTTGAAATAATTGCAATTCATAGTTAAACAATGTCTCAAGAATTTTGATAGCTTTGTCACGCGTAAACATTCGTTTAAGAGCCTAAAAATGAATTTTTTACGAATCAAAAAATAAGGTCAATTTAAGGTTAAGTTATTGGTAATTTATGGCCGTGGTTCATATACCCTTAAAATTCTCCATTTGAGCCGCCACATGAAAGGTTACCCGGCCGCAAAAATCCTAGTTAGGGTTGTTGTTGAACAATTAGGATTTTTTTCTGAAAGATTATGAGACATTTGACCCCTCGTACATAATAATTCATGTCCAAAATTCACCAATCAAGCAGCCATATGTAAAAATTAAACGGTTTCCAAGAATCCTAGCTAAAGTGGCAAATGTCCGCAACTTTTATAAGCATCCCCCAAAGCAAGATAGAGTAGATCGGTAAAGGATTCTTACCTACATTGACATAGGAAACGAAAAAATTTAAAAATAAATTTTTAAAATTAAAAAAATCAAACCTCTCCAGCCAATTCCTCATTATATTTTTCTTTATATTTCTTCTGAACTGATGTCCAACTAACAGGGTTATCTTGTCCTCCCAATTCATAAATCAATTCCGAAATTAATTTACGACCTTTTAATGTAGCCTCTCTATTTTCTGGTAAAAGTGCACGACATAATTTTTCATTTTCCTCTCGAGTTTGACTTTAAAATTGAAAAAGAAATAATTTCATACTCGCGGGTTTTTGCGGATATATTTATGCGGACTTATAATCATAATGGTCTCATAATGGTAAGTGGTCTCATAATGGTCATACTTTTTTGTTACCTATTCAACTGCATCTGAGGAAGTCGAGAAAGTACTAATTTCTTGGGGGAAATATTGGGTATACTATTCTTTTCATTTCTGAACATTATGAGTATCGCAAAAATCAGGTTTAAAAAAACTGGCTTTTCTTTATTTTTTATTCGTACCCATAAGTTCAAAAAAATTTTTAATTAAAAAAAAATTAGTTGGTATCTGTCCAAAAAATTTTTGCGGATGTATTTATAAAGACTCATAATGGTCAGAATATACCTACTTTTCCTTTTCCCTATTCAACTGCAATAGAGGAAGTCATGAGTACTTGGGGGATCATTGGGTATATTTTTCTTTTTATTTCTGACCATTATGAGCCCGCACGAATATATCCACAAACACAGATTTGGGACACCCCAAAAATACCAATAAACCGAAAAAATTTTCAATTTCAAAAAAAATTTTCTTACGCTAGCAAAGTCGCAGCTCGCTCAATTTCTTGTTCATTCCGTATATGGGCAAATCTTTCACAATTTTTCGGCAAAAAACAATGTTTTCCTTCAATTAATTGCAATCTTACATAATCCTTCATCATTTCAGATTTCATAAAAGTTTCGAAATTTGGAAAGCCATAATGTGCCACAACATAATCAGGCAAAAGTCCAGTATCTTTTCTTCAAAAAATTGAAAATGAAATAAAGGTAGTGAACAGGACGGGCCTGTAGCCGGGGGGAAAGCCATGGGGACCCCCCTTGGCCCTCCGCGAAAAAAATCCTGGATAGGGGCCTGGAACAGGATAAACAGAGATGGATCAGGAATGGACCCTAAACCCCGGATTTTTGACATGAAACCCGACCCAAAAACATTTTTCCAAAGCCTGTACATTCTCCTAGTATGTAGCTACATTTATAGGGCCCCGCTAGTTTTCTATAATTCACTCACTAGCGACGGACATTGCCGCATAAAGGGACATCTTTTTGGATGTTTATGAAGCCCCAGACTACTACATCATTAGATTTACAAACCTCAAATCTTCTCTGAGTTCATGCACATTGCAATAACCAATAGGCTGTGAAGCAGAACACTTTTAGTTTACGTTATACAAATTTTTAAAAAATTCTCTTATGGACAAATTATATCATTCGGAAGATTTTCGAATCGGCCATGTCAAGGACAAAGGTTTAGTTCAGAATCATCGAAACAATGAGAATTAGGTTCATTCGACTCATTGTCAGCTCGAAAACGTCTTTTCGAATTATACAAATTTGACCATAAAGAAACCTTTTCCCACTTTATTGTATCACGTTAACTAAATAAAATACCTTTGAAGCCACCGTGTAAACAACTTCTTTTGCAAAATCAGTAAATGGCACATTCATCATACCATAATTAACGTTATCATTGTTAATTGTTGGATCTTGAGGAGCTGGAGTTGAAGTATTGGGGTCGCTGAAAATAAAAGTTTTACTTAAAAATTTTGTAAATTTATGAGCCCGTTTCTATCAATTTTAGAATCAAGGCTTAATTTAGAGTGATTTTTAACAGATAAGTTACAAGTGATGTCAGGTTTGAACAAGGGTAGGACACACAAGGGGGTGAACAAGGGTAGGCCGAAAAATGGCACGTACAGAAACTGGAGCACATTAACCGATAGCCCCGATTTTCGATTAATCCGAGTTTTAAAAACCATGTTTTAGGTTTTGAGTTTTGGTCAAATACCGGTTTTATGTTGGGGTTCGAACACAAATTTAGAAAGGCGAATATGCCCAGTGAAAACCAATAGGAAATCCGGAAAACGGCAAGAAACTGAAGCACACAAGGATAAAATACCCACTAGTTTTCTCCCCCCAAAATAATTTTAAAAAAATAAACCCAAAAATATCGTCCTCTTCATCAGGCATAGGAGGCATTCTATTCAAACCAATTTCATCATCTTCCTCCTCCTCTTCATAATTGCCAAAATGTCTAATAGGAGGTCCAGGTGGTAAAAGGCCCAAATCATCTTCTTCTTCATCATCCCCAAACCCCAAATCATCATTCTCATCGTTAACTTCCACTCCATAATCTAATCCAATATCTTCTTCATCCTCCACATAATTATTGTAATTTGTAGTTGATACGTGCCGATAACTGCTACTTGGATCAGCTGGCAATTCAGCATCAAAAAATGATTCTGACCTTGCCATAATTGAATAAACTTTATTTAACAAACGAAAAATATCCTAGAAAAACAATGAAAAATTAAATAAAATAAGTAAAGTTATACCCCAAATCCTGCGGAAGGGGGGGGGGGAGCGTTGGAAAATAACTGACAGAATAACACTCACAATTTACTGTCAGTCATACTCCAACGCTCCCCGAAAAACGTGCCCTCAGGATTCGGGGTACAAACATAAAAATAAGAAAAACAAAAAAAAATTCGAAAAAATCCAGAAAAAATTCGGAAAAAAAAATCGAAGAAATTCAAAGGAAAACAAAAATTTTCTCCATATCTCTAATTTAAATTTGTCTCTCTCATTTTTCTATACTCTCTCATAATTACAAAATGTTAAAAATAAAAATGTTAAAAAATAAAATTGTCGAAAATATCATTTTCAAAACACCAAAAAATAAAATATACAAAATAATTTCTACGACAAAATGTAACAAAAGAAAATTACCGTATAAAATTAATATTACAGTATATTTTGACTAGCAAAAAATATTTTTATGAGATCAGAAAGGAGATTAGATATTAATCAGAATTTTGACTTAAAAATTCGAAATTTAATTCTGGAAAAATCAGAATTTTCCGATTAATTAAAATCAAAATTCTGATCAGAAAAAATCAGAATTCTGGGTTTTAATTCTGATATTTTCTGAAATTGTTTCTGAAATTCTGATTTTTAAACCAGAACTCTTACTTTAAAAATCAGAAAAAAACCAGAAAACCAGAATTTTCTGATTAACCAAAAATCAGAATTCTGATGGTAAAAGAAGAGAAATTCTGATTCTAGAATCAGAAAATCGGAATAAAATCAGAAGCATAATTCTGGTTTTTTTGAAATTCTGATTTTTTCTGAAATTCTGATTTTTTTCAGAATTTTTTAAACAAAATTCTGATTTTTTCTAAACATAGTAAACGTATGTGGGAACAAAAATAATGTTTTTATATTAATCAATTGTTGTTGCTGTTTTTGTTGTTGCTGTAGATCATTAAATTTTTGAAAATAATTATTTTTGGATATTTTACTAATATTATTTGTAGAAGAAAGATGTCGACGGCTTGTTGTATCATCTTTTTTTTTAATTAAAAAAATTGTTTCTTAAATTTTTTTAAAGATTTTTTTGGGCAGATATTAGGGGACATTTATAAATTTTGCTTGATTTTTTCTAGTTTTTATGAATCAAAATTGATTTTTTCTGAATTTAATTTATTTTATAAATTCTGATTTTTTTCTGATTTCTATCAGAATTCTGATTTTCTTTCCGTTTAAAATCAGAATTTAACCCAAAAATCCGCAAAAAAATTTTTGCGGACAATATTTGCGGACAACTTTTGCGGACAAAATTTATTATATTTTTTTCAATTAAAAAACCACCTACTTTTCATTAAATTAACTTTATGTAGCTGTTGTTGTTTATCCAAATAATTATTTTTCTGTGAAATAGAACAACACATTTTTGGATTGTTTAATAAAGGAATATTTCCACAATGCAATTTTGGGTTTGGATTTGATGAATGACGATTTCTTTAAAATTAAAATTTTTCGATTAAAAAAAAAATTAAAATTTGCCTGCTTCTTCTTGATGAAAACATCATTTGACAACCTTGGACTGTACATCTTTAAAAAAATTAAAAAAATATTTTTAATAAATTTGTCCGCAAATGTTGTCCGCAAAATTTGTCCGCAAATATTGTCCGCAAAAAAATTTTTGAAGAATTTTTTGGTAAAATTCTGATTTTAAAAAACTAGAAAAAATCAGAATTTTTCTTGTTAAACTAAGCTAAAATCAGAATTCTGATCTAAAAATTAAAAGATAATAATACGTGAGAAGTGACATTTTATCCCAACATCACACGATTTTTTAATTTTTGGGATATTGAAAATTTTCTTGATAAATCCAACAGCACCTCTCCATCCCCATACAATTTTTCTTAAAATTAATTTCCTCATGAGACAAAAACAGAGGAATAAAAAAAAATAAATTTTCACATCTTTTTTTTTTTGCGGACAATATTTGCGGACAAATTTAATTTTTAAAAATTTTCGAATTTTCTCGTAAAAATTTCAGGCCATGGAAATGAGGAAATAAAAGACCAAAAAAAACACCAAAAAACAGACCCTCTTTAAAAAAAGAATTTTCCCCAAAAATAAAAAAAATCAAACAAACTTATGCATTTCCTTCAAATGTACAGCACTATTGTGTATTTTTAATGCTCCTTTATCGCAAAATGTTTTTGAACATTTTTGGCATAAAACACGTTTCTTTTGTAATTTTGACAATTTTTTAAAATTATTTTGTTGCTGCTGTTGTTGTTGTTTATTATTATTAAAATATTGAAAATTATTATTAGAAATTTTTTGTCCACAAATTTTTTGTCCGCAGATTTTTTGCGGACAAATTTTTTGCGGACAAAAATTATTTTTTAAATTATTGTTGTTATTATTTAATAAATATTCTATACTAAATTTTCTTGAAGCAGTAAACATAAATAAATTTTAATTTTAAATAATTGGTGTTGAAAATTCTAAAAATAGGAAAAAAATTTTCCATTTTTCTATATTTCGGACAATTTTTGCGGACAATTTTTGCGGACAAACTAAAAATTGTAAAAAAAAAGGCAAACAATCCTTATTCAGCAACGTGACCTATACCTTATGGTACTAAAAAAATTATTTTTTTAAAGATTCTAATTGTAGGAAGCTTGGTGTCCGCAAAAATTTTTTTGTCCGCAAAAATTTGTCCGCAAAAATTTTTTTTGTCCGCAAAAATTTTTTTTGTCCGCAAAAATTTTTTTTGTCCGCAAAAATTTTTTTTGTCCGCAAATTTACTTTTACTTAATATTCTAATTTTTAAAAATTTTTTAAATATTTACTTACCAAAATTTTACCAGATTAAAAAAGAACAGAATAATTGACCAATAGAAAAATATCCATGCCAATTTAATATCCCTTTTCTCGTCTCCAAAAAAAATTTTGTTTGTGGCCATAGTGGGCGGGAAATTTTTTGTTGGTTTTATTGTTGTTTTTATTGTTGTCTTTTACCATTTTTAGAAGAAAAATGCGACGACGAAGGATGGCATGAAAAATCTCTTTTTTGTCCTTTCATGTCCTCCTTGCCCAAAATTTTTCCTTCCATAGCTAAAAAATGTCGTCGCCTCACAAGAATGCTTACTACTATACTCTCGAGGGACCGCCTTCCACTCTCTCTCTCTCTCAATTTTAAATTCCCCAATAAAATTTTTATTTTAAAAAAAGGAAACTGTAGTTCGAGAAGAGGATGGAGGGAAGAAAAACCAGAATTTTAAATCAGTATTTCTTCAGTCGAAAATAAATCAGAATAAATATTCCACCCATAATTAAATGTCTGGCGTTAAAAATCAGAAAATTAAAATCAGATAATTAAAAAAATAATAAAATCAGAAATTTTTAGATACAAAAATACTCATCTCAAAATAGAAGCTTAAATTAAATGCTTATTTTTGTGCCTGGAATCATCAAAAAAAAAAATTTTTTTTTGACTTTTGGCATGTCCGCAAATATTGTCCGCAAATATTTCTTTAATTTTAATAATGCTGCACGCCTATTTAAATTTCTGATTGATAATGTGTGACAGATTTAGTATGTGAATTCTTAAATTTTTTTTTGATTTAATGACAGCATATATTTTCTTTCCCTCTCTCTATTTAACCAGTCAAACATAAAAAATCAAAATTTAATTTTTCTCTTTTTTTTTTAAATTTTCCGTTTCTTATAAAATTGGCCCAAAAATGATATAAATTTACATAATCGTTTTGACTCTGTTTTTAGTGTTTGGCTTTAAAAACCGTTAAGAAAAAGCATGTAAATATTTTAGAAAATAAAGCGGATATATTTAAATACTCTATAAAATTGGAGGGGGGTTTTATTGGTCGTAAAATTTAAAAATATTTTTTGCGGACAATTTTTTGCGGATATTACCCCTATTGCCAAAAAAATTCTTTGATTGTCCCAGGCATAAAAATAAGCCTAGAGGCATTGGCTCCAATTTCGGTTTTTTATTGGTACAATTATAAAATTAAAAAAATTCTTTTTGCGGACAATATTTTTTGCGGATAATTTTTGCGGATAATTTTTGCGGACAATATTTTGGGGACATATCCAAATGCAAAAAAACTTTTTTTATTAATTCCAGCAAAGTAGTCATTAGTAGGGTTATGTCGGGGGATTAGGAGGGGGATTAGCAACGGATTAAGAGGGGATTAGTAAAGGATTAGGAGGAGGTGTCGGGGGCGGCATCTTTTGAAGACATCTTTTTCCTCTCTCTCCTTCCACAACATCGTTTTCCTCCCTCTCTTTTTTCTCACTACTTTTTTCTCGCTCCTTCTCCTAAAAGGAAAGTGGGAGGAGCCCAACACTTTTAATTTTGAATAAATTTAACTATTTAAACATTTGAATTTAGTTCACCTCAATTTTAACTTTAATTTACATTTCCTTTTTTCAGGAAATCATTTAAAATGAATATGGAATTAATCAACTTAAATGGACGAGATAACAACAACAATGGGGACAACAATAACAATAATAGCCAAAATTATTTAAATTTAATTTGGAAGGGTACTTTTTAATTTTTATATATTTTTAAAATTTCAATTTAAGAACGAATTACATTGATCCTCTTCTTTATTTTTATTGTGGATATTCTACATTTGCTCTTCTTTGTCCATGCACTATTGAGCCGTTGAAGAAAAGAATTTTTTAAAATTTCAAAAAAATCTCAATAAATTACTATTATGTGATTTAAATTTTATTTTTTTATAAAAAACAATTTTATTTATTATATCTTTTTTTCTGTGAAAATAAAAATTTTTTAACTTTTTTCTTTTATTATGTTAATTAGTATAGGGGGTACACAAAAAATTATTAAAAATAAACACATTTCTATTTTATCATCTAACAATTCTTAAATCATTTATTTGCCAAAATAAATTCTATATTTAAGCTTATAAAAATGCCCAAATTTAATCCTACAAATTTCGATTGGACTGTTGAAAGTAATTGCTCCTGTGAGCTCCCGTTGATATGTATTCGCCCTATTAAGTTTAGGAATCCCGTCCTTTGTATTAATTCCGCAATTGACGTGAACAACTTTGAAAATTTTTTGAAAAAATCTCCAAATGAGCAACAAATTTCTCCTTCTCCACAAAATTTTGAAAATTGCTCCACAGAGCAAACAATTTTTAATACAATCACCACTACTCCTGAGTATAATTCAACAACCACCACTCCCCAATCTTTTATACAGCATAATTTTAGTTTTTGGCTGATTTATACTTTGCTGGGTCTTATTCTTGCTTTACAGGTTTTTGTTGTAAATTTACTCCATAAAAAGTATTTATAGTTATTTTACTGGTTTAATATTATTCTGCGAAAAATACGCAGACGCCGTGAATGTAAATTAATTCGCAAAGGTGCGATTAAATTTCAAGAGAAAACTCGAGGTATTTTTTAAACATTTAATCTAAAATTATTAATTAACTAGGAGCTCCTACACATAATACTCCAATTGCTCATCGCAGAGGTAGTTTTTAATTTTTTTAAGAGTAATTAAATAATTTAAATTACAGGAGATTCTACTCCAAATGTTACAGGTCCTAGTTTTTGTAGATAAATAAAAAATTTTAAAAATACAAATCTATAGAGATGACTCCTTTGAAAATTTACGCTCCTACTCTTGGAGAGATGAAAAAAACACATGTGAAGACGAGTGTTTAACAGAATCTAAAGAAAAAATAGGATTAAAAATTAATATTATATATTAACAATTATCATATTGATATAAAATAATAAATTTTTACCTCTTGTATTTTATTTAGTTAATGAACATTTCCTCCTCAGGTTTAAATTTCTCCTCCAACTTCCTTTTAGTGCTCCTCTTCTCAATTTTGGTTAATTATCTTTTTATGGGAGGAGCCTATTGTAACGAATGTCAGAGTATTTAAGGAGCTAGTATTTTGTATTTTCATTCATTCATTTAGAATTTTTTTCATTTTTTCATGGAGCAGAAATCTTTAAACTCCCAAGTTTTACCTCAAGTCGAAATTGACATCTCATCTAGAGGTGTTACACTTTCCAGCACTCGTTTCACTACTTCACGCTTTGTCCCTTATGATCAAACAGGAAAGTGCTGCAAGTGTAAGGGTACAGAAGTTGAGATTGATTTTGCAATAACAAAAGACGGAGTGACTCTCTGGTGTACCAGACTTACTGAAAAGCGTTTTGTTCCATTTGATTGGACTTATGAGCTACCAGGACACTGTTTCTTCAAGATTCGAAATAGAGGAAGAGTGCTTAATGTACCCTATGGATCATCAACCAAACCTAATAATCAAAGGAGTGGTAAAAGGAAGTTCGATGAATTGATTACTTGCACTCCTCCTAAACATAATTTGCCTTCTAATCTTTCTCCTCCCACTGCTCCTCGTATGCGTACTCCCCCACCTGTTACATCTGAAACCCCGAGACCTCTTACACCTCCTGATCAAATACCGTTTGACAAAGAGCTCCAACAATTCTACGATAGTTTAATGTTTGCTACTGTAGGTCTTCCTAGTTCAAAAGATAATGTTGAGAAGCCAACCGAAGAAAAAACAGAAGAGAAAGAAATTAAAGAGGAAGTAATTGAATAAATATTTTCCTATATAAACACATTTATTTTTCTATTTATAATTATAAAGTCATGGAATTACAAACATTTTCTAATAAAGATTTAAATTTTAAATTACCATTTGGTATGATTTTGTCAGGCCCCAGCTCTAGCGGGAAGAGCTCATTTTTATTAAAATTTATATCTGAAGCGTCAGAATTAATTGAACCCAAACCAAAGAGTATACTATATTGTTTCGGAGAAATGAGTCATAATATTCCTCTCCTTCAAAAATCTGGAGTTAATGTCTATGCAGGAGTTCCACCTGAAGAGCTAATTAAAAAATTCCCAAAACCTTTTCTTTTAATACTTGATGATTTACTCCTTTCCATAGATGAAAAATATCTTTCAGAATTGTTCACAAAAAAGTCTCACCATCAAAATTTTGCAATTGTTTTTGTAACCCAAAATCTCTTCGATAAAAAAATTAAAGTCGCACGACAAAATGCTCAATATATTATTTTAATGAGGTCGCCAAATTCTGCTCTTTCTATTAGAAATATAGGGATACAGCTATTTCCCCGTCAGCTTGATTATTTTTTAGATGCGTATAAACAAGCTACTAATATACCTTATGGATACTTACTTATCGATTTACATGCCTCATCTGATCCTAATCTAAGACTCAGGACAAACATATTTAAGGAGGACGAAGAGAAAATAATTTTTATTTCAAAATAAATTTTCATTTTAAAATAATGGTCAGTCAATTAGTTTGTGAAAATAAGGACTTTTTACGTTTGCTAGCTCATACAAAGTCTGAAAGAAAAACCAAGAGGATCCTAAGACATGCAACAATAAATCAATTATTAGCAATCGTCGAAATTTGTCTAAATATTTTAAAATCACGTTTTAAACTTACTACTCGACAGAAAAACCGTTTAATCCCACACGTTGATTTTATTCGTCACATGAGCCGTACTAGGAGTGAAAGAGGAGCAAGAAAAGTTTTAAGACAAAAAGGTGGAGGAGGAGCAAGTGTTTTTGCAGCTCTTCTCACACCTGTTCTTATAGAACTGGCACGCTCTATTATATAAAAGTAAATGGTATATAAACTCAAATAATTATTAAAAGTATTTCAAAACATGGCAAACAAATTAATTCTCGTCCCCGAAGAAATTTATAGAGGACTTACTTCATCTAATTTTGGAGAACCAAATTTAGATTTTAGCAAAAAAGAAGTTGAGAAAGCTAAAAGAAAAAAAGAACACCTTTCGAATAAAAATATACACTACAACCAGGAGCTAAGACGTTATTTACAATTGAGAAATGAGAGTGCGAATAGACCAGTCAAAGTTCAAATGGTTGCTAACCCTAAAGGAGCTATTATGAATACATCAGTTACTCGTCCTGCCTCAAACATTGTAGACGACGAAGATGATGATTTATGGATGAGTGATGATTTTTCTTATTCTGCGTACCCAAGAGAGCCTCCAGTTCATGCTTATAATATTGTCCCCTCACCATCTATTCCTTCTTCCTCACATCCTCCCTCTGTACCCATTAGTAGACATAATTCTCCAACACAACCATCAACCTCTAAAGAAAAAATTTCGCCCTCAAAACCTTCTAAAATAATATCTCGTATATCTAAAAAGAAAATTAAAAAAGTATCTAATAAGATTAAGAAAAAAAAGCGAACTAACGAGAAGCCTAAAGAGAAGCCTGAAAAAATACCTCCTGAGATAAATCCTATAATTGAAGCTCAAAATGCGCCATTAAGCTCTTCGTCTTCCCCTCCACCCATTCGTATAACCCCTGTAAAGAGAAAGACAGAAGATGTTGAAAGTTTTAAGAGAAGAAAAGTTCTAGGCATAGATGAAGATGAGAATAAAGATAATGAGCAAAAAGACCAAATTTTAGAACAAAAAATATCTGCTAGAACCAAACAGAAAAAAGGATATTTAAAAAGAAAAGAAACACTTAAAAATAGAAAAATCCCAATAGATGAATATGCCTTATCACAAGCTCGCATTAAAGATAAAATTGATAGAATTAAAAGAAAAAAGATTGCAAAAGATGGCAGATCACCTTCTCCTCCCATATCTCGTCAAAAAATAAAAAGAAAATTACAAGTCCCGTCAGAACAATTTCTAGAACATTTAAATGAAACATCCTATGCGAAAAGATGGATGCCTGTTCCACAAAAGGTATCAGAAAGAGCAGGGAAATTATGGATAAAAAAATTAAAAAGTAAAAATATAAAAATTCAGTCATATAAAGTAGCTAAAAAGAAATGGGCAACAAGAAAACCAACTCAAGCAGATATAAAAGGAGTTAAAAAGAAGAATTGGGCAACAAGAAAGCCAACTCAATCGGATATAAGTAATTTTAAACCCTCACTGTGGTAAAATGGCAGATCCAACGAAGCTTTTACATTCTCTTTATAATGATCCAAATTCCCCAGCAGCATATTCAGGAGTTGATAGACTTTGGTATGAAGCAAGAAAAGTTATCAAAAAGTTACCTAGAAAAGTTGTGCAAGACTATTTGGAAGGACATAGGACGTATACTCTTATGCGTCCAAAAAGAATACATTTTCCCAGAAGTAAAACTATAGCAGCAGGATTCATGACTGATGTCCAAGTAGATTTGGCAGACATGCAGGCACTCTCTAGGCATAACAAAGGAAATAAATATATTCTCTTAGGGGTTGATGTTCTTTCCAAACGACTCTTTGGTGTACCAGTTAAATCAAAAAGCTCAAAGGACATGTTAGAGGCATTTAAACAACTAATTGATCAAATGCCTATGAAACCTCATAGAATTTTCTCAGATAGAGGATTGGAGTTTAAGAATAAATTTGTAAAAGAGTATTTCGAAAAGGAGGAGATTCAAAAAAATGAATCGACTCATTCAACAGTTAAAGCATCTGTAGCAGAAAGAGCTATAAGAAATGTGAAGCAAAGACTTTATAGATACTTTGCTCAAAATAAAACATTAAATTGGATTGATGTTTTAGATAAAATAATAGAAGGAATTAATAAGTCAAAGAGTAGAGTACATGGACTAAGACCAGTAGATATTAATTTCAAAAATGCTCAAGAAATATGGGAGAAAATGTACAGAGATGAGTTTTCAAAGAAAAGAAAGAAAGGAGCAAAATTAAAAGAAGGAGATTTTGTTCGTATGGGTGTAGGAAAAGGAGCATTTGAAAAAGGATATATTCCAAATTGGGGGGATCAAATCCTAAATGTTAACCAAGTCCAAGACCAATTTCACCCTATTCGATATAAAATTGCTAATGATTCTGGAGATAAATTCAAAGGATATTTTTATGGAGAAGAGTTGGCCAGAGTTAAGAAAGATGCAGATACAGAGTATAGAATAGAGAAAGTTATAAGAAAGAAAAAGAGACCAGATGGAACATATGATATTTTAGTAAAATTTATAGGTTATCCCGAAAGGGAATGGATTCACGAAACCCAACTTGTATAAAAGGAGGGTTCATTTTATTGTATTTCCATTTCATGAATAAAAATGTCAAATAGTTTTTATGTTTGTTTATTGAGCAATGTTTCGGATTACCCACAGAATCAACCCAATCAATTTCGAGTTCATTTACCTAAACCCCTTTATTTCTCTGGTGATTGGGTATGTGGTGTCCATAGTATATGTTACCCATATTCTTGGCCTTCCACTATAGGTACTCTCGATGAACAATGGATTGATATTAATTTTGCTGATAATAATAAGAAGGGACAAACTATACGAATTCCAGTCCCAAAAGGGTCACATAATACACCTGAAGAAATTTTACAATTTTTGATTTCAACTTTGAGACATCAAAGTTCAGCTCTTGATAACACAGCTCTTGAAGAGTCATCTGAAGGGTTCTTTGATAAACCAACTATTATTAATAGGAGAAATAAACGCCAACATGAGGAACTGGAAGACCTTACACCATATAACGAAAATGAAGAGAAAGAAGAGAATGAATCATTAAGGTCTCTCTCTCCTTATCAGGAAGATGTCGAAGAAACATCACCACCACAAAGGGATAAAATTAATTTAACTAAGCAACCAGATGAGAAGGAAGACCAGAAAAAGGTGGAAGAAAATAAAGAAGTGGATGAGAAGAAAAAAGTAGAGGAAAAGAAAAAAGAGCAGCCAAGAGAGGAGACTAAGAAGGAGGAAGAACGAAAAAAGGAAAAGTCAAATGTGGAGGAAGAGAAAAAGGAAGATAAGATAGGAAAAGAGCAGTCAAAGGTAGAAAAGAAAAAGGAAGAAGAGATTGAAAAAGAGAAGCCAAAAGAGGAAAATAAAAAAGAGCTACCAAAAGATGTTTTGAGTGTTCTAGGAGTAGGAAAGAACGAAGAGAAGTCAGCGGAGAAACCGAAAGGCTCGTCTGTTTTAAGTACCTTAGGAGTTGGAAAGAAAGAAGAGAAACCAGCGGAGAAACCAAAAGATACACCTGTGCTAAGTGCTATAGGATTGGGAAAGAAAGAAGAGAAAAAGGAAGTTCTAAGAGAACTTTCTCCATTCAAAGAAGAAGAAGAAACATTACCTCCACCTCCTAAGAAGGAAAGAAAAGAGCAATCAAATGATACTAGAGTAAAAGATAATAGTACACAGACACCGAGTGTTCTAAGTGCCTTAGGATTGGAAAGAAAAGAATCTTGGACTCAAACACCATCACCACTATTAGAAACTATAGGGTTAAAACCTAAAGAAGGAAAACAAGATGTTTTCGATATATTGCTGGGAAAAGAGAGTAAGAAAACACCATATACAGCTACTCTTCTAAAACAGATTATTGATTCAATATCGATCAATTATCTCGCTGACTTTAAGAGATTTAAATTATCCTTTACTCATTCCAGTATCAAATATGTATCATTTTCACCCCAATTGGGATATGTTCTTGGTTTTGCAAATACACAATTTGTACAAAATAATGAGATTGCAAAATATGCTTGTGATTTAAGAGGAGGCTTTTCAAGTTTTGCAATTTATACAAAGGGGCTTACTGAAAATATGATTGTTGGAAATTCTCTAAGTTCTCTACTACGAATTGTTTCTGTCTCAGGAGCAATACCTGGAGAGTACCACGAGAAAATTTATGATTCTCCAATTTATGTTAAAGTGCTCCCAAGAGAAGTTAATGAAATTGAGGTTGAATTAAGAACGATGGATAATGGAAGACTTGTACCATTTGCTTATGGTACAGTAAGCATGGTGTTGATATTTAAGAAAGTTATAAATTTTTAAATGTATATAAACCCTCATTTTATTTTGTAATTATTTTATTATTGATAAAGATGGTTCATGTTAGATTTGATACAAGTTTAGTAGGGTTTGCTGAACAGAGTGGAAGTGGTGCAGAAAATTATTATTTTAAGGGAGCATCGCCATACCAGAGAGGGTATGGGCAAAGAGGAGCAGGAGTTGGAGATGTTATGAGAGGATTGTGGAGATTTTTTCTCCCTATTTTACGTAGTGTTGGGAGTACAGTATCTTCTGAGGCACTCAACACAGGGCAACGTATACTTGAAAGAGTAAATGAAGGACAACCTATAAAAGAAGCTTTTATTAGTGAAGGAAAAAAAGGAGTAGACACGGTTTTAGAAAAAGGTGGTCTCCCAAAACAATTTGGGAGTGGCAGAAAGAGTATAAAAGGAAAAAGAATTCCCTCACATCAAACATTTATTGTTAAAAAGAGAAAACGTTCAGACGCCTTTGGTCTCTATTAAAAAATGTCATTTCATAAAATAGATAAGGATAGTGTTGATTCAATTACAAGTGCTCTCGATTTTTTCCAAATTCCTCCTACAAATGTTAGTGTGTCTTCAGCGAAAGTTTTTGAAATTCTCCCTAGTAACCCTTTAACAGACACACCTTATCATTTTAAAATTCATTCAAGTGAAAATTTTATTGATCTCTCGAAATGTTACCTATTCACCGAATTTCGAATCCGAAAAGAGAACACAACAGGTCAATATGTAAATATTACTCTTGATGAGAATGTTGCTCCTATACAAATGATAGGGAGCACATTTATTAATAATATGAGAATAAGTGTAAATGGAAGAGAAATATTTAATTCAAACTCTCTTTATGCATATAAAACTTACTTGTCGCATGAATTATCCTACTCGCAAGGAGCAAAAAATTCTCACCTAAACGCAGCAGGTTATTATTATGATACACATACATCTCAAGAATCAGGACAAAGTTTTACAGCTAGGAAAAATTTATTTGTAAATAGTCGAACAGTTCAGTTTATTTCGAAACTAGATGCGGATTTATTTAATCAGCCTCAATATCTCATAAATCATTGTGAAATTGACATTGAAATATTACCCAATGAACCAAAATTTGTACTTATTGCTCCTCCTCCTCCTGTCGTTCTTGGTGCTCCTGCAGCTCAACTTACTAAATATCAATTTGAAATTATTAGTTGTAAACTCTATGTAAAAAAATTAGATCTAATGGACGGTCTTGCTTTAGATATCGCTAGGAGACTTGACGTTAAACCTGCTCGTTATTCTATTAGAAAAACTATGATGAAACCTTTATTTATTAGTCAAGGAAGATATGAATTCAATGCAAATCTTTTTATGGATCAAATCCCCCGTCGTGTTATCTTAGGATTAGTTGCAAACTCTGACTATGTAGGGACACAAGAGCGGAGCCCTTTCAATTTTCAACCTTTTAGAGTAAGAGAAATTAGTATTATAGCAAATGGGCGCTCATATCCCCAGGCACCCTATGATTTGGACTATGGTTCAAATCGATATGTTAGAGCATTTCATGATATGAATGAGGCTATAGGTTTTAATGGCTCTTCAGAGAGCAATGGGATAACATACCAACAATATGGACGAACCCATTGTATCTATGTCTTTAATCTTACAAATAGCGGTGAAGACAATGGAGGAACTTTTGATTTAATAAAGAATGGGTCGACTTCAGTGAATATTAAATTTAGTCAACCTATTCCAGAGGGAGGAGTGATGCTCATAGTAATGGGAGAAGCAGATGCATTAATAATGTTAGATAAAAATCGATCTATAACAAGTGATACTACTATATAAACCTTAAA